AAACCAAGCCATTTTATTAACCATTTTAGATAGGATTTGATAATACTCATGTAACTTATAGAAAGAAAAGAATAATTTCGTGCAATGATAAAAAACATATCCGAAACACTTAGTCCCTTTTATGGTTTCAGATAGTGTAATTAGAAGACGGAGGTTATCTGAACAAGGAAATGTATTTACGCAATACATTTCAAACAATCTGATCACACATGGACTTGTCTCAAGTCAATATATATTAAACCGAGGAGTGGGAAGACAAATACAACAATTAACACAATAGGGGATTAAAATTAAGAAAGATGAGAACAAACAGGAAGTGACATAGTTGATCCTAATCTTGGTTAGAAAACAAAGTTTACCAAGGTAGGTGTAGTGTGTCAGAACACGCACACATAAGGTTGGTTTCAATTTGTTGATGGCTATGACTTCCACAATTGTCAGTATAAGTCGCTGACTGACTGTTTCTATATAAAACTTTGAAAGCTGTTTGAACATTAATTTTGTGACTTGTTTCTCTGATATATTTAACTATAGATGAAGAGAGTCATCTTCCACCTACGCTTATCAACATTTCACACTCGATTTACTTTTTAAGTCATTTAGGTACATTCTCTCCAATCTTCAACTGCATAGCTCGACTACCCTTCCCCTCCATGTATGTGTGACCATGTACATGTAAATTGGTAAACAGCCATGAAGAAAACATATTACTCAGCTACTCTTATTATTGTGGCAAAACAAAACACACGCTTCACCATAAACCCAAACGCATCAATGATCACGTCAAATCGCACTTTGTTTACCAATTTACATATGTGTATGGTCACACATATATAAGGAGGAGTAGTCGAGCTATGCAGTTGAGGGTTGGATAGAATGTACCTAAATGACTTCAAAAGCAAATCAAGTGTTAAGCGTTGATAAGTACAAGTTGGGGAAGACCCTCTTCATCCATACCCTCAAATGGGACAAAATGCGCATCCTAGATTCTTCTGCTAATCACCGAGATCAATATAGCTAAACATTTACTAAAAGCAGGTCACAAAGTTAACATTCAAACAGCTTTCAAAGATTTACTGATATACCGTCAAGAATACATACTGAGGTTTGTGGAAGCGATAACCATACACAAATTGAAATCACATTCATAAGCACAAAAACAACTTTTTCTTTCTCACTAAACCTACCTCAGTAAACTTTGTTTTCTAGCCAAGATTAAGATCAACTATGTCACACTTCCTCGTCATTCGACTATACAGAGGTTCCTATAATCGCGGGAGAATTTTCGTTAGACCAAGAATGCGTAGATGACAAAGTCCTGTTACGTAAAGACACTGACAAGATGCAGAGTATTCTAAACACTTTGAGTGGGAATTTGAGAACATTTGGGAATGGTTGTGTTTGTCACCACCTACACCACCACCACCACGTGCAAATTGTTGCTCCAGGATTCGTCTTCAACGGTGACCCACCACGCCTAACAATAGAGAGTGTAGTGATTGAGTGTGTTGACTACTTCACTTAGCTAGGAAGTGGGATCAGGCTGCGTGCGTTGGTCAGTGGCCGATGAAATCTGTGGACGAACACAAAAGGTTCGACTGGCTTTTGCCGAATTATGCCACCTGTTACGGTTGCGTGATACCCGATTGTTTATCAAAGGTCGCGTGTACTGTACCTGCAGAGCGGTGTGCTCCGTTCTAGTGTATTGGTGTGAAACATGGTGATTGAAGGTGAAAGAAATGAGAAGACTGGTTTCATGTGTTTGACCACGGTTGTCTTTGTAGTATAGGTCGTATTCCGTGGTGTCAGCAGGTGTGTAACGCGGAAGTCAGGTGTATAGTTTTGGGCAGTAGATGTGAGTGAGTTGACACGGTTGTGAACCTCCATTGACTTAGATGGCTGTCTGTGACATGAGTTACTTGTGTGTAGTCACCGTGTGCCCCATGACCCAGTGTTGTGTGAAGTAGTTTGAGTCTGTAAAGATGCTTGAGGTGGTCATACTGAAACATGGTATCAACATGGTATGAATTGTTTTAGTGTTTGTTTGAGGTATGTGGGTCGGTGGAGACTGTGTGGTAGGGGTGTACAGGACAAGAGGAACCAGTGGTTAGAGTTTGACTCTAGGTGATCGCATGACGGAGAACCGATGCTGAATCTCACCATTTTCTCATTTTTTCTTCCTCTCTTTGAGTCCTATATATTTCTTTTGACTGAATTTTCTTTTCTTCACCCTTCACTTCACTGCCTTTTTATTTGATGTTGTGATTTGAGGTGTGGGAACTTGGAGCGTTACTCAGTAATGCCTAGTCCTATGTTGATTTGGATGATCTTAACTGATTTGTTTGTCCTCCTATTCATTCTTTCGTTTAACATATATCGACACTTGACAAGTAAATGTGTTATCAGATTGTTCGAAATATATTGCTGAAGTACTACATTACATATTGTTCAGATATACATTGTCTTCTAATTACACTTTCTGAAACCATATTTCTAATAAAAATGTTTAATCATTTCACGGTAAAATATTATCACAATATATACTGATATATTTCTACTTATTTGTATGGAGTGTAAATATATTAACTGTAAACAAATTTACTGGGATATATTAAAGAATTCAACGTGTTATCTAGAGTTAACATGTAATATAATATAAAAGTTCATGATTCATTAATTGATTAAAGGGTTAATCAAGAGTTATGTGAGGTATTCAAAATGAACTCAGCAACCAATGCATGAATATACTATAGTATGTATTAAAGCACATCTATTGTGTGAAGGTTAATGTTTTAGTACCTGGCAGCCTAAACCTCGATAGTTGAAGGAGAGGTTGAAACTCATGTCCCATTGTTTAAAATTTGAGTGTCTAGGTCGATGAATAGTAATTTCTTCATGAGATAGTACAATGAATATTGATTTCTTACATTTAACTTTTGGTCTCATAGGTGAACTGACATTCCCTGTGAGATTCGAACCCATACTTTTCAATGTTGCAGTTAGCGACATGATAACTGAGTTATTCGGGTGGATTAGATGTATTGATTAGTTACTACAGAACAGTCAATTTCATGTTGTCTAGTTCTGAGTGCTGATCGAATTCCATCAATCATTTTCAGTATGACCACCGAATTAGGAGGCTCACGATCGTGGTGTACTTTGGGGGATGTTATTTAGTTAGAGGCAATTGACAGGAAGTCTTGTTTGAACTAGGTTTTGTGGTTATTGGAACTCATCAGCAAGGAGTATTTACGACCTTAATAGAACTGATATCCTTCATGAAGTTCGAACTCACGTAGAGTTTGGTCAACACCTAGGACTGGACAACATGAAATTGGTTAGTCAATGAATTTATGAATTTCAGTAGAACTCGTCAGTTCAATACTTTACATGCTTGATAACATATACCATGAAGCAGTACAGGAAAACAGATATACATAGATAATGCAAACTGAGACATTAGTTGAAGTACAACAACACAAAAATGAAACGGTTTTGCAGGTCAGGTGGTTATGCCAAACGTTGGATAGGCTGAAGATAAATTACTTCATGAAAGTAAAAAGCTGCATAATAGTGTGAAATTAAAGAACTCTATGGGTTTGAGGTTAAAAATACTGATCACAAAGTAATAACGTTAATGTTGAGGTGAAAATCGAATCGGTTACAGGTAGATTATGTCATTGGGAACAGAAAATTTAGTAATTAATTAGAAAGCTTGGTAAAAAAAAAGTGGAAGAAAACTAGATGTTTGTATTAAAGCTCACCTGTGACCAATCAATACATGTAATCCAGTCGTACAGGAGATGAATCGCTGCCCGAATAGCTCAGTGATAAAATCTCTGACTACAACACTGAGTGACACGTATTTACTTCTGAGGAGGGAGATTTCAGTCCCATCGAGGTTGCACATACCTCTTGCTGACAAGTGCCAACAAGCACAAAACCTAGGTTAAGCAGAGCTTCCTGCCGACTGCCTCCAACCAAGTAGTATAATATCTACTGAAGTTGTAAATAGCAACAAAGGTAATTGGAATGAAGTCAACCGAATAAAACAGCCCAAGAGTAAAACACAAAAACAACAGAAGCGTTTAAAAATGAACTCAATCAAATAGAGAGGAACTCAATGGAATACTAATGTAGAAGAATATTTATAGCTCAGAAGGAGGAGTTTGATGGTGTTATGTTCAATGAAACTTAAAAGAAGTAGCCTCCTTCACCTATCTAGAAAGCACTGTTTCAACTACAGGCAGCACAGACGAGGATGTCAAAGTCAGAATCGGAAAAGCAAAACAGGCGTTTATTAGCCTGAAACCAGTGTGGAGATCTACTGCACTCCACTCAGCATGTGGAACAAGATCCCGATTTTCAACACTAATTCAGTCAAGTCAGTGCCTCTGTGTGATGGTTGAGAGACTTGGCGCGTTACGAAGGGAATTTCCAACAAATTACAGACAATCATCAACAACTACCTACGCTGGTTCATTACTGAAGATCAGATGGATTGCCAGAATAATGAGAATAAGCAACAAGGAACTCTGACTGGGTGGCTGCATGGCGACGAACCAACCAAGAAGCTATCACTCAACAAATAAGCAGAAGAGAAAAGTGGAGATGAATTGGATTGGGCATACACTGAGAAGGCCGACTGGGGACATCACGCATCAGACCAGTTACTCGAGTGGAACCCAGATGGGAAGCGACGAGTTGGGCATTGGTGTCAAGGGTGACATGGAGTAGATGGTGCGAGGAGGAAATGAGAGCTTGTGGGGTGTCGTGGAGCCAGGTTCGTAAGATTTCAGAGAACAGAGGTCACTGGAGAGGTGCTAGTGAAGCCCTATGTTCCATTAGGAACCCAAAGGACAAATAATAATAATATGCTCACTGAACTGGATGATTTGATCGTGAAGTCTACATTGTTGTTCTAGACAATATTATCAACAAGTATTCAGGATAATTCATATTTCTAACCGCCTATTCATGTCCTTCTTTTCTTCTTATAGATGACTGTTAATCCAAAGATTTCAATACAACAAAGTGGTAAACCGCCACCTTTATATGTTTGTTTAGATTGTGCAGATGCATTAAATCGTCTAGATTTTGATCAATTGGTGGATATACTTTTACCCACAAAACAGGTAAATTCTAAAAGGTATAATGAATTGTTTATGTAGATTGTTATAGAAAATGTTCAAAGAAAAATCTTTCAATTTTTCATGAACTGTTAATAGATGTAAAGATATGCTTGAAGATTAGTTTTTTAGTCTATTTTACAAAGTACTTAGAATATTGTGAATGTAACTCTAAAAATAAGCACTTCATATTCTAACATGATCAGATCGATTCTTTAGTCTTATAATGGTTGGATTTTGCTCCCCTCCCCCTTTATTATCATTATCGGTTGACGGTTTTGTGATGGATCATTCGTTGGATCATAGTTGAGTTGAAACATCCCTTCAGGGCCTCCTAGTTTACAGTGGGGATAAAGTAATAATGAAATTTGGCCCAACGTTTAAGATGAGGATAACACATGGATTCATCTTTACATCTAGGAAATCTAAGTTTCTCTCCCACGGTTGTGATCACTTATAAGGGACTTCGTGGACTGATGACATGTACCAGTTTGACCACCTTTATTCTTTTTCCAGCCTAAACGTACTTTGGTTAACATTGAACTATGGGACAAACGGTAACTGAGCACGCGCTGCACATGACCCAGCCAATTGAAGTGATGAAGACTCGCAACTACACCAACTGAATTCTTTCTCTTACCTGAAATGTTTCACCTGACTTCTGTATTATTAACGTCATGGTACTGTGACATATGAGCTATGCTACGAAGGTAGTGCTAGTCTCATGTATGATTACTGGTTGTTCTGTCGGCTTTAGAGATTAGATTTACTATGATAGAGCTTTCGACATTAATGTAAGCCTCCTTTTGTCTGCTGCTTCACGAAGAAATAATTTAGTATGACCTTGAAAAGTAATTCAAGAAAAAGCCCACCTGAGTTAACAGTATGTGAACATTTAACCTCTTTGAAGAATGAAATAAACTATAGACGCACGTTATATTGAGTTTAGAAGAAATTTAGGAGGTATTGATAAAAAAATACAGTAGATTCATTTCTTCAGGAAACTCAGTCAACCATGAGTGTTGATATCAAGACATCTACTCATCGAGCAGTAAAATTACTCAAATATCTATCACAAAATTGCAGATATTTATCATTATATTGTTAGTAATTCACAATGGGAAGCTCAGTGATGCCTGTGAAGTGAAGACAGGAGTGAAACAAGGTTGCCTACTATCCACCATGATATTCCTGATTGTGGTCAACTGGACTGGACTAGATCATGCAGCAAACAGTGGGGAGCGAGAAGAGGGGGATACGCTGGACTATGGAAAAGAACCTAGAAGACTTGGATTTCGCCGATGACTTGTGCCTGATGTCACACAAACTTTAAGATGTACAGGCGAAAACTAACAAGTTGACAGAAGAGGCTAGGCAGCGACGATGGGACTTCAAGTGAATATAGAGAAGACAGAGGTGATGAGGATGCCCAACCAGCACTACCACCAACACCAACAAACTTCAATCACCATCAACGGGAGAAACTTAAAGGAAGTAACCTCCTTCACCTATCTAGGAAGCACTGTTTCAACTAGGGGCGGCGATGGCACAGACGAGGATGTCAAAGTCAGTGAGGATCGGAAAAGCAAGACAGGCGTTCATTAGCCTGAAACCAGTGTGGAGATCTTCTGCACTCCACTCAGCATGTGGAACAAGATACGGATTTTCAACACTAATTCAGTGAAGTCAGTGCTTCTGTGTGATGGTTGAGAGACTTGGCGTATTACGAAAGCGATTTCCAATAAACTACAGACATTCATCAACGACTATCTACCCTGGCTCGATACTGAATATCAGATGGCCAGAATGATAAGAATAAGTAACAAGGAGCTCTGGGAACGAACCAACTAAGCGAGAACCTATCACCTAACAAATAAGCAGTAGCACGAAGTGGAGATGGATTGTATGTGGCATACACTGAGAAGACCAACTGGGGACATCACGCGTCAGGCCAGCCAGTCTCTCGAGTGGAACCTCGATGGGAAGCAACGAGTTGGGCGTTGGTGTCAAGGGTGACATGGAGTAGATGGTGCGAGGAGGAAATGAGAGCTTGTGGGCTGTCGTGGAACCAGGTTCAAAAGATTTCAGGGAACAGGGTGGAGTGGAGACGTTCTACTGAAGCCCTATGTTCCATTAGGAACCCAAGGGACTAATAATATAATAATAATCACTATATTGTTACACATCTTTTTTCTGTCCAAATGAATGTTCTGGTGTTTTTGGGATTCTCAGGTACGACACCTTTTCTTTTTTTGCTAACGATTTCAGTGGATTAAAATCTTCGATTAAACATCACCAACTGGAGGGTAATAAATCACATCTTTGAGTTCAATAGATTGTGTGTTGTTTTCTTCTTCAAGCTATAAAAATGCCTGGTTAAATAAACACTGGAAACTTGGGAGCATTGGACAACTGTTTCATTTGTGTATGAGACTCTTCAGCAGTGCGTATTCATGATGCCACCAGTGCTTATTGATGACTAACTTCGAGGTGTGATTCCTAAAGTTCTAATGAGAAGTTGTGACCGGTCGGGTAAACCTAGTGGACATGAAGACAAATACTCAACGATGATATTAGATGACGGTCGCACTTTGTCATGAACTAAGAGAAGTTGGAAATATTAACCAATGGATTCCAACCGAGTGGCTCAGTGATAGAGTGGTGGCCATAGGACCTGAAGGTCCTGAGTTCAATTCCTGGGGATGCCGGGTTGTGCTTTCGCAATGCTGAGAAGTCCTGCGTCAGGACGAAACATCTGTCCAGTGCTCTCAGGTTTCCAGTGTTTCTCCAACTGATGTCAGTCCATTATTATTATTTATTATTATTATTTTTCTCTTGGATTCCTAGTGGAACATAGGGCTTCACTAGCGCTCCACCATTACACTCTCTTCTCTGCAGTCTTTTAAGCCTCGCTCCATAACTGAGCACAAGCTTTCATTTCTTCCTCACATCACCCTCACTTCGAACGACCAACTCATCGTCTCCCCTTTGGATTCCAATCGAGGTACTGGCTGACCTGACGTGTGATGTCCCCAGTCGGCCTTCTCAGTGTATGCCCAACCCATCTCCACTTTCCTCTTCTGCATATTTGTTGGGTGATCGGTTGTTGATTGGTTAGTTACCAGAGTTCCTTGTCACTCATTCTTTCCGGCCATCTGAGCTTCCCTAATGAACGTGGGCAGTTGTTGATGAATATCAGTAGTTCGTTGGAAGAGGTTCTCTTGATGCGCCCAGTCTCTGAACCATATAGAAGCACTGACTTGACTGAATTAGTGTTGAAAATCCGGATGTTGTTCACGCTTTATGCTAAATGCAGAAGATCTCGACACTGGTTTCAAGCTAATGAACGCCTGCCTTGCTTTTCCGATCCTGACTGGCTTTGACATCCTCGTCTGTGCTGCCTGTAGTTGGAAGGTGCTGCCTAGATAGGTGAAAGAGACTACTTCCTTTAAGTTTCTCTCGTTGATGGTGATTTGTGCTTGTTGTTGATGCTGTTGTTGGTTGGGTATTATCATCACCTTCATCTTCTCCACATTCATTCGAAATCCCGTTTTCGCTGCCTCTTCTATGTCAATCCATGCTGAATATCAACTTCAAATTAATAAGTACCAATAACTATTAAACTTTGTTCATAAGATATTTTGTTATCTACTTTCATATAATCAGTTTCAATATTCTTATCTTTCCTTATATCATTGATAATTAATTCATTTTTAGATCAGTTTAACATGTGAATCAAAAACTTGTCGTAGTAAGAACAATTCAGCTTCTATTACATGTTGGTCTACTGGTTGTACTTACCTAACAGGAAATCGAGCTATAAGATTATGTGAATTATGCCATACAATGCGACATATCTATTTTGATGTAAATCAATCATCAACTGGAAAAACTAAGGATAAAAATCGAGTACAGGCGACTATAGATACAACTTCTGGTGTTATCACTAATACTAATAATGAAAATGATAACAGAAATACTGATCAGAGTACAACACACATTTATCAGGTAAGTCACTTATAAACATTCAAAGTGAACTGAATTATTTTTATCGTAGACTAATTTGTAGTTGATATCTATTTCAAGGGTTGTTTTTTTTCTTCACAGCCAAAGACTTGTAATAATTATAGTCTTTCATATCGAGCAATGTCTATCAAGGGTGCCCACTCTCTCTATTGTTATTCAATTATATCATAGATATTCATATAGAAGTTTGCCTCTCGTCGTCTGACTACACAGAGGTTCATATAATCGCGGGAGAATTTTCGTTAGACCAAGAATGCGTAGATGACAAAGTCCTGTTACGTAAAGACACTGACAAGATGCAGAGTATTCTAAACACTTTGAGTGTGAATTTCCGAACATTTGGGAATGGTTGTGTTTGTCACCACCTACACCACCACCACCACGTGCAAATTGTTGCTCCAGGATTCGTCTTCAACGGTGACCCACCACGCCTAACAATAGAGAGTGTAGTGATTGAGTGTGTTGACTACTTCACTTAGCTAGGAAGTGGGATCAGGCTGCGTGCGTTGGTCAGTGGCCGATGAAATCTGTGGACGAACACAAAAGGTTCGACTGGCTTTTGCCGAATTATGCCACCTGTTACGGTTGCGTGATACCCGATTGTTTATCAAAGGTCGCGTGTACTGTACCTGCAGAGCGGTGTGCTCCGTTCTAGTGTATTGGTGTGAAACATGGTGATTGAAGGTGAAAGAAATGAGAAGACTGGTTTCATGTGTTTGACCACGGTTGTCTTTGTAGTATAGGTCGTATTCCGTGGTGTCAGCAGGTGTGTAACGCGGAAGTCAGGTGTATAGTTTTGGGCAGTAGATGTGAGTGAGTTGACACGGTTGTGAACCTCCATTGACTTAGATGGCTGTCTGTGACATGAGTTACTTGTGTGTAGTCACCGTGTGCCCCATGACCCAGTGTTGTGTGAAGTAGTTTGAGTCTGTAAAGATGCTTGAGGTGGTCATACTGAAACATGGTATCAACATGGTATGAATTGTTTTAGTGTTTGTTTGAGGTATGTGGGTCGGTGGAGACTGTGTGGTAGGGGTGTACAGGACAAGAGGAACCAGTGGTTTGAGTTTGACTCTAGGTGATCGCATGACGGAGAACCGATGCCAGTGGTGCAGATGTAAACACACATTATCCTCATCTTAACGACGCTGTGCTGAATCTCACCATTTTCTCATTTTTTCTTTCTCTCTTTGAGTCCTAATATTTCTTTTGACTGAATTTTCTTTTCTTCACTCTTCACTTCACTGCCTTTTTATTTGATGTTGTGATTTGAGGTGTGGGAACTGGTAGCGTTACTCAGTAATGGCTGGCCCTATACTGATTTGAATGGATATAATCTTCATATTTATTAACTACTGCAGGTTGATTTGAGTTTAAATAACATTATTGCAAAATCCAGGTTTACTCAATGATCGTACTTTTCTGTTCTGGAACTCTTTACTGTATCTGTGTAAACTAAACTTTGAAGTTTCGGGATTCCTTACCAAATGAAATTCTTATAAATGACGTGGTAGGTACGTATAACAATTTGATTTTAATTCTGTGAATCCATGAGGAGAGTCGTATAATAAATGATGAACTTTCGTTAATGTTCAACATTGAGGTATTTTGAAATTACGACGATTTATTATCGTAACACTGTTGACACTGTCAGAACTGAAGTTCTTCTTAGTTTTTACTTTTAATCACTGAGTTACTACTTCGGTTAAGTACTGGTGACCAGTGAGCATACAAAATCCAGTTTTTATGGGACCTAGAATACACCATAACGATCTAAGTTGCATTATTTCACGTCAGTATATTTAGATACAATGCAGCATGTATCTGGATCACTGAGATCGATTCTGAACCTAACTGTAGTTAAAGAAGAGTAAATTAAAAGAAAACCAGTTAGATTACAAAAATGAATGGGGATGTAGCGATCAGATTTGGACCCTTTGAAAGGTTTTGGAACAGACACGAACCCACGCCTAGCTGACACACCGTATAATTGACCTGTGGCAATCGACTCTGTCAACCAAGAGTTATGTGCTATGGTCTTATTGTGAAGGATTTCGTCTGAAGTTGCATCAAACCAAGGCACCGTTTACTTCAAAATACAATGTTTGCTGAAGTTGTTTTATGTTAGAAGAAAGCCGAAGATGGCCAAACTGTAACATGAAGTGATTCCAAGCATTCGCTGACTGTCACTTTGAGCTGTGTATGGAAGTATCAGCTATTCAGTAGGCGTCTTCTAGTTGATAGGAATCAGTAGTTGCTAACGTTTTGTAGAATGACTTAAAGTTGGTTAAAAATGTCTCAGACGTTTTCACCTTTTGGGACCTTCTAAAGTTTGAATATTTTTGCTAAAATAAACTTTTAAAATGTTATTTCCTTTAATACACTTTTGTTTATTAGTATAAGAGTAAAATTTGTGCACTATGGTAGAATGTGATTCCATTTTTATTGATTTATTAGACTTATCCCACTGTGAAGGAACAGTATTGCTTACGGTTCGGACATAATGTACTGACCATAGTCATATCAAGATAACTACACAACTTTGAGATATCCTTTTATATAATGCTAATATAGTCATAATTTAGATTACTATTCTTCAACTCACTTATTGTTTGCACACTGCTATAAAGTATAGCAAGTTTAACCGATAAATTACTGGTAAAGGTTTTACAATGGTTTTATCTGTTCATCTGTTCACTCGTCTGTATATCACCTAGTCTCCAACCGCTAGTTTTGGTTGTCATGACACAATATCCACTGAAAAATAGGGTAACTAAACATCTCTAATAACTTCTAATCAAGAAATTAATTGATAACACGAAATTAACATCATCACCGAAATCAATATAGGACCGGGTATTACTGTATAACGATCCAAATTGCCACATATTGTATCAGCACACCAACTAACAAGACAACAAAATGGAAGATGAAGAAGGAAAGAAAAATCAGTCAAAAGAAGTAGAAGGTAGTAAAAGAAAAGAAGGAGGAATGTGAAACCGATGAGATTAAGTATAGAGGTTAAGATGAGGATAATTTGTGTATACCTCTTCAGTGACATCAGTTCTTAGCCATATCACGTAGAATTATTTTCAACAACTGATTTCTCTAGTCACTTGGATCCCAATCGGCTGATCTGTTTCGCCCTACATGGGTCAAGTCAGTGGTCAAAGACTTCATGCAGTGATGCCATACTTTAGCATGGCCACCCCCCAGCCTTTTTCTAGCCTGAATCTACTTCGGTCAACATTGTGTGATAAGGCAGTTGATGGATAAGCATACGTAACACATGTACCAGCCATCTCAGTCGATAAAGGTTCACAACCATATCAACTGTCTCACTTCTCCTCCCTACAATTCTAGGTTTGACTTATGCGTTACTCATTTAGTGACACCATGGAATACGACTTATACTAAGAAGACAACGGTAGTCAAATATCTGAATCCTTCTCGTATCTTCTACGTTTAATAAGCATGTTTCATAGCTATATAGTAAAACAGAAAATCGATGGCATATCTTACTACAATCTACAACCGTTCATCATATCTAGTTTCACATATAGCTTGAAAAAAAACTTCGAAGTTGAATAAATATATCAATTATGAATTCAGTTGGTAGTAAGTTATCGTGCTATTGAGGGCGGAAATTGTTACCGTTTAGAGAAATGTTGGCAACCTTGGTAATTTAATATATATATATATATATATATATATATATATATATATATATATAATTCCTCCCTTTACATATTAGTTTATTTCACCATTTTTCCTTACAACTCTTGGATTAGTTATCTGATTAGAAATGAGTTATAATCAAGTTTGAGTAGAAATTATAATTCGTGTTTTTTTTCCATATTCTTTTGACTCCCTATCTCGCTGTTAACTTTCTTTCATCGTACTTGAAGTAGATCATTCACTTACTACTTGAAATACTTTTGCTTCAGATTTCTAGTTGTATGCAACTGATGAATGTTTTCAAAATAAATTGAAATTGCCTCATCTTGTGACAATCTGTTTGTTCATGTTGTGTTTCAAAATTATCAAGGGAAGGAAAGGTGTATGACTCGAGTTTGATAGCTTTCTTGATAATCACTGAGTCATAATTTTTAGCCAAATTTAGTCATTCAACACATCCATCCATCCTATCATTAACTGATATCATAGTGTGGCGTATCTTGTCTATTGATAGAATAATACTGTCTAGCCTAATCAATCCTCGGTGATTGAAGCAAAGTTAAAATCTGATTATCAGCAGATGGGTTTCATCGTTCAGGTTAGCAACTTGGAAGTCGTTAATTTAGATCTTGTCGTAACCCAGATTTTTATTCCACCTTCATTCACCCACCACTCAGCAGTAAATAAATCTTACTAAAGTTAAATATGCTTTCATAATTGTTTGAACAGTGTAGGAAAATCAAAACATATCCGTTAACTAGTCAAAGATATATTTTCTTTTACTACACAAACCACTTGTAGGCTTTATTCGTTTTATTTCCACTAAAAGCTTTCATTAAGTAATTCATTTTAAGTAATGCAAAAATTCCCATTTAGACATTTAGTAAAAGAAACAATGTGAACGAAGAAATATTTCTTTTCAATTAGTTCGTCATCAATGGCTCTACACTAATGTATGTAGCATTTTCAAACGTAAAATTACATACCAATCTAGTAGTGAGAGTTGTTCAATGAAAGGTTATCAATCTCAAAGTATCAATAAGGTGATAATTGATCAGGTAATTAAGACAGTGTTAACTAAAGCATAGATTATCGTTGAGTATTTGTCCTCACGGCCATCAGGCTTTGCCTCAAAAATTTAATTGAACTAGTGCTCGTTGGTGACTAGCTTCGAGAAGTATTCCCGAAGTTCCAATGACAAGTCGTGACCGGTGGAGTCAAAGCCTGATGGCCATGAGGACAAATACTCAACCATGACATTGGGTGGCGGTTTGCGCTATATCGTGAGCTAACAGAAGTTGGAAATATGGAGCATTGGATTCTGACCCAGTGGCTCAATGGTAACGCGCTGGTCGCGGAACCTGAAGGTTGCGGGTTCGATCCCTGCTGGTGTGGGGTCGTGGGTGCGCACTGCTGAGGAGTCCTGCGTTAGGACGAAACAGCTGTCCAGTGCTCCCAGGTTTCCTTTGTTCCTCCAACTGATGTCAGTCTACGATGAATAATAACTTCGAAATATTTCCAAATCTCCACAACCCCCTCAAAAATTTAATTAAAGCATAGATTAATTATAGTAGAAAGATTTTGTGAACAGGTTCTTACATAATTGATATTTTGTATAATGATAACTAAAGAGCGAAAATGAACTGTTACGTAAAATGGTAAATTGTTGACTGTAATTAGAGACAGTAGGGGGGGGGGGGAGAAAGATGATTAAGTCTGAAATAATAATAATAATAATAATGGAGCTATTAAAATATTAGTTATAGTGAATTGTGTGGTGGATGAAATGAAGAGTCTTGTTGTAATAAATAAGCTATACAGATGGCCAAGGCAAAGAAAAATAGATAAATAAATAAACAAACAAATAAATAAATAAATAAATGAACAAATAATTAATTAATTGACAATACACCCTCATACACAAACGTCTATATCTTGTAAAAACTGGGTAACCTTTCTCATAATGCTTTTTTTTTATTATTACTAATATGGTTTATTTTTAGAGTTCATTACCAGATGTATGGGATATGTCACTTGATTCACAACCCTGTATGATTCAATCAATAATATCGTTAACATTAGAAACAATGCCACGTTGGCGTCAAGTTTTATTAGGTGGTATAGAAAATGGAGATGAAAGTACTAATCGAGCTGTAGTTGGTTTAACATGCCCTGGTTCTAGTGCACCTGGTGGTCCAGCATCTAGTAATGAAATGGTTATGCTTGGTTTAAGTGGTGGACCTATAATTACTTCAAATTTATCTGGAAATTCAATGAATAATACATCTAATCTCCCAATAGTTGGAAGTTCAATTGGGCAAACATCATTCAGTGATTTTGGAACAGCACAGATAGTAAGTTTATAATAAATGTTAACAGTTTTAAAGGAAATTAAATATAGCTGGTAAATAAGTATTTGCATAGACAGCCTGAAACGTAATAAATGTATTTAGTGCAACTGAACATATATATATATATATATATATATATATATATATATACCAGTAAATGTAAATGTTTTCAACGTTTTCCATTCCATCAAGACTGGGTCAACATCACGTAATCCAACTGGTCCTGGTATAACTGGTGCCGGTACCATTGGTGGTATTGCTGGTGTTAATGATTATGCGCATAATGCTGGAACAGAAACTGGAGCAATCACTCTACTTGGTCGTTATACAGATGAAGATCATAAAGTTCTAGCAGTTTATGGAGCATTCTTAGTTGGTGAGAAATGCAGACCTCGTGAACGAATTAATCTTGTAAGTGTTACATAGAGTTTTTTATTCACTGAAAATATAGATACTTAGGTATTATAGTAGACTGATAGGGAGCTTTAGGTCAATATACTCATTGGCAAGTTAATACCCACAAGCAGTTACCAAAATCTTAAATACTTTAAGACAATAAGTTAGTTTAAGACACATTAACCGAATCTTGTGAATTCACAGCTTATTTCCATCAGTTTCATTTGTAGAAAAATATGATTTCGTAACAGGTTCCGTAACCAGCACATTACCTCTGAACCACTAGAATGGAATCTAATAGTCCATATTTCTTACTTCTGTCAGTTCACGACACAGCACGACAGTCACCCACTGTCATTGTTGAGTATCTGTCCTTATGTTCAACTCAGTTGTCTACATCAGTCATGAATGCTGATTGGGACTTCGGGTATACCAACCTGAAATTCACACAAACCTACTAATTGAATAATTATTTTATCGAAACATAGATATCTTTAAAAATTGATAAGACATTACTAATAATTTAAAACATGAGTGAAAGAAGAAGGTGGTTTCAAGAGCTGAAGTTCCGTAAATAAATATATGTAGAGCCATTTAGGCTTTATTGATTCTATGTTCCTTAAGTTTACTTTGTATACTATTTCACATCATACTTAGGAATTACTCACAAGAATAACAGCTGGTATTTTTAACTGGTTTTTGGATACAATCTACACTGCTGAAGGTTTGTCTATGCATGATTATTATCTATTTGTAATTAACTTTTACTTCCAAGTTTAATGTTGTCAATTTTTAGTTAAATATGCATGCTGTTTCCTAAGACATCACTTTTATTAACAAATTAACCTTTTAGTGTTATTGCTTGTATTACACAGTCGTTGATTGGAATGAATTGATCAGTCTCTGTTGGTATATGGGCTCCTGTACGGATGCTTCAATATTGCCTGTGTTTTAATTATGTGGAGTAATGCCCATCGTTACTAAACTCAACTATACCCGTTGCACAAGAAGTGGCTTCATGGCTTGGTTGTGTGATGGATGACGCTCTCGCGTTTGAAGCGATCGCTCCCGAGTTCGAGTCCCGCTGGGAACAACATCACTCCACACTGGGAGGCAGGTACATGCAGCTGATGAGTCCCAAATAGGATGAAATACACATCCTAGATTCCGCTGCTAGCTACTGCCCATCATTACAATACAAAATTAATCTTTCGTTATTTAAGTAGTCAATTAATGCATGCTAAAAATATGTTTAGTGGAGTTTGAGTAATGGAATTTTCATCACCTTACTGTATATTATCTGCATGAGTGATAAATTTCAATAAAATTGATTTATAGGTGTGTCGAAATGATAGAAATTATGTTAACTGTTTACTAACTGTCTGGAGGCAAAAATAATTTTTGAATTAAATTTTGAGGGAGTTGTGGAGATTTGGAATTATTTCAAGTTGTTATTCATCGTAGACTGACATCAGTTGGAGGAACAAAGGAAACCTGGGAGCACTGGACAGCTATTCCATCCTAGTATGGGACTCCTGAGCAGTGCGCACCCACGACCCCACACCAGCAGAGATCGAACCCGCGACCTTCGGGTTCCGCGGCCAGTGCGTTACCATTGAGCTAGCCACTGGGTCAGAATCCAATGCTCCATATTTCCAACTTCTGTTAGCTCACGATATGGCGCAACCGCCACCCAATGTCATGGTTGAGTATTTGTCCTCACGGCCATCAGGCTTTGACTCCACCGGTCACGACTTGTCATTGGAACTTCGGGAATACTTCTCGAAGCTAGTCACCAATGAGCACCAGTTCAATTAAATTTTGAGGGAGTTGTGGCCACTGGAGTCAAAGCCTGATGGCCATGAGGACAGATACTCAGCGTTGACATTGGGTGGCGGTTGCGCCATATCGTGAGCTAACAGAAGTTGGAAATATAGAGCACTGGATTCTGACCCAGTGACTCAATGGTAACGTGCTGGCGGCGGAACCTGAAGGTCGCGGGTTCGATCCCTGCTGGTGTGGGGTCGTGGGTGCGCACTGCTCAGGAGTCCCATACTAGGATGGAATAGCTGTCCAGTGCTCCCAGGTTTCCTTTGTTCCTCCAACTGATATCAGTCTACGATGAATAACAACTTGAGATTTTTGAATTGTTATAATCTTTTATTATAATTTTGTATTATTTTAGTAGAAAAGGGAAAATAACAGTTATAACTTATCAACTTAATCACAACATCTAGTCTTAGAATATTATCTATGTTTTCTTATTTAACATTCATGATGCGGAATTATCGACTAGAAAGAACAAGATATGCTCTATAGGTTATCTTTAATTTAAAACTTGTATATTGACTTTCATTTAATGATAACATTTACATCACAAATACTCAGCTTAGCAATAAGCTATAAAATGAGTAACATGGCTGTCAGGTAAACTGTACCTACTTCTAAATAGTAAGACACTGGATAAAAGGAGAATAATGAATAAGGTAAAGGTGAATAGAAATGGGCGTAAGATATGAGAAATATTTATGAAGCTTCTCTAACATATGAGCTAGAATACATTAAAATTTAGCTATTCACATCAATTGGTTTCTTTTTCCCTCTGCCTCTTTCAAACAAACACTAACAGTAATAGGAAAAAAAAATGCGAATGATTATTAGTGTTATTATCTTCATCAATTGAAAGAATTTCCTTTGAATACCATTAGTGTCCAACTCCTTTAACGCCTTCCAACGTAATAACTATCATGGTGACTAGCATCAGTATCCAAGATGCACGTTTAGTTCTACTTGAGACTCATTAACTAGATGCAACTGAACTGTAGTGATTGATATCGATTCAATTAAGACTCAAGCCGAGAAGCTATCATTTCAAATGACAAAGCGTTATCCACTTAATCCCAATGATAGTCATCAAGATGAATATAACATCATGAATATCCTATGGTATCAAGGCATCTGTATCCAAACCAGTTTGAGAACAGAAGTAAAGTAGTTCAACCCTGTATAGCAACGGGAGAATATAAGTATTAAGACTACAAAGACGGCTATGACGTATTGATACAAAATTATTGCAGTTCCCTAATAGACTTCAATACTCTCTCCTATGAACTAGAATTGTATAACCAGATGTGTTTATGTAGCAATTAAAACAAGTAGGTTGGAGTGAGTGTTCTCAATTTCACAAAACATGCTCACTAATTTAATCAATATGGGAATAGTATCAATTTATTAGTGTGTAATTGAAAGAAAATTCGCATTACCTATTGAATCATGAGTTATTTTGACGGAAATTTTTTTTAAAACAATGAAATTTAACGTCAATATGAATATAATTTGCTGATTATTCCTTTTTATGTATCATAATTGAACAGTTCAGCTATCACAGCAGTTTTTCATCGTACAATTTACAATTTATATCATTATTCGTCATCTGGGTCCCTAGCAGAAAACAGGGCTTCAGTAACATGTCACCATTTCACTCCCTTCTCTAAAGTCTTTTGAACCTTGCTCCACAAATGCCCAGAAACCTTCATTTCTTCTTCACACCATCTCCTCCATGTCACCCTCACCTCGGACGCCAAACTCATCGTTTCCCTTTTTGGCTCCCACTCGATGGACTGGAGTGGCGCGTGATGTCTCCAAACCGTCTTCTCAGTGTATACCCAATCTATCCTCATTTTATTCATATTTATTAGGTGATAGGATGTTGGTTGGTTCGTTGCCTGCCAACCAACCAGCCAGCCAGAGTTCATTGTTCTTTGCTTATTCTTAATATTCTAACCATCTGATTGATCTTCAGTGTCAGTATGAAGTGAGTGTAGGTGGCAGCTGTTCATATGATGTGTGTCTATAGTTAGTAGGAAATGGTTTACGTGAAGCACCAAGTCTCTCAACTATCACATTACAAGTGCTGACTTGACTGAATTAGTGTTGAAAATATGGATGTTGTTCACGCTTTATGAACTTTGTGCTTAAGAAACTAGTTGATGTAATTCATATATTCCTCGAATAAAAACACAGAGATACTTCGGGATACTAGTGATTTTAACTATTTCTCAGTGTTAACAGAATATTAGTTACAAAGCTTACAATGTAGACCATTAGTTAAGTAATCCAATATTACAATGTATTGCATTCATTGTTAGATAATTGAACCTAGTCCTTTATAAGTCTTAAATGCAAGTTTTGTTCTTGTTGTTGGTTTTCTGATGATTACTGAAAATACCCGTCAGGACACTAGAGAGATCGAGAAGTTCAGTGAAGATATTCCTTCATTAAAACATATATAAAATATAACAAAGTTAGGAATAATAGGAGAGAGATAGAGATAGAGGTCGATGTGTTATTAGCAACTTACCAGGTCCATGGTAGAAACTAAAGTTGAACAAGTTTATTTTCTACATATGATTCATGTTTCTGCATGCATGCAGCAAGAAAGTTTGCAGTATAGAAGTGGCGAAAACGCACCATTGCTTGCAAATTTCTTTTCATCTTGTAGACGACTTTAAAAGTTGAATCAGTTGTAATGCTGAGATGAGTGTTGACCAGCTGCTTAATTGTTGTACTTCTGATGGATCTCCTTACACCTATTTGTATTTATGCATGGTAATGCTCGCTTACCCATTCGGAAAGAATACGTACCAAGCAACCTACATACCTTGCTCCAAAAGACCAGGTGAATTGATTAACACTAATGGAAGTGGTCAGATGTAGAAGCTTATCTTTCAGGTTGTCAGGACACATTGAACGACTAAAGAATACTATCCTCAAGGTTGACGGGAAGAAAGTTCCCTTTTCAGCGAGTTTGAAATTCTTCTTTTCAAGATGTTAGTGAAGAAGTCACCTTTGAAGTCAAGATTCATGTGTAATATCTTCTTTGGAACTAAAATAGATAACTCTCTTTGTGGTTTGGTTTTTATGTTTTTGTCCACAAATTGTGCTGGATATCCATTTTCAGTCAAAACCCTTTTGAGGAGAGTGAATTCATCTTTTAGGCTGCCAATGTTGCATATTCTTCGAATACGGTGAGCAAGGGACACAATAAGTGTTCTTTTTAGGCTAATAAGTATCCAACTGTAGAAATTCACCAACTAACCATTGCATACAGGTTTCTTGTGAATAGACTTCCTCAATGTTCCGTCATATCATCTGGTGAGTTCTGCATCTTCTCAGATGAACGCCCTTACTCTTGTACAATCGAAGCATTTTTAGTCGAAACAGCAGCTTGACGCATTACTAGACGTTCACTTGATTGGAATATTTTACCATATTCCATTACGTTTAAACAGTATCAACCATTTGTAACAGTTAACCAGTGAGTTAGTTACCTACACTCCTGCTTACTTGACAAGTCAGTTGACTTCAAACTGTTTCTAGCATTATCACAGCAAATAAATTTAACATTTCTTTATTTGTATATATCACTTTGTTCCACAAGGCTTTTCCTAAGTGATTACACAAGTAAATATACTTAATTATTTGTTGATTTTATAGCGAGTATTACCTTCGATGGTCGAGGAAATTTGAGGCAACGATGTAAATAATTTTATGCATTTGTATATTTACCCTACACATAACAAGTAGAATTCTATTTGCACATTTCCATATGTATATAAATGCTGAACGTATCATCAAACCTGCTTGGTAATGTAGCCCATTAAATACTCTCATTGCTTTGAATGTATTTCTGCACTTATAACCTATTGCTTTGAATCCACCTCCACCTCACATGTTATATGCATATTCGTTATTTATTGCTTTATATGTTTTATATATGCTCTAAGGCTAAAAATATGAACAGTAATGACTACTAGTGTAATTGAAAGCATGACTGTATTCATATAACGATTTCCACGCCTACATGCGCATGGTAAGCATATATATATTCGAAAAAAATGATATGTTATCAGGTTTAACTTTTTATGTTAACATTGTTAGCACTCTCTACTCGAATTCATGAAGTCGTGTATGGGCTTATGGAGAGTTGTTACTCAGTACAACAATAACCAGTGATATCTGTCAAGAGTACCATCTGTAACCGTTCCTTATAACCTGGCTAAAGATGTGTTGATTGACATAACAATATGTTTTTCCGTCTTTTGATAAACTGATTAACGTTTCCGGAGTACCTGATTGACTTAGAGTATGGAGACAACAGTGTTTTAAGTGAGGAAGTCGATAAAATATAGAGTTTGCAGAATGCCTTGAGCAGAAACTTGGGCATGTTTAGCATATGTTTCTCGCTTATCAAACGCAACACTATGCTTCCGGACCAGTTTGCAGCTAATACCAGTTTAAGGATGGAAAGTGAAACTGGGAGGATGGTTAACCGCCTTAAATAATTGGGAAGTTGCATCGGCTCGAATGAGTTGGTTGCTGACACATTTTCAGCATGGATACCAAAAGTTTGTTTAGGATTTGCCAACTTGCATCATCTCTGGCTCTGGAGATATCTGAATATCTTCAAAAGGAAAAGTATGATACTCTGCAGTCAGTCTACTCTTTGTCACTACACGATAGTGAGAACTGACTATTGTAGGTAGATGTGAAGAGATTATAAGTTTTTGACGACAGGTTTATTCGTAGCATTGTTCGCGTAAAGGGAAATCACCGTTCAGGCAATATCGAAGTTATGTGAATGGTTCTAAACAAGGAAGGCAAGTCGGTGGATAAGGTTGTGAACCTTCATTGAACATGTGTTGCACATATCCAGCCACTATCTACCTAGATATGTAATTTTAAGTAAAGTAAGATTGAGTTAGATAAAGATTCAAAATGGTCACTCTAAGCCTTGGTATAAGTTTATGAAGTCATTGAATGTTGATCAGAGCTGCGTAGATAGGTGTAAATTGGCTAGTTAAGCTCATTGAGACGATAGGGATCAATAGTTGATGATAAAGCTAAAAATCGATCATAGTTATATAGATATGTTCATTATTTATCATCTTTGAAGTCTTGATTAATTTCACTAACCTTCATTTATTTCTTGTCTCAACTTCCATAGACGTTATCTTCTTTGATATAAATACCTTTCTACGCACTTGTTGTTTGCATGCTGTTGTGAAGATATATCGATTTGAAATAATACACTCTCATCCCATGTTCTGTATTTATTAGTTCATGTTTCTCTCAGTATATCTTAAACTATTGGAAGGTGTTGAAGTTACTTATCAACAGAACATTAGAAATCTGCAATTACAGATTTTAGATAAATCTACTGTTTTTATTACGTTCAAAGATAGGCATTTTTTCAATGGATATAATTGTTTGTACCATAAACAGCAAACCTGATTACCATAAGGACAAATACTCAACGATGACATTGGGTGTGTTGGTCGTTCTATATCGTGAATTGACAGAAGCTGGAGATATGCACCATTGAATTCCAACCCAGTGGCTCAATAGTAACGTTTTAGATACGAGACCTGAAGGTACTGGATTCAATCCTTGATAAGTTGGGATCATAGCTGCACACTTCTGAAGACTTTCATACTAGGACAAAACTGCTGTCCAGTGCTCATAGGTCATTAATATTCTTCCAACTGATGTCAGTCCATAATCAGTACCAACTTAAAAAATCACTAAATCTTGACAGACTCCCAAGTTCAATTTATCAAAATCTACAATATTTAACTTTAAAATAATTAATTACACATTGAAATCTTTCACTTAAGCTAGAATCATGTCAATAGTTACTAGTAGTCAACTCATTATAAAAGAAATACTTTTATTACACTCATATGACATCTTTTCGTAGAAAGAACACAACATCACTATATAATATATTCTATAAGATAACTTCAGATTTCGACTACACCTTTCATGACGATAACTTTAGCGCATTAGAGAGAAAATATTTGGGTTAGTCAATTCTTTAATGCATATAAACTGTAGAATATATGAGTGTGTCAAAACGTTTTAAATAAATATGATATTGTATACATGCTTATTCAGAAAGCATAATAAGAAATTATTTATTTATTTATCGCTTGGATTCCTAGTAGAACATAAGGCTTCAGTAATATGTCACCATTCCATTCTGTTCTCTGAAGTCTTTGAACCTGGCTCCATGAATACCCAGAAGCCTTCATTTATTCCTCACACCATCTCCTGCCTGCCAACCAGCCAGCCAGCAAGAGTTCATTGTTCTTTGCTTATTCTTAATATTCTAACCATCTGATTGATCTTCACTGTCAGTATGGAGTGAGTGTAGGTGGCAGCTGTTCATGTGATGTGTGTCTATAGTTAGTAGGAAATGGTTTACGTGAAGCACCAAGTCTCTCAACTATCACATTATAAGTGCTGACTTGACTGAATTGGTGTTGAAAATGTGGATTTTGTTCACGCTTTATGCTGATTGCAGTGCAGTGTAGTACATTTCAGTAGATCTCCATACTGATTTCAGGTTAATGAAGGTATGTCTTGCTTCTCCGATCCTGGCTGCCTTGACATCCTCATCTTGCAGCCTCCATCATCACCTATGGTTAAGATGATGCTGCCTAGTTAGGTAGGTAGGTGAAACAGACAACTTCCTTAAAATTTCTCACATTGATGGTGCTTTTTGTTGTTGTTGTTGGTTGGGTATCTTCATCACCTCTGGTCTTCTCCACGTCCACCTGAAGGAAGTTGAGCCTTCGCTGCCTCGACTCTTATGCCAACTTCTTAGCTTTCGCCTATACATCTTCGAGTTTTTGCAACATAAGACATTAGACATAAATCATCATCAGCGAATTCTAAATCTCCTTCTGAGGTCTCTTCATTGTACCAGCAAGCGTATGTCCCTCTTCTCCCTCGTCACAGTTTGCTGCATAATCCAGTCGAGTCCAGCTGATCATAATCAGGAAGATCATCAGTGACAATAGGCGACAACCTTGTCTTACTCCTGTCTTCACTTCAAAGTCATATTTGAGATTTCCGTTGTGTTGTGAATCACTGGACATGTAGCATCATATGGAATATAGCTGCAGTTGAATGAAGTAGATAAAGGTTTGTGGCACTTAAACTGTAGCGAAATTGAAGCAAGTGGTAAATTACTTCTTGGTCGACGTTGTCGTAGGCGTTTTGAAAGTCGATGAAGTAGAGGTAGAGATCGGGTTGACTACCATTCTGTGTGTGCTCTGTTCTATGATGATGTGTAGGGTGGCGTTGGAATTCGGTCTGCATATGATTTTCACTTCCTGAATCCAGCCAGCCTGTTCCGGTCATAATTTTGAATGCAGAGAATGTTTTAGTTTCCGCAGGATGATGCGGACTAATATTTAGCTTGGTGTGTACAGGAGCATGATTTCGTGCGAGTTCTTGCAAGAAATTATGTCTTCGTTGTTTGGGAGTTTGGCAAGATAGCTCTCCTCCCAGTAGGCAGGTATCTTTCTTTCTTTCCTTCCAAACCCTATGCAGTAGGAGTGTGAGTGTGTTCACTGTTGTTTCTGCGTCTGTTTGTAGTGCTTGTGGTAGAATTGGATGTTGTCCTGCTGCTTTTCTGGATGTCATCAACTGTGTGGCATTGAGGAGTTCTGGTTTTATGGGAGGGTTTGTGTTCAGTGATGGTTGTGTTGCTGTGCTGCTGGTGGTATTTTTGTGCGGGTTGCATTTGTTGGTGATGTGGTTGGTCTATTTAAGAGTGTTTTGAAGTGGTCAGCATATTGTTTCCTTTATTTCTCCAATTTGTTGATAACTGAGTTTCCTTCACTATCTTTCATTGTTTTCGTCTATGTTCATCTTTTGTCAGAAATACCACCGTCATATGTAGATATTAACATCAAGCGCCACACTGATTGAGGGAAATCACTTGAGTGGGTACACACCAGACTTAACTTTAAATAGCTCATTGCAGATTCCCTGTAGTTTGTTTAAGAACTGCCCTGTAAATGATATATGGGTGTACACAACTGCTGTGTCATCTTAAAATACTAATGAACACTAATGTTGTTTGAATGAACAAAGAACGTTCTTCTGTTCCTACAGTTATATGTCCATTTTATGAAGAGAATTCTCCAACTGTACAGTATAATGAACAAAATGTTCAAGAAAATTTCACTATTATTGATATAAAATTACACAATATGGAAATGTAACTGTAGGAAATGAAGAAAAAGTTACCGAAAAGAATAATCTTTCTTTATTCAAGATGGCTTTTCAATTATAATAGGAGTTTTTCAGGAGCCAGAATATTACTGTTGCTGATCAATGAAACCTGATTAGATCAGCTTATTCCTACATTTCGAATATAGTCTGTTGTTCATAGTCGTATCAAGGTAACCACACGATTTCCTGGTTTCGGTTTTGTAGCTTTGTTTTTTTTCTCATTTGGTCTCATTCATGTTGGAATTTACTGTGACTAGTATTGTAATATTCCTGTTGAGTATGTTATGTATGGATTCAATAAAAAACAGGTTTGTTGACGAATCTCTTGTTCTGCTTAGTGACATCTATATTCAGGACTGCTAATCAGCCTACTTTAATATCTCTAGAAGATTCTACTAAAAATAAAATCAGCGAAGAGAAAGCAGTAGAACTGTTGAAAACTCATGTCACCAAGTTATTCGGACAACAACTGAACCCCTGTAGGACTGGACTTATAATCTTATTCACCTTAAGCCTCCTTCACCTATCTAGGAAGCACTGTTTCAACTAAAAGCAGCACAGACGAGGATGTCAAAGCCAGTCAGGATCGGAAAAGCAACACAGACGTTCATTAGCCTGAAACCAGTATGGAGATCTTCTGCACTCCACTCAGCATGTGGGACAAGATCCCGATTTTCAACACCAGTGTCAGTGAAGTCAGTGCTTCTGTGTGATGGTTGAGAGACTTGGCGCGTTACGAAAGGTATTTCCAACAAATTACAGACAATCATCAACAACTACCTACGCTGGCTCATTACTGAAGATCAGATGGATTGCCAGAATAATGAGAATAAGCAACGAGGAACTCTGACTGGCTGGCTGGCTGGTGACGAACCAACCAACAACCCGTCACCCAACAAATATGCAGAAGAGGAAAGTGGAGATGGATTGCATATGCACTGAGAAGGCCGACTGGGGACACCACACGTCAGGCCAGTCCCTCGAGTGGAATCCCCATAGGAAGCGACGAGTTGGGCATCGGTGTGGAGGGTGACATGGAGTGGATGGTGCGAGGAAGAAATGAGAGCAGTCGTGGAGCCAGGTTCATAAGATTTCAGAGAACGGAGGGCATTGGAGACGTGCTAGTGAAGCCCTATGTTTCATTAGGAACCCAAGGGACAAATAATAATATAATAAGTCTTTTACAGCTCATTTATCTAACCATTACAAATTAGAGAAAATACAAAGTGAATAAACACTATCAGAAGATATTAAAGCATTGAAACTTTAAGGGAATCTGTTGAAAACAAATCTTTCTCATGTTTAAAATAACAAATATAGTTGGATATTTTATGCGTTATGATCAAATAAGCGTATTTGGATATTTGAAATAAGATGGATTATATCTAAACAACTTTTGGGACTATTCTAACAACTACTGATTGAAATAACCAATCAACTTTCAGTATTTCGATTGGAATAAAGTGAAGAAATATGATTGGTTGTCTCAGCAGTTGTTAGAATAGGATTTGAAGTGTCTTATTTTCACAAATCATATACATATAAGATGGATAACTTTATCTAAACATTCTGTCTGAATAGCAGTTATTTATAACAAAGTTATTGTTAAGTTGTTAAGTTTGTAATTTTCTAAATAAAGTACAATAATGCATGTATTATTATACTGATAGTATTCACTTCAAACTTCACTGTATGTTTGTATATCTTCTACTTACATTTACTTGTATTTATGTAGATATGGAATGTTATCACATTTGTTTGTAGTTATTATTCAATGACTTTTTCCAATTTTGCATGCGTAGTCACCTAATGAAGATACTAACTGATAGACCATGCATATATATATATATATATATATATATATATATATATATATATACTTGAGTGTTTTCGAAGATTGAGACGGCTGATTATTTACTGTCACAAAGTTACTGAGTAAGTTTTAATCCAACTTTTTTTTTCATCACATTAAATGGACGCTAGATAAGGCATAGTTGAGTTTCTGCCCTATATCATTTCTTTTTCATTCTCCATTAGGGAATATATAATGAATGATGAGAATAAAGTGGATGCTCAATGTCCAATAAAATGATTGTTAATAGTTGTTGCCTACTTTAAATTAATATATCTGTGTTTATCTCATTTGATCCAGACGCATACCACTAATCTTACTGACAGCTCTCAACATCCTAAGAAGTATAACATATCCTCTTTATTATAGAGGAAACAATAAAGCAGAATTGTTAAAATGAAGGAATTGGTAGATTATGAAAGTACAGGCTGAGTTGCACCAGAGAACTTTAGCTTCTTTATAATATAAATTAAACGACTGTTTTGAAGTCAGTAAGATGAACGATAAAGATCCGGAAAAAAATTAGTCTACGATAGTTAACATTAGATTCCCTAAGAGTCATGAGACCGCTTGTCTGTCTTACTGCTTGCATGTCAGTAATTTACCTTAATGTTTCTCTAGACAATATTTAAATAGAAGGAAGCAAGAGGAATTGAAAAGTTGACCAACCACTTTATGTATTATTATACTTATTTATCCCTTGGGTTCCTAATGGAACATAGGGCTTCAGTAGCACGTCTCCAATGCCCTCTGTTCTCTGAAATCTTTTGAACCTGACTCCACAACTACCCACAAGCTCTCATTTCTTCCTCACACCATCTACTCCATGTCACCCTCGGCACCGATGCCCAACTCGTTGCTTCCCATCTGGGTTCCACTTGAGGGATTGGCCTGGCCTGACGTATGACGAACGACTTTCTTGCTTTTCAGATCCTGACTGGCTTTGACATCCTCGTCTGTGCCGCCACTTGTAGTTGAAACAGTGTTGCCTAGATAGGTGAAAGAGGCTACTTCCTTTAAGTTTTCTCCTGTTCATGGTGATCGGAGCTTGTTTTTGATTGGGTATCTTCATGACCTTTGTCTTCTCTGTATTCACTTGAAGTCCCGTCTTCGCTGCCCTTCCACTTCTGTCAACTTGTTAGTTTTCGCCTGTAGATCTTCAAGTTTGTGTGACATTAGACATGAGTCATAGGCGAAACCTAAATCTCCTAGGTTCTTTTCCGCAGTCCAGCCAGCGTTTCCCCCTCTTCTTGCTCCTCATTGTTTGTTGCATGATCCAGTCCAGTTGACCACAATCAGAAAGATCATTGGTGATTGTAGGTGGCAGCCTTATCATACTCCCTCCTGTCTTCACTTTAAAAGCATCACTGAGCTTCCCATTGTGAATTAATTGGCATGTGGCGTCTTCATATAGTTGTTGAATTAGGTTGATAAAGGTTTGCGGTACTCCGTAGTGTTGAAGCAACTGCCAAATTACTTCTCGGTCGACGCTGCCAAAGGCCCTTTCAAAGTCGATGAAGTTGAGGTAGAGGGTTAACTGCCATTCCATACTCTGTTCTATGATGATGCGTAGGGTGGCGTTGCAATTTGGTCCGCACATGATTTGTACTTCCTGAAGCCAGCCAGTGTGTTCCGGTAGTAGTTTTGAATCCAGCGCACTCTTTAGTGTCTCCAAGATGATAGGGCCTAATATTTTGCTTGCTTTGGGTGGACAGGGACAGGAGGGTGACTCCGCGACAGTTCTTGCAAAGACCAACCACTTTAGTGTGATAATAATAATTCTTACTGTACTGAGAACATCAAATATTTTTATGATTATCCTATTTGTTTAGAAGCACTATTCCAGCAGCTTCTTTAAGAGCCTTTCAGGACTAAGTTTTCTTTATTTCTACGGATCATTTAACCGATTTCAATGTTCCTTCGATAGAAAATGTCAAGGATCGGATTTTTCTACTTATCTAATCGTTAAATTACATTAGAACTAGGTCTTTTATCTGATTAATCAGATTGTCAAATTGGACATTTGTATTGAGCCCATAGAATTTTGAGCCAAGAGATGACAAGATCTGCATCAGAATTGACGACAGTGACCTCTTGGAGTAATTGGACAGATATTTTGCTGGACAGAAAGAAGAAATAGTTTCATGAGTTGTTGAAACTATTTATAGATATACTTTCACAGGAATTGTGAAGTGTTAATTATCGTAATTGGTTTTTCAAGTTAGTATTCATCGCAGACTGACATCAGTTGGAAGAACATTGGAAACGTGGGATCACTGGACAGCTGTTTCGTCATAATATGGCAGTGCGCACCTATGACCCCATGTCACCAGGTACCGAACCCAGTATCTTCAGGTTCCGTGGCCAGCACGTTACCGTTGAGCGACTGGGTTTGAATCCAGTGGCCCATATTTCTAACTTCTGTCAGTGTATGACATAGTGTGACCTTCATCCAATGTCATCGTTGAGTATTTGTCCTCACTGCCACCAGGTTTTCCCATGGAGAGGTCATAGGGGCGCACTGCTGGGGAGTCCCTGTCCAGTGCTGCGAGGTCTCCAAATGTTTCTCCAACTAATATCAGTCCATGTTGGATACCAACTTAAAAAATCACTAAATCCCGACAAACCCGCAAATGCAGTAGATCTAATGCTTATTGGTGATTAGCTTTCAGAGGTGATTCCTGAAGATCCAATGAGAAATTGTGACCGATGGGATAAACGTGGTGGCCAATAATGGCAAATACTCAAAGATGACATTGAGTGACGGTTGCACTATGTCATGAACTGACAGAAGTTGGAAATGTGCACCACTGGATTCCAACCCAGTGGCTCAATGGTAACGTTCTGGACACGGAATTTGAAGGTACCGGGTTTGATCCTTGGGGGTGGAGGGTCATAGGTGTGCACTTCTGAGTAGTGCTATGATGAAATAGCTATCCAGTGTCTACAGATCTCCAAATATTCCTCCAAACGATGTCAGTTCATGATGAATACCAACTTGAAGGACCCCTAAATCCCGAAGAACCCCAAATTTAGTATCCTATTTCGAAAATTTATATGAAGCCATACTAAAATAATGTTATTTCAGATTTCGTTTTAGTATTGATATAACATTTTTCAATACTTTTGTACTGTTTGTTTTTTCTCTACAATAATATTATTTTTTACTAGATGAACTTGGGGATTTGTTGGAACGAATCAAAAGTGAAGTAGGTGCCTTTTGTCAATAATTAATCTTCTCTGTTTTGAATGTCAGATATTTAGAGTTATTCGTGTTTTTGTAGCACTGATCAACATGTTATAACTGCAACCATGAGGAAAATGTTGTTCTCTTGATGATTTTGATCTGGGTTATTCATTGATGAAGTTGAGACCTTTATCATTAAGCAAATCAGGACAGAGTTGAGAACTATTGAACTGGATTATGTACACTAAACGTTCATTGTTAGGTAACCGATTTGGCTGTCAAGTCTTCAGTACTCAACACTGATCGGTAAATGAAGGTCTATGCTAATCATAGTACAGTAAACTAGTTCGTCTTATACAAAGCTGAAAGGCTTAGATGTTGTTTTAAATTTCATTTCAATATTATTTGCTTATTCGTGGCTAGCATAACTCATATTTCATCCTACTATTTAGACCTTATAAGCTAGATATATTTTTACACCTCATTGATTAATGGTATCTCCAATGAGACTTGAACCCAGCAGTTATCATTACAATATTTCTTTTCTGTAGTTATGTTGCATAAAAAGCAGCTTCGAATAGCTATCAGGCTTATGATACTTACAATAAGTGCTTTTTTTTCTTCAAATTTAGACGTACATTATTTTATTTAATTATTTGTCCCTTGGGTTTCTAATGGAACGTAGGGCTTCAGTAGCACGCCTTCATTGCACTCTGTTCTCTGAAGTCTTTTGAACCTAAGTCCACCACTGCCCACAACCTTTCATTTCTTCCTCACATGATCTCCTCCATGTCACCCTCGGACGCCCATTAGACGCACATATTTTTAAATAATCTAACTTAACCTTTAAATATGATGCTTAACTTGTAAAATATTTTAAATTTGTACAGTGTGTGTTGACATTCCTTAAAGATGAGTATTCATTAAACTGCCTAACTGTAGTGACAACAAGGTTTTCTGTGTAAACTGCCTGGTCAAAATTGTAGAATGTGATCTCTGACTTAAAAGCATCATGCTCAGTAGTATATATTTTGACATTAGCATGTATACTAGACTACAAGAACCATCATTTGATGTTAATGAATATGCTGACACTAAAAACAAGTCTATTTAATGGCTAGCAGTGGGATCCAAAACGTGCGTTTCGTCCTATTTGGGTCTCAACAGCTGGATCTGCCTGCCCTCTAGTGAGTGATGTTGTTCCTACCAAGACTCTATACCCAATACAAATGGCTTAAAACGTCAAAGGATTATCTAATAGGTCGTAGGAATACGAAAGCTACCACTTGTTCAACAGGTGTCAACTAGTGTTTATTGATACCTGTAATTTCCCGTTGTTATACACAGTCGAAATGCTCGACCTCTGGACAAGACTTGCAAGTACATTCTGTTGACGAGTTCTGAATAGGTTGAAGCGTATGTCCTGGATTTCAATGCTAGCCATCAAATAAACTTCATCATAATAAATATCCAGGCAGTATCGAGGCATCCGTCCATCTTTCAACTGAGATTGAACAATTGCAACTAGTATAGCAATGGGAAATTACAAGTATCAATAAACGTCCTTTGAAGTAGTTTGTTTCCAGAAGAGAAGAATGATAGGTGAAGTAATTAGGAAAATAATAATCCGCCATATTTTGAGGATGAAACTGTGTAACAATTTACTTCACAGGATTTTGGATTGGGAAAGCAAGGCAGGCTTTCACTTATCTGAAATCAGTAAGGAGATCTACTCCACTCCACTCAGCATAAAGCGTGAACAACATCCGGATCTTCAACACCAATGTCAGTCAAGTCATTGCTGCAATATGATTGAGAAACTTGCCGTATCACGAAAACCACTTCCAGCAAACTACAAACATTCATCAACAGCTGCCGCCTACGCTCATTAGACACTGAAGATCAGATGGCCAGAATAATAAGAATAAGCAAATAACAAAGGACTCTGGCTGGCTGGCTGGCTGGCAACGAACCAACCAACCTATCGATTGGATTGGGCATATACTGAGAAGGCCGACTGGGGACATCACGAACCAGGCCAGTCCGTCGAGTGGAATCCAAAGGGGAAACGACGAGTTGGGTATCCTAGGCGAGGGTGACATGGAGGAGATCATATGAGGAAGAAATGAAAGCTTTTGGGCAGTGGTGGTGCCAGATTGAAAAGACCTAGCTTGGTTGCCACATTGCAAATATGATCGAAAAGAATTCGGTCTGCACTCAGGACTAGACAAGATGAAATTGGTTGCACTCCCATAACCAATCAATACATAGTTACAGATTGTCATGAATATTTGTGAGTCCCTTTCTTTCTGACACAGTGATGAGATATATCTATTGTTGTAAATCATTCTAGGAATGGCCAAAGATGATACACTTTTCTACAAGGATTGAAATCTATTTGTAGTAATTTTGGTCAAATTATTGCTTTTCAAATGAAAGTTGAATGAATATTTAATTCTTAAAATAGTTGGAGATGACTGATTTGTCCTTTCTTTCTATCATATTATTACCGAATGTATCCATAGGGTTTTTAGAAGTTTTCTATTCGTTATACCAGTACTACTTCAAACAGACATTTAACCAATTTCCTTTTGTGATATATAACTAAGGAGACATGTCTATACTATCCATCTATGGTCAACTTTTCAATTGATTTCTTCTTGGTCTGATGTGATTGAGAGAACATTTGATAAAGAGGCTATTGTACTTGAATTCTCTAGGTTATGTGATGTAGCCAATTAAAGTTCAGTAATATATTCATCTACTTTTATCATTTCATCCCATCTATCAAAGGCGTCGTTTATGTATCTATATAAGTAATAGTGTAGGGAACGATAAGACTGACATATAGAGAGGAATGTTCGTTTTTATCATTGTGTATAGTAGTGATGAAACATTGTACACTTTCCACTAAAACAGTCATTTGCACAATGTGTTTCATTTCCTCTTCTACTTCTATCTTGATTCGTACTTAATTCTCCCACATTGTCTTTCCCGTTTCTCTGGGCAGAATCTTTATCCATTGCTGGTAATTATAGATGATTTTTGCCAAACTCTCAACATATTACTACTGATCAGGAGAGCCCAGTACAATAGGTTATTAAAGATGTAAATAACAATACAATTAATCTCTGGAGTCAGATATGTTTTTTTTTCTTATTGCACAAATTTAAGTAAACCCATGAGAATAAAACATAACACAAGTGTGATCCTAATAAGCTACGTCATTTAACGAGAAAAAGGGGTATCAATTTAACTGACATTTCTTACTTAGATTTATACACATAACCGGATAAGCATATAAAGTACACTATCTAAACTATTTTCATCATGTATAGAAGTGAATTAACCTAATCTGTGTAATATTCTTAAAAAGAAAAACTAAGATATGAAGAATTTCTTGTGAACAAGTGAAAATACTCTATCTTTAAAATATACATTTTCAGCGTTGAATTTCTCCAGTGATCATTATTAATTTCAGTTATCTATACAACTTAAGTTACACAACTTGTTTTCATACTAGGCTTACATACACTTGTAATAATACTGTACTAAGTCAGAAAACCAAAAAAAAAACCTTCTGAATATTATTTTATATATAATCAGTTCAAAAGGTTTGACAATATTGATCATATCTGCATTTACTATTACTATTTCTTGATAAAATTCTATTTTATACCTTCTTCTCAATAAAGTATATTCTGAAATGGATTCAAGAAGTACAACGTCTTTATCCTGAAGCTATTTTTGCAGTATTACTTCCTCATCCACTGAAATATGCTCGAGTTGGAAGTTGCTGGTAATTTAATTATTCATCAATAATAAAAAACAATTATAGTAAATTATATTTTACTATTATTGCAACTGTTATAATGATCAATTCCATTTTCAATAGTTGTAGACAAGTGTCATGATGTTTTTGATTTTGTAAGAAGTTAACAGCAGGGCGTATCTTTACCGACTTCTCATTATTATTATTTGTCCTTTGGGATCCTAATGGAACATACAGCTTCAGTAGCACGCCTCCATTGCACTCTGTTCCCTGCAGTCTTTTAAACCGCACGCCGCGACTACCCACAAGCTTTCATTTCATCCTCATACAATCTCCCCTATGTCACCCTTGTCTCGGATGCCCAACTCGTCGCTTCCTTTTTGGATTTCACTCGACGGCCTTTCCTGGCGCATGATGCCCCCAGTTGGTCTTCTCAGTGTATGCCCAATCCATCTCGACTTTCCTCTTCTGCTTATTTGTTAGGCGATGGGTTGTTAGTTGGTTCGTTTCCATTCAGCCAAAGTTCCTTGTTTCTTAGTATTCTGGCCATCTGATCTTCAGCATCGAGTGAGCGTAGGAGGCAGCTGTTGATATGATGAATGTCTATAGTTTGTTGGAAATGTTTTTCTTAACGCGTCAAGTCTCTGGACCATATAGTAGCACTGACTTGACTGATATTGGTGTTCAAGATTCATATATTGTTCACGCTTTATGCTGAGTGTAGTAGATCTCGACACTGATTTAAGATTAATGAAAGACTGTCTTGCCCCTCTTCTCACTCGTCACAGTTTGCTGCATAATCCAGTCGAGTCCAGCTGATCACAATCAGGAAGATCATCAGTGACAATAGGCGGCAACCTTGTCTTACTCCTGTCTTCACTTCAAAGTCATAATTGAGATTTCCGTTGTGTTGTGAATCACTTGACATGTAGCATCATATGGAATATAGCTGCAGTTGAATGAGGTAGATAAAGGTTTGTGGCACTTCAACTGTAGCGAAATTGAAGCAAGTGGTAAATTACTTCTTGGTCGACGCTGTCGAAGACGTTTTGAAAGTCGATGAAGTAGAGGTAAAGATCGGGTTGACTACCATTCTGTGTGTGCTCTGTTCTATGATGATGTGTAGGGTGGCGTTGGAATTCGGTCTGCATATGATTTTCACTTCCTGAATCCAACCAGCCTGTTCCGGTCATAATTTTGAATGCAGAGAATGTTTTAGTTTCTCCAGGATGATGCGGACTAATATTTAGCTTGGTGTGTACAGGAGCATGATTTCGTGCGAGTTCTTGCAAGAAATTATGTCTTCGTTGTTTGGGAGTTTGGCAAGATAGCTCTCCTCCCAGTAGGCAGGTATCTTTCCTTCTTTCCTTCCAAACCCTATGCAGTAGGAGTGTGAGTGTGTTCACTGTTGTTTTTGCGTCTGTTTGTAGTGCTTGTGGTAGAATTGGATGTTGTCCTGCTGCTTTCCTGGATGTCATCAACTGTGTGACACTGAGGAGTTCTGGTTTTATGGGAGGGTTTGTGTTCAGTGATGGTTGTGTTGCTGTGCTGCTGGTGGTATTTTTGTACGGGTTGCATTTGTTGGTGATGTGGTTGGTTCATTTAGGAGTGTTTTGAAGTGGTCAGCATATTGTTTCCTTTATTTCTCCAATTTGTTGATAACTGAGTTTCCCCCATTATCTTTCATTGGTTTACTCTTAGTTGTTCTCTTCTTAGATAGTAACCTGCAGCAGCCTGTTCTGTTTCACTTGTCAATGCGTCGTAAAAGTGTCTTTTGTCTTTCTGTGCAATCTTCTTCACTTCTTTGTTCAGTGAATTGTTTTACAGTTTGTGTTCAGTTCCTCTTTTTGTTGTTCATCCTTGCACTGGTTCATCTTCTGTCTCACCATCTTCCTCTACCTCCTCTATCAGCTTCCATTTGTCCGTCGAGATCCATTCTATTCGTTCTTTAGTTTCTGTTCTAAGTATTGAACTTCAATTGTTGTCTATCAGCAACTTCTATAAAGGCTTTAAACTTGACTTGGAAGGTTCGTTGCACTAGATAGTCAGTGGTGTGAACCTACACCTGCTCTCCTTCTTGATCTCGTGGCCAGTAAGCTGCGTCTCCACTTTCTTCCAATTGAGATGAAGTCGATCTTATTTGTGTTATGTCTATGTGGTAAAGTCCTTGTCGCTTTGTGAATATCCTTGTGTTTTTACACACTGCATCTAATCACCAAATCGTTGAATGAGCAGAAATCTGCATTGTTTGTAGGTGCATAGCGTAGGATTTTATGATTGTGACTTTCCTTCCTTTTGAGTTGAATCCATCTCGCTGTCATGATCCTGCAGGAGGAGATTGGTTCCCACAGCATGGGAGAGAGACTTCGATGCTCTTCGAGGAGACATCATGATAGCCATTCCAAAACTCAGTGTGTTCTTGGTTGTCATCTGGGTGACAATATCGGAGTAGATTATTGACTCCTCTCCAGTTGACAGTTGAGAGAGTCCACTTCCATTGTACCTGCCTTCACAGAATTCCAGCCTACCACTTCTATGCTATGCTTCCTCATCTCTTTTGTAATCTAATAAGCCTTGCTGGGTTTAAACATGGTGCGGACATTCCATGTCTCCATGTTTACTTTGGCTTTCATCGAGAGAGAGAAGACACATCGGCCAACTGGCTTCCCGAAGGCAGGCTTTCACCAACCGGCGTCATTTCGTCTCTCCGATTCCAGCGAGGGATTTTTTTTCTATTTTTCATATTTTCTTTATGCTTTAAGGTTTCTTTAGCGGTTAGATTGGTTTTACGGGGTACAGTTGCTAGCCTTATGCCCAACCTTCCCTCTTTACCCGGGCTTAGGACCGGCTAGTAACTTGTGAACTAGTTACCGACTTCTGATAGGACCTCAAATATTTGGTAAAGTATGAATATTCAAAACGTCCATTGGTATTAATGATGCATAGTGGCTAGCAATGGAATTTAGGACTAGTCAGTTAGATTCACATTTCTCTCAGTGAGTGACGTTGTTCCCACTAGGCATCCGCGCAGGAGGCCATATACTAGTACTGATCGATCAATCCGGTCCAATTAGTGACCTGGTAATACAGGTCGATGGTTATTTTGAGTGTTAATAAAATGAAAACTTATATCAGATAAGATAAGATATTTCACCAACTAAGCATAATATATCTCAATATCGAATCAGAAAATTTTAAAGTAGCTTCCATCACGGACAAACATCATTTGAAGAATCACTGAAAACCTTCGAGAAGTGAAATCGATCACCAAGCAATGCCATCAGCGAGTATCTTCCTTAATACCCTAATTGTTTGATCCTGCACGTTATGCCTTCACATAAGGAATCATTGATTTCATCGCTTGTGAATGGTGACTGTGTATGACTGCATTGGAGCTGTGGCTTATTTGTCTCGAGAAATAACTTTCAACTAATGGGTCACAGGTCTGCACATTGCTCCACCTATCGAGGTTTAGGCCATCAGGTAGTGTCATTAATCCTAACAAAATAGGTAGTGGGGTCATTGGCTTTTGTATGAATATGTAAAAGTTCCTGAGTGCATGATGATTTTCGGATTCCACCCTAGAAACTGAATGTTAACGTGCGTGCGACAAAACTTGACGGTCATAGACTTAAAACTTCATGTTTTTTTTGGCGCTCAGTAAGTCTATACTAAGACAAAACAGTTGTTCACTGGTCCCAGGATTATAATGACTATGCAGTCAATCAAATCCTAAGAACCACTGATTTTGGTAGACTGGATCATGCAACAAACTGTGAGCAGCGAGAAGATGAGCATCCGTCATTCGACCTGTTTAAAAGACCCTAGAACGTCACACAAAGTCGAAAATGTAAAGGCGAAAGCTAACAAGTTGTAAGATGAGGTGAGGCAGTGAAGACAGCACTTACTTCAGGTAAACGTAGAGAATATAGAGGTTATAAAGATACCCAACTGACAACAACAACAACAACAACAAGCATCAATCACCTTCAACGAGAGAAATCTAAACGAAGTTGTCACTTTCACCTACATACCCACCTATCCAGACAACATCGAATCAACCACAGGCGGCGGAAGTGCTGGTGACACAAATAAGGATATCAAAGCAGCCAGAATCCGAATGCATGCAGAACACGTCTTCATTAATTTGAAACAATCAGTGTGGAGATATACTGTTCTCAGGATGAAGAAGGAGATACGGATTTTCAACACTAATTCAGTCAAGTAGTCAGTGCTCGAATGTGATGTTTGAGAGACTTGGCGTGATGCGAAAAGTACTTCCGTCAAACTGCAGACATACATCACATGACCAGCTATCGTCTATGCTCACTTCATACTGACACTGAAGATGAGATGAGATGACCAGAATAATAAGAATAAGCAAGGAACATGGAACTGTGGCTGGGTGGCTGCCAACGAACCAACCAACAACTCATCTCCCATCAAATATGCAGAAGAGGAAATTAGAGATGGATTGGATTATACATATACTGAGAAGGCCACTTTGGGACATCACGTGCCAGGTCAGGTCAGGCCAGGCCGAGCCAAGACAGGATAGGTGGTCGAGTGGAGGCCAAATGAGAAAAGGCGAGTTGGGCATTTCGGAGTGATGTGGAGGAGATGGTTTGAAGAAGATGAGATGAGATCTTCTGAGGAGTCATGGAGCCTGGTTGATCCAGACTGCATTTAAGAGAGTGAAGTGGAGACGTGCTACTGAAGCCGTATGTTCCACTAGTAAACCAGAGGACAGATAATAATAATGATCAGTAGCTATATACTAGGGCAAAACAGTTGTTCACTACTCTCAGGATTTTAATGTTTGTGAAATCAATCAACTGCGAATAACTACTAGTTCAAATAAGTATGTGACACATATATATACAGAATGACGATGTGAATATGTGTTCTGAGAAAAAAATTTGATCTACAGATGTTGACCATTCTAGAGATAGATACATTTATATTTTAGAGGAATATTTGCCACAATTTTGGATGGAATTAAGATCAAACTTACTCTGTCTGTACCAAGGTAGACGAATGATACTTGTTCTTTGAATCAATAACTGTCTAAAACAAAAGTGCATGAATATTAGAAAGCTAAAGCATGATGCAACAAGTTAAGTTGTATATGACTTTATACTAAAATAATATTTCATTCCTTACAAAATGGGGATGAAGTAAAACATTCGTCAGCTGAATATGCCTGCCTCCCAGTGAGTGATGTTGTTCCCAACGGGACTCGAACTCGGGAGCGATGGCTTCAGACACCACCGAGCCACGATAGCCACTTATTATGCGATGGGTATAGTTTTAGTGGTATTGTTTGTATGACAAATCCCAGGTAGACGAAATGCGCATCCTGGATTCTACTGCTAGCCACTGCTCATTATTACTAGACATAATAAAAACACAGGCAATATCGAGGCATATGCACAAGAGCCCATATGCCAACAGAGACTGATCAATTCGGTTCAGTCAATGACGGTGTAATACAAGCAACAACACTGAAATAAAACAGCTATTTGAACAGTAATAGAAATGACGTGACTTAGGAAACAAAGTGTACTATGCAATGAATATAGGGCTGCACTTCTATCCAGTTTGAATAAGTTTTTGAGTTGATGGACATAATCTATATCATACCCTTACATTGACTGGATACTGGAAAATAACCGACTGACATATTTAATGCAGTCTTAGGGAATATCATTCTGTAACTGAATATCTTAGTAGTAAGGTTTTTCATTGCAGTACTAGAAGATAAAGATTTGAGTCTCTGAGGATACATCAGTTCGCTTGAAAGTGCTGACAAGTGCTGCCAAACACAATACTGAAGTCATGCAAAGCTTACTGACGATATCTTGTAACGATTTTAACATTTATTATCTTTTCATGTGAATATGTTAAACGTAAGGGTATGCAATGAAATGTAGAATCTCTGCAATTTAAATTATGAATTGAGTAGCAAAATGGCACTGTGAAATACGAAGATGAATCAGAAGTTCTATGAATATCTGAATAATGGTTGCTTTTATTTTGATCTGTGCTCAGGTCAGGCGTATTTCTGATCATGAAGCTATTGTATCATTTGTTATATAAACGAGGTAAATTATTAGAATAAAGTCAGGATTGTGTACAGCAACTTGAGTAATATTCTTTAAAACCCACTGCCAGCATACAGTTAAGACTTATGACGGCTTAGACTGAGGCATAATCGGGAAAAAATCAGATATATATCTTAAGAATGGTCAGAAAACATCAAATTAATATCAGTTTTAACTATTTCTGGCTTTAAATTTTACACACAGAAATGATTGTTCAAGGATATAAACATCATTTTTAAGGTGTTGGTGTAATTTGTTTCGAAAGGTTGTGTAACATAAACCTGCTCACAGGTGTATATAGAAAAGTTAATTCTTTGCTTTAACCATGAGTATTTGCTTCTTCAGATCATCTTGAATGATTTTTTTTAATGTCACATAGTAGTTAGTAATCTGAAATATATGTGTATGTCAAACGCTGGAATTAAGATGTGGATGCTTTATGCTAATATTGTCAAAAGGAGAATGGCTTAGTAGCTTCCTTCTAAAATAATTGTTGAAACGTGTTATGTGTGATCACCTTTTGAATATTGAACGTTACAAAGCTTATCATAGTCTTCTGAGACATCATTCTCAATCTGTTATAGTTGGTAGTGTTGTTGGGAAAAAAGTTAGTGAAATTTTTTGACGGTCCGATTAATCTTTAATTTTTAACACCTTTATCTTACAATAATCTCAGTTATCTACTGATCAATCAGTTAGTAATATAGCTGTTATAAAAATTCATTTGTGTTTTTGATAATAATTCCTTTATTATTATGTTTCACCTTTAACAGGGATGCTATAAGTGATCATTTATCAAGAGTTAAACATGGTCTAAGTCGTATTGGTAGTCTGATACCCTATGATATTATCACTTTTGAGGTGAGTTGAACATTTAACCATTCTTTTTCCTGTTTATTTAGTCATAATGAATGTTATCTTAATCATATTCCCGTTGGATTTATTTATCTATTTCAAACTATGAAAGTGCTTTATCTCAGTGGAAAACTGCATTGTTCTACCATATATCCAAGTTAAATAATCTGACAAAGCTCAACTAATGACAAACTTTGTCAAGTTTATCAACTTATTTGCTTTAGATTACCTTTGAACAATTTTAAAGCATCATTGTGAAATGACAAGTGTGAATTACACCATTTAAAAAAGGTGGGTGAAATAAAATAATCTAAAGTAGTACTATTACTTTTATAATTTGTCCCTTGGGTTTCTAGTAGAACATACGGCTTCAGTAGCACGTCTCCACTTCACTCTCTTAAATGCAGTCTGGATCAACCAGGCTACATGACTCCTCAGAAGATCTCATCTCATCTTCCTCAAACCATCTCCTCCACATCACTCTGAAATGCCCAACTCGCCTTTTCTCATTCGGCTTCCACTCGACCACCTATCCTGTCTTGGCTCGGCCTGACCTGGCCTGACCTGGCCTGACCTGGCACGTGATGTCCCAAAGTGGCCTTCTCAGTATATGTATAATCCAATCCATCTCTAATTTCCTCTTCTGCATATTTGATGGGCGATGGGTTGTTGGTTGGTTCGTTGGCAGCCAGCCACCCAGCCAGAGTTCCATGTTCCTTGCTTATTCTTATTATTCTGGTCATCTCATCTCATCTTCAGTGTCAGTATCGAGTGAGCGTAGATGGCAGCTGGTCATGTGATGTATGTCTACAGCTTGACGGAAGTACTTTTCACATCACGCCAAGTCTCTCAAACATCACATTCGAGCACTGACTACTTGACTGAATTAGTGTTGAAAATCCGTATCTCCTTCTTCATCCTGAGAACAGTATATCTCCACACTGATTGTTTCAAATTAATGAAGACGTGTTCTGCATGCATTCGGATTCTGGCTGCTTTGATATCCTTATTTGTGTCGCCAGCACTTCCTCCGCACGTGGTTGATTCGATGTTGTCTGGATAGGTGGGTATGTAGGTGAAAGTGACAACTTCGTTCAGATTTCTCTCGTTGAAGGTGATTGATGCTTGTTATTGTTGTTGTTGTTGTCAGTTGGGTATCTTTATAACCTCTATATTCTCTACGTTTACCTGAAGTAAGTGCTGTCTTCACTGCCTCACCTCATCTTCCAACTTTTTAGTTTTCGCGCTTACATCTTCTACTTTGTATGTCATTAGACAAACCATCATCGGGGAACTCCAAATCTTCTAGGGTATTTTCAGGCAGCCAAATAACATGTGCCCAGTTTTTTGCATGATCCGGTCCAGCTCAGTTGACCATATTCAGGAAGATCATCGGTGATAATAGGCCACCTCGTCTCACTTCTTCCTGTCGTCACTTCAAATCCATCACTTATTTTTCCTTAGTGAATCTCTTGGCGTGTAGATCGTACGGCATATAGTTGTTGAATGATGTTGATAAAGTTTTTGTGTCACTCACTCCGTTGCGTTGAAGCAACTGCCTGCCAAATTACTTCTCGGTCAACGTTATCCAAGTCCTTTATAAAGTTGATGAAGTTGATGTAGAGAGTTGACTGCCATTCATTGCTCTGTTGTATGATAATGCGTAGCATTGCTATTTGAAGCTCTCATGATTCGTTTTTCCTGAAGCCAGTCAGTCTGTTCTAGTTGCAATTTTAAATCCAGCCCATTTTTTAGTCTCTCCAGGATGATGCGGACTAATATTTTGTTTGATGTAGACAGAAGCATGATTCGGCTCCAGTTCTTGCAAAGATTTAGGTCGCCCATCTTTTGGAGAGTGACAAGGTAACTCTTCTTCCGAATCGCCTGAATATAGTTCTATGTCTCATAATAAATCCATGTTTATTTCAGATCCGTGAACCAGAATACAACATCTAGGTTGAGGAAAGAGATCTGAAGATCCTTTGAAGGGTTGTGGATGCTCACTGCTTAGGAGTTGCAGACTAGGTAGGACAAAGCAGTTGGCTTGTGTTCCTATGTTTTTATTGTTTCTCCAACTGATGTTAATCTGTGATGGAAACTCTTTGAAGACCAATCCGTCCTCAGAAATCCTCTAATTGATATTTAATATATCAAGCTATACATTTACTCTGATGTAAGATTTTATGTCTTCACAAAAGGATTAAATGTGAATCTCTTTTCATTGTGATCAGTGTAAACTACGTTGTTACCTTGATAAATTCACGTATATCCACTGTATGCAGTATGTCTTAAATATCCTTGTCATAAAAGATTGCTCTACAGAAAGATCAAAGACTGGTGAATATTTGAAGGCTATTTACAGTATATATTTTTTGATAAATATGAAGAAAAGTTACATCTCTATTCGAAAAGATAAAAACGATGACTTTCAAAATATTTTCAATTTCCTAATTATCTGCTTGTTTTATAAAGCATAAAACGTATCACATAAATATCGTTGGAACCAACTAATACTTGACTTTTAGACTTTGTTAAAAAATAAAACCTATTTCTACTAAGTTATAGCTGTCAGGAACTTCAATTCCACCCTGAATATGTTATTCACCTAAGAAGCAAAGCCATAAGCAGATCTCTGACGGGGTTATGGTTGTACGCTGCTGAGGAGTAGCATTTCGGGACGAAACGGCTGTCCAGTGCTCCAAAGTTTTCAATGTTTCCTCATCTGGTGTCAGTTCATGATGAATACTAACCTGAAATCAATTAATAAATCCTCAAGAAACGTCAAAATTGAAATAATCACCTTCGAGAGTTGATTCCCAAGGTTTCAGTGTAGAGTTGTGACCGATAAAACTAATTAAGTTGAACGTGAGGACAGTTACTCAGCGATGGCATTGGATGGAGGTTGTAGTATATCGTGAACTGACAGAAGTAGGAGACATGGACCTATGAATTCCACCCAGTGGCTCAATGGTAGCATGCTGTCCTTGAACCCTGAAGGTCCTGGGTTCGATCCTTGACGGGGCCATGGTTGCGTATAGCTGTGGGGTCCTATATTAGGAGAAGACAACTATCCAGTGCTACTAGGTTTCCAATGTTCCTTCAACTGATGTCAGTTCAGTAAATAAATCCCCAAAAACCTTAAAAGTGAATCAAAGTTTTAACTGATTACTGTAGAGTTTGACTACCATAGAATTTAGTTGATCAAATGTAAACATCCCAATGTTAAATTGTTATTTGTTAACCGAGTTCTGTCTAGAAACATTGTGTTAGCTACGAACACTAATGATGAATACATGAAAAATATACGACCATGATATTCTTACCAAACCGATTGCTTTTTCTCGACTGGTAGATTTCAATTATTAAAACAGTTCATTTTCTCCACTTACATGCACTGATTTCGCAAAACAAACTACTTGTTAAATAAAATAGTGGAACTTTCAGCAACTTCAGTATAATTATTCTCCAACTGAATTCAGAGCAACTTATGCATAATTTATTGAGACCATCCTCATCCTTGAGCAGGACCAGAGGAGATTTCTCCAGAAGCGCTGAAAACAGACGCAGAAACATCAGTGGACATACTCACACCATTGTTGCGCAAGGTTTGGAAGGATGGAAGGAAAGGTACCTGACCGTTGATTGGAAGAAGGGTTACGTTGTAATTCTCCAAAAGATTATTATTATTATTATTATTTGTCCCTTGGGTTCCTAATGTAACATAGGGCTTCACTAGCACGTCTCCAGTGAACTCTGTTCTCTGAAATCTTTTGAACCTGGCTCCACGACAACCCACAAGCTCTTATTTCCTCCTCGCACAATCTCCTCTATGTCACCCTTGGTACCAACGCCCAACTCGTCGTTTCCCATGGGGATTCCACTCGAGTGCCTGACCTGACGCGTGATGTCCCCAGTCGGCCTTCTCAGTGTATGCCACATACAATCCATCTCCACTTCCTGCTACTGCATATTTGTTGAGCGATGGGTTCTTGGCTGCTTCGTTCCCAGAGTTTCTTGTTGCTTATTCTTATCATTCTGGCCATTTGATCCTCAGTAACTAGCTAGCGTATGCAGTTGTTGTTGAATATCTGTAGTTTGTTGGAAATCCCAAAAGATGGGCGACCTAATTATTGGCTCCTGTCTACATCAAGCAAAATATTAGTCCACATCATCCTTAAGAGGCTGAAAAATGCACTGGATTCAAAATTGTGTGGTCCTTTAGACCAACTCTGAGAATGATACTGTGAAGCATTGATTTAACAAGTTTAATCTCTTTATTTCAACTGTTATATAAAATAAGGAGATGTGATTTATTATGTTGATGGTCGATAGAGTGATGTTTAGAGTTATTGTTTTCCTCTACATGGTAAATGAGAGGAATAACCAATAAATAACGAGTAGACCTTAATTTCACTATCCTGAGTTCTCACTTCCTAAGATTCTGATCAGGTTATTTATGCTTTTCAAAAATTGTATATTTTTCATACATTCTGATGAGTACATGGGCTAGGAGAACATATTTATCTTCTTTCTGCGACATCTGGTGTGATGTTAGTGGTCGTAAAAGTAATCTGGACAAGCCGCTAGTCACTAGCCACAAGTCAAACTATTTTTGCATATATTATACTTTCAACAAAAAGTTACAATGATATTTAATTATAGGAAAAGACAAGAAGTGGTTTCAGTGAAGAAAAACTTTTTTTCTTTTCGATAAACTCATTTACTACTAAGCTATACATTCGTGAATACATGTGTTACAGTGGGTAGAATGTTCCAGAATTGTTTCCGGTCAAAAGGCAAAATATATTGAATGACGAAAGAAAGTTAATTATTACACATTTGTGTTTAGAGTGGGAAAATAGACAGGGGATTATGAAATTAAGTGTAATTACGTAATACAGGATGAATGTATGGCAAAGTAAGAAACTGAACGAAGGGTTATGAAGATATAATTGCGATTATATAATACCGGATAAGCCTATAATAGAATATGAGAATAAACAGGGGATCATGAAAATAGGATTGTGATTACGTAATACATAGTAGAAAAATGAACAAGGTATACATGTGTAGTTACCTGATACAAAATGAATCTATGGCCGATAAGGCTTTATGATGGCCATGGCAAAGATAAAGGTTGGATGTACATTTTTCTGCACGCATAACGCGGGTCCGAACTTCTGGATGGCTAGTGCTTCAGCTATAGACAGATGCCTTGATTTTACTCCCTTCAAGTGGTTTGATCAAACCCTGTAGAGAATTTTGAATGAGTTCTCCAAAGGAGCTAAGTGGCCCGAGTTCACGAGGTGTTCTGTTGTCAAACTGAAGATGCATTTCCGTTCTCTCTTTGCAAGCCAGGCTGGGTAGTGTTCACGGACGCATGGTACGGCCGATGTACTCAGCTCCACAAGAGCAAGCAAACTGGTATACACACACTGATGTGGCCCAATGCGTCGGTTTGTCTTTCACACATTGACCGAAAAGTTTCTTGCAAGAGAAAATTATCCGAAGTTGGCGGCGAAGTATATTCTGTTTATGGATTTTGACAGTCGTTTCCTCAGGATCTCTGCAGCAGTATCATTTTTGAGTTCAAGACTCAACAAAAGAATCTTTTTCGGCGCCAAATGTCTTTATTCAATGGGGTTCTTTTGGCTTTATGTTATCTATAAATCTGGACGGGAACCCGTTTTCGACTAGAATTCGTCAAAGTATTTAATTTTATGATGACAACTCAAGAAGTACTGGAAGATTGTATTGAAATCTATCTAGAAATGATAGAGAACATCTATAGCTTAGGTTCTACATCTTCAATTTGAATTGTTCTCTGAGCTATGGTTTTGGCTAGTAGACATTTCATTGTCTAATAATGCACTACAACCTCATTAGGAAGTTAAGTATTCACTTGTTCATGAATATTATTAACAGGCTACTTTATTTTTGGTTCCACATTACTAACCTGGATGGTCAGTTGGCGATTGCGTTAACAAAATACCATGTTATAAATATACATACATGATGAATTAATTGATTTCCTTGGGAAGTACCAGCGCACTGATAAAGCTGAATTACATGACATTGAAACGTTTACCAATCAAAACATTAGTTTGGGGAATAATTCAATCTAATATCTATCAAGTTGTTATTCATCGTAGACTGACATCAGTTGGAGGAACAAAGGAAACCTGGGAGCACTGGACAGCTGCTTCGTCCTAGTATGGGACTCCTCAGCAGTGCGCACCCACGACCCCACACCCGCAGGGATCGAACCCGCGACCTTCAGGTTCCGCGGCCAGCGCGTTACCATTGAGCCACTGGGTCAGAATCCGATGCTCCATATTTCCAACTTCTGTTAGCTCACGATATAGCGCAACCGCCACCCAATGTTCGATCCCTGCTGGTGTGGGGTCGTGGGTGCGCACTGCTGAGGAGTCCCATACTAGGACGAAACAGCTGTCCAGTTCTCCCAGGTTTCCTTTGTTCCTCCAACTGATGTCAGTCTACGATGAATAACAACTTGAAATAATTCCAAATCTCCACAACTCCCTCAAAATTAAATATCTATCAGTTTATGTTTGCACAGACAAAAGTGAATTTATAATTCATAAGATGTAAACATTCAATAATCACCTTACTAAGTAACAATTAATTTATAATACACACACACACACCCACGTTGACAAATTCCGGGTAACAGATATCCATTTTCATCTATACTGAAACATATCATAGATATGAATCGTAAGATTAATATGAAAACAAGGTTCAAGATAATTACATAAGAATAGTCAGGGGTCACATACTGAAATTTAACGAAGCATTATCTATTCCTAAACATAAGCTTCGTTGTACGTACAAAAACATTCAGTTGTTTCACTTAATTTACCTTGATAATCCTTAGTAATCTCATTATATTATTAAAACTAGTGTCACAACCTTTTCACATTTAGTATACTTGACCTTTAATGTTTCCATCCATTTTCATATATTATTATTATCATTACTATTATTTTCCCATGGGTTCCTAATGGAACATAGGCCTTCAGTTACACGTCTCCATTCCACTCTCTTCTCTGCAGTCTGGCTCAGTCGAGCTCCATGACTGCTCAGAAGCTTTCATTTCTTCCTCATACCACCTCCTCCATGTCACCGTCGCCTTGGACGCCCAACTCGTCGTTTCCCATCTAGGTTCCACTCGACACCCTCGTCTGGCCCGTGATATCCCCAATCGGCCTTCTCAGTGTATGCCCAATCCAATCCATCTCCACTTCCTGCTACTGCATATTTGTTGAGTGATAGGTTCTCGCTTAGTTGGTTGGTTGCCAGTCAGCCAACCAGAGTTTCTTGTTGCTTATTCTTGTTGTTCTGGCCATCTGATCTTCAGCAACGAGCCAGTGTAGGCAGTTGTCGATGAATGTCTGTAATTTGTTGGAAATACCTTTGGTAACGCGTCAAGTCTCTGAACCGAATAGAAGCTACGACTTGACGTTGGTGTTGAAAATCTGGATGTTGTTGAGGCTTTATACTGAGTGCAGTAGATCTCCACACTGGTTTCAGATTAATGAAAGCCTATCCTGTTGTCTTTCCGATGCTGGTTTTGACATCTTCATCTATGCCTGTGCCGTCTGTAGTTGAAACGATGCTTCCTTGTCTAGGTAGGTGAAAGAGACAACTTACTTTAGGTTTCTCTGGTTGATGGTGATTGGAACTTGTTGTTATTGATGCTGTTGTTGGATAGGTATCTTCATCACCTCTGTTTTCTCTACATTCACTTGGAGTCCCGTTTTCCCTGCCTTGCCTCTTCTATCAACTTGTTAGTTTCCGCCTGTAGATCTTCGAGTTTGTGCGACATAAGACATTAGACAGATATCATCATCAGGGAAATCCAAATCTTCTGCTGGGATCTTTTGATCGGTCAAACAGCGTATGCCCATCTCCTCGTTCCTCACGATTTGGTGCATGATCGATTCCACCAGAATCAGGAAGATCATGGGTGATAGTAAGCAGTTATATATATATATATATATATATATATATATATATATATATATATATATATATATATATATATATATATATATATATATATATATAGAATTGGCAGGTAAATGCGTGATCAGATAGTTCGAAATGTATTGCTCAAATACCATCCATCATACCTCGTTCAGATAATCTTCGTCTTCTATTTACGTTATCGAAACATCTTGTTGTTAAATATAATTGAGAGTTTATATTTTTGTTTCAGACATGGGATTTTGTAATGCCATACTGGCTAGAATCGATACGGACTGAAGTGCCAAGGGTTGACTATCCAGAATTAGAAATTCTTCTCAAGTGAGTAGGTTTTGATTTCTTTGACCTTCGCATTACTACATGTATTGAAAATTATCAATGCATACTTTATCGGATAACTTAGAATCAAAGTGTTCTATTCAGCGAATCTCTTGAAACTATCTTTGATCATATTTTAAATTCATTTGTTAACATTCTACATTGAGTTACAGGACGCTTTTATTACTATCAGACAGAGCAAATCAACCTGTTCTATCTTATTGGTAGTATCATTGAGATCGCAATACCACTTTCTGCCAAATAATAACAAGATATGAATGAAAGCACTACCAATGTATCGCTACATAATATAATCTTAGAAATATAAAGAACACAAAATCTCAGTCTCTGATAACAGCCAATAGTCTTTACTTAATAGGTTGTTATCGTTGTCACGTATCCTGGTGGATAAGACTTTGAAGTTGAAGCCGATTACTTCTGCGTTTGAATCCCAAATAGTATACCAACGTGTAAGTCAACCTATTCATCGGTTGACTAGTTTAAGGGAAATCGAAAGGCATACTTTAGATTTTGAATTGAAAAATATCGAAATAGACTCATCAACCTTGTGCCTATTCGTGCAGTAAGCAATGAACTACATCCAGAGTGTGAGGACCAGCCAGCCAACCAGCCAGAGCTCCTTGTTTCTTATTCCTATTATTCTGGCCATTTGATTGATCTTCAGTATGGAGTGGGTGTAGGTGGCAGCTGTTGATGTGATGCATGTCTGTAGTTTGTTGGAAATGCTTTTCGTGAAACGCCAAGTCTCTCAAACATCACATAGAAGCGCTGACTTACTTGACTGAATTAGTGTTGAAAATCTGGATGTTGTTCACGCTTTATGCCGGTGCAGTGCAGTGCGTTAGATATGCACACAGTTTATATCCGATTAATGATGGCCTGTGTTGCTGTCTTTACGATGTTGACTGCTTTGACATTCTTATCTGTGCCGCCTCCGCCTGTGGTTGTAACGATGCTGCCTTGTTATATAGGTAGTTGAAAGAGACAACTTCGTTTCGATTTCCTCCGTTGAAGGTGATTGGTGCTTGTTATTGTTGTTAGTTGGGTATCTTCATTACCTCTATCTTCTCTACGTTCATCTGAAGGAAGTGACGTCTTCGCTGCCCACTTGTTAGTTTTCGCCCGTAGGTCTTCAAGTTTGTGTGACAGACATAAATGCTCATCGGTGAAATCCAAATCTCCTAGGGTCTTTTCATCTTTCTTATTAAACAGAAATTGGAATTATTTTTGTTGGCTAAATTAGCTTGAACCTTCTTGGCGATTTAGTTTCATAGAAGAAGTTATTCAACTCATATATTTATCTTTTCTTGCATATCGGTCTTATGTTCAACAAGTTAACTTAGGCTTTATTCTATAAATTTCATTATGATCTGCTTCTTGAAGTGACTGAATAACATCCGATTTGAAATTTCCTGTCATTAATGGATTGTGAACTAGAAAAATGTTATTGTATACCCCACTAAATATCAACACTATGATACTGGATACTCATCACTGAAATACTGTCCCCCTACTGCTGAGAAGACACGAAAGATATGACTGGGAAGGCAAAATTTATTCCTCTAAAAAACACCAGAAAGTAACTGAAAATTTTACTATTTACCTACTTGTTGTACTGATTTTATAACTGTCAAGCTCAATACAGGAAAAATGATCTTCTGTACACTAACTTGAATATAGAGTGATCTATCCACATTTCTTCCTGAGTGATTCAATAACATGGCATGATGAATCGGTGTATGATTGGTAGTTTTCTTTGACTGTTGTGTCACGGACACTGTACAGACTTTTCTATTGGTCATTTTTATGCCTGACCTTGTAGTTGTTTATTGTTTTTATTATTATTTTTGCTTGATACATTCGATCGATAGATTTCGATCGGGACTTAAATGAAGACAAAATGAAATTAATTAATCAGTTTTAGTCAGTAAGACAAATGCCGGAAAGCTGGAAACCCAAGTGTACAGGAAGCGAACACACACTGACCAAATCCTCAACTACAATAGCAACAACTCAACAACATACAAAATCAGTTGCATGCAGACTCTATTCAAAAGAGCGAGAACACACTGCAGCACAACAACTGCTAGGAGAAAGGAAGAAAATTACTTGATGTCCACCCTAAAGAAGAACGGCTACCCACGAAACTTTATCAGAAGATGCCTATCCCGTGCATCATCAACTACAAAGTCATCGACAGAAATCATTGAACGCATCATCCTACCATGCATAAAGAATATACCAGAAATCACGACAAGATTGCTGAGACCACTTGGAATTGGTGTGGCTCATAAACCAACAAACTCCCTCCAAACACTTTTGTGCAGACCAAAGGATGAAACAATCAAAGGAGACCAATTAATTATCATCATTTACAAAATCAACTGCAACAACTGTAGTCAACACTATATCAGCCAAAGTGGTCGCCCTCTTCACCTTCATCTATATGAACACCAATAGGCTATTAAACGTCACGACACTTCATCACTCATTTCAATGCACGTGGATAACAACCATGGAGATGAATTTGATTTCGACAATATAGAAATGTTGGAGGGAGAGAGGAAACACAAAGAATGTCAGAGAATTTCTAGAAGCTTGGCATTCAGATCAGTCAGTCAGTCAGTCAATCAACAATCAACAGATGTATAGACATGGACTCAACCTATCAACCAATAAGAAAAATGATAAACGACAGAAAGGTCAGAGGTGCAGCAGAAGAACCGGCAGCCAACAGGAAAGTCTTCACAATCAATGACACAACAATCGAAGGAAACAACCAATCACAGACCACATCATCAGATGAAGCCATTAAATTGACAGCTCACTTCATACTGAAGTTAGTGTTGATGATGTCGTCTAGCAAGGCGATGAAATCTTCACGATTAAGCAACCCAGCTTCTCAGAGAACACAACACAACCAAGAAATTAATTACTCTTTGGTTGATAATCAATGTAGATTATAGGTCTGTATCTGTACACTTATTGATTATTGATTAACCTGAATATAGGGATTTTAGGAATTTTTTTAGTTATTTGTTGTGTTTCTACTGTTCAAGATCTCGACATTTACAAAATTAACTTCTAGTCCACTGTTATCCAAATGCATTAATATAAGCGACGAAATTTGGTGAATTTAGTTGCTAGCTGGCACTCATGTAATCGATAATGAAGAATTATTATTATTATTATATTATTAGTCCCTTGGGTTCCTAGTGGAACATAGGGCTTCAGTAGCACGCCTCCAGTGACCTCTGTTCTCTGAGATCTTTTGAACCTGGTTCCACGACAGCCCACAAGCTCTCATTTCCTCCTCGCACGACCTCCTCCATGTCACCCCCACCTCGGACGTCCAACTCGTCGTTTCCCATGGGGATTCCACTCGAGCGACTGGCCTGACGCGTGATGTCCCCAGTCGGCCTTCTCAGTGCATGCCCAATCCATCTCCACTTCTTCCTGCATATTTGTTGCGTGATAGGTTGTTGGTTGGTTCGTTCCCAGAGTTCCTTGTTGCTTATTCTTATTATTCTGGCCATCTGATCTTCAGTATCGAGCTAGCGTAAGCAGTTATTGATGAATGTCTGTAGTTTGTTGGAAATCCCTTTCGTAGCGCGCCAAGTCTCTGAACCATCACACAGAAGCACTGACTTGACTGAGGTTGGTGTTGAAAATCCGTATCTTGTTCCGCATGCTGAGTGCAGTGCAGAAGATCTCCACACTGGTTTCAGGCTAATGAACGCCTGTCTTGCTGTCTTTCCGATTCTGACTTTGACGTTCTCGTCCGTCCCGCCTGTAGTTGAAACAGTGCTTCCTAGGTAAGTGAAGGAGGTTACTTCCTTCAAGTTTCTCCCGTTGACGGTGATTGGAGTTTGTTGTTGTTGTTGTTGATGGTGGTGGTGCGGTATCTTCATCACCTCTGTCTTCTCTATATTCACCTGAAGTCCCGTCTTCGCTGCCTCTTCTATCAACTTGTTAGTTTTTGCCTGTAGATCTTCAAGTTTATGTGACATTAAGCATAAGTCATCGGCGAAATCCAAGTCTTCTAGGTTCTTTTCCGTCGTCCAGTGTATCCCCCTTTTCTCGCTGCCTACTGTTTGCTGCATGATCCAGTCCACCACAATAAGGAATATCATGGGGGATAGTAGGCAACGATAATGAAGAATATAATTCTATATTTCATTATTTTTTTTTATATACAACACAGTGACACAGTATTATATACTAGGAAACGTTTTAATTTCTCTGCTGATCTAAGTTTTTCAAGTTTTCAGGTTTCTCTCTACATACTTTGCTTTTGTGTAATCTGAATTCCTGCTACTGGTAATGAGGCCCTTTATCTTGGTTGTATTGTCTTCTTTGATCTGAAATGTTTACTCGTGGATCTTTCATTGTCTTGCTAGACGATATCATCGGCAAAAACTTCGGTATGAAGTGATCTGTCAATATCTCTCCATGAGTGATTTAGTAGCTTGTCCTGACTAACTGGTTTGTGATTGGTTATTTCCTTTGATTGTAGTGTCATTGACTTCATAGATTTTCTTGTTGGGTGTTCCACGGCTTCACCTCTGACCTTTCTGTCGTTTATCATTTTTCTTATTGGTTGATAGGTTGAGTCCATGTCTATACATCTGTTGATTGTTGATTGACTGACTGACTGACTGATCTGAATGCCAAGCTTCTAGAAATTCTCTGACATTCTTTGTGTTTCCTCTCTCCCTCCAACATTTCTATATTGTCGAAATCAAATTCATCTCCATGGTTGTTATCCACGTGCATTGAAATGAGTGATGAAGTGTCGTGACGTTTAATAGCCTATTGGTGTTCATATAGATGAAGGTGAAGAGGGCGACCACTTTGGCTGATATAGTGTTGACTACAGTTGTTGCAGTTGATTTTGTAAATGATGATAATTAATTGGTCTCCTTTGATTGTTGTATCCTTTCATCTCTTTATTCAACTGACATTAATTTATGTCCGTAATCACACATCATTTATAGATGGAACTACTGATCTAGAGTTCCAATACAGCTCTCGGTTTTAGTTAGTGTCATATTCTTAGCTAGATGACAGAAACATGAAGTTTTCATTGTCATTTTAGACAACGTCATTAGCAAAATCTTCAGGTAGAATTGAACTATGAGATTTTCTTAACAAATAGCCTACTGTCGTATCCTGATAACCTTGGATGCGATTGGTTTTTTCTACTATACTCTTGTAATTGTCTGCACTCTTGTTTTGTCTGGCTATTCTGCTGACCTGGAACCTAACTTTCTCGTTGTTTCTTGGTTTTTATTGATTGATATATTTGATATATATATCTATGTCAATATGTTCATTGATTGCTGACCTGTCTGTTTAGCAAACGTCTTCAAATTTCCTCTATCCAAGATTTCCACATTTTCTCACTTAAATTCATATCCATAGTAGTTTGTATGAATCAGTGTAGATGAAGATGTATCGTGTCGCTTCTCTGTCAATAATATTGAACTTGTCTACGTTTGCGATTCCAACTTTTAGTCCGTGTTGATGATGTTTTCTAGAGTAACGATGAAGGCTTCATAAATAAACTGTTCATCACACCATCGAAATCATCCACCTGAGCTGCAAATATTCTTTAACATCATATGATCTCAATAAAGCTGGCGATTATTGACATAATGAACCATCATTCTCTCTCTCTACTCCAATTTTTGAATCTGATATATTGGTGAAGTTAAAAATTGCTAAAACTAGTCGCACTACCCTAAAGTACTGTATACATGTCATTAATAATCAGGAAACTAACCAATGATAATTATCACACCAGTAAGCTTTTATTCTTATTTTTCTCCTAATTAGATATGGGTGTATAAAGCTATAAATGTCACTTTACTGTATTATATCTACTTATATTATTATTATTATTTGCCCCTTGAGTTCCTAATGGAACATAGGACTTCAGTTACACGTCTCCATCCCACTCTATTCTCTGTAAACTTTTCAACCTGGTTCCACAAAAGCCCACAAGTTCTCATTTCTTCCTCACACCATCTCCTCCATGTCACCATCGCCTTGGACGCCCAACTCGTCGTTTCCCATCTAGGTTCCACTCGACACCCTCGTCTGGCCCGTGATATCCCCAATCGGCCTTCTCAGTGTATGCCCAATCCAATCCATCTCCACTTCCTGCTACTGCATATTTGTTGAGTGATAGGTTCTCGCTTAGTTGGTTGGTTGCCAGTCAGCCAACCAGAGTTCCTTGTTGCTTATTCTCATTATTGTGGCCATCTGATCTTCAGTAATGAGCCAGTGTAGTCAGTTGTTGATGAGTGTCTGTAGTTTTTTGGAAGTGGTTTTGGTAACGCGTCAAGTCTCTGAACCGTATAGAAGCTATGACTTGACGTTGGTGTTGAAAATCTGGATGTTGTTGAGGCTTTATACTGAGTGCAGTAGATCTCCAAACACTGGTTTCAGGTTAATGAAGGCCTTTCATGCTGTCTTTGTGATCCTGGTTTTGAAACGGTGCTGCCGATGGGGTAGGTGAAAGAGACAACTTCCTTTAGGTTTCTCTCGTTGATGGTGATTGGAACTTGTTGTTATTGATGCTGTTGTTGGTTGGGTATCTTCATCACCTCTGTTTTCTCTACATTCACTTGAAGTCCCGTTTTCGCTGCGTCTTGAGATTGAGATAAAGTCAATCTGGTTTTTAGTGTGTCCATCTGGTGAAAAGAAAAAAGCAGGTACAAAAACCGAAATCAGCAGATAAAAGATGAGTACCACATAAAATCTATAAAAGCTGATTGATGATTAAAGGTGAAGTAAAAGCCTGTATAGGAATAGAATTTAGAAACATCCTACCTCTAGAATACCAACTTGGCTATGCATCAACTAAACTGCAAGATCCAACTGCTTTCCAGTTCTGAACTTTAATCATTAAGGATTTTAATGGATTACCATACAAAATCCGTGATATATAACTATCTGTTCATTCCAATTGACACTTTCAGTAACACCAGTCTACCAAATCATAGTTATCTTATATAGTCTCACTGATAATCAATATGCGTAGTTTGCCGTAACACTTCATATAAAGTATCACAGAAATAAGATGGAGAATCATTAATAGTATAAAAAGCATTTATAACTACTGCATAAGATTAAAGTTTTGTGTTTTCCAGTGTTTTTTTTTCAACAAAAAATCCCTTACATTTATTTTATTACATATATATAATGTATATCTTAAATATGTTAGTGATGGATCGTGGCTAACAGTGGAATTCAGGATGCACATTTCGTCCTATTCGGGACTCGTCAGCTGGATGTACCTGCCTGTTCCCAGTGAGTGATGTTGTTCCCACCGAGATCAATTCGGTCCAATCAACGATGATATGATATAAAAAACAATTATACTATGTAATGTGTTTTTGAAATGAATGAGGATTTTTAATTTAGAAGTAGTATTCATCATGGACTGACATCAGTTGGGGAACCATTGAGAATCTGCGAGCACTGGACAGCTGTTTCAATCTAGTATAGGACTCCTCAGCGGTACGCACCCACGACCTGGCTAGGGGTCGAACCCAGGACATTAAGGTTTCAAAGCGAACGCGTTAACCATTCAGCCACTGGGTCGGTTTCCAGTGGTTCACAATTTCCAACTTCTATCAATTCACAACATAGCGTGACTGTCACCCAAGGTCTTCAGTTAACATCCACTTCACCTCTGACTGGTTGACCCCACAGGTCACGGCTTCTCATTAAAACTTCCTAACATCCATCTGGAAGCAAGTCACTAATGAGCACTACACGGTAATGTATTTTTGAGATGAATGGGGATTTTTAATTTGGAAGTAGTATTCATCATGGACTGACATCAGTTGGGGAACCATACTAGGATGAAACAGCTGTCCAGTGCTCCCAGATTCTCAATGGTTCCCCAATTGATGTCAGTCCATGATGAATACTACTTCTAAATTATACTATGTCTTAAATAGTAATATACTTTAAACATCTTTTCCCCAGACCAGAATTATATAGATAATGCCTATTATTCACCTGTTTCCATGAAAGATAAATATATGATTTATATTTTGTTTTTATTTTAATAGAAAAATTTTTGATGCAACTGCTGGACCATTCCCTTTTCTACCACAAAAAGTTTATCATTTTGCTAGTGAACGCTTTGTCAATACTCCAGTCAGTGTCCAAGATCAAGCACTGAGTTGGTTAGAGGTAATAAGCTTATACATATATGTTAGATGTTTATTATTTTAAGGATAATATACAATCTTTTTCCAAAATATATTCTTGTAAGCGTTAATTTTCTTCAATTGTACCATAGTGTAGATTGCTGATCCATGTATCAAGCAAGGCATAAAATAAGCATGGTAAATAATTTCAAGTGACTTTTACAGCACTATTGATATATGGTGATTCGTATCAAATTAGAAAATTTTTAACCAGTTATGGCCATAAATAGGAAGTTAATCCTATGAACAACTAAGTCGTCACCCTTTATATCTTTATCATCAGTGACTTGATACAGCCTGAATTTTGTATGTGTGACGACGCTCACAAAAATACCTTCAGATTCCATCCTTACTGGTTAATCAGTTTCTCTAAAAATAGAAAAGGTGGTGATAGAACAGAAGGTGTGTTTACAAGGTCAACTTCAACAGTATACAGAATACATGGTTTTATCTATGTCACGATGGCTTTGACTATTTCCATGGGAAATAAACTTAAATCTTAATGATTACTCTTCTCTTCAATCAACCTGATACTTACACTTTGGTTCACGTATTATTTTCCTCAACTTCGAAGTAAAGCGAATTGGTTGAAAAATGCTTTAGGCGTAGTGTCGGAGTCTGAAGTAACTAAAATGCATTTGGAAATGAAGGAAATAATTTGTTAACACTTTGAAGTAGGGCATTTCATGAACCTTCTGCTTCCCACTTGAAAGAAGTAGACTGAAGTGTGATGTCCACGAATAGTCCTCTCAATGTATGCTTAATTCAATCCATCTCCACTTTCTTCGGCATATTTGTTGGGCGATAAGTTATTAGTTGGTTAGTTGCCAGTCAGAGTTTCTTGTTGTTCATTCTTTCCAGCCATGTGATCTTCGGTATCAAGTGAATGTAGGCGGCAGCTGTTAGGCTGTTAGGTTGAAATAGTCTCTAGACTAGACTAAGTCAGAACAGAAGTGATTAGACTGAATGGTTGATGGTTATATTGCCTTCTGCAATTACTTTTAAAAGGTCGACCATTACATAGGTTACCTTTAAAATGTTTCACTTTTTTCAGGTTTTGACAACTGTCGAAGTTCCAATCCCCATGAAAGAACTGCTTACAATGTTTGCAGCCGGTATAGCATCATTCTACTTGGAATTACTATTACCTTCTAACGAAGAATATGATGATGATGATGATAACGATGCTGTTGATGAAGACTTGACATATCAAGATTCTGATGAAAATTCATTTGACCAAAATACAGTGAGTGAAACCGATTGGTTAACGGAACACGGGATTTCATCGGAAAAAATGTTGAATGATAATGACAATGAAGATGCTGATGAGGATGATGATGGTGGTGCTGGTGTTGAAGATCATTTAAAAAATGAGGATGAAAGTGATGTCTTCTTAGAAGAATCCAGTCATTCAAGAGTAGTTGAAGAAGAATATGTAGATAGAAATCCTGACCCAATTGATAATCAATTTGTATTAAATGAAAATGATTATACAGAAGTTGATGAAGATTTAACATTAGATGAAACTAAAAGTCTTTTATCAAGTAGTATGGAAGGCAAAACTAATCCCAAATCATTTTCATCATCTTATCCACGTAAAACAAATAAACAATCTCGTATTCCATTCACAGTAGAATCAAGTGATCGACATACTAAATCAATAATTCATGATCCAAGCTCAAAATCTAATGATCATATTACAGATCATAAAATTGATGAAGATAAATTAAATCAACATAATCTTATAGATGAAAATGAAGGAAAACAAATGCCTAAATCTGATATTCCAGTTATTCATGATCCAGTTGAACAACAAACTAAGAAACATGGATCACATATAACACCATATAGAATGACCGCTTGTTTAACACATATGTTAGACATTGCATACCGTCAGGTTAGCTTTAACTGTCATCATTTTTTGAAACTAGGTGATAATTTATTTTCAGTATTTTTCACTCATAGGCTTACTCTTATAAGACCAATTCGTTTTTTTGGCTCAATGTGATTTCCACTTTTTTTCTGATGCATAAGTTGTCACTAGATAACTCAATGAATAATATCGAGTAAAAAAACTGACTTATGGAATAATCATTGATTGGATAATTTGAATGTAACTTCATTCACTTGGCTGTTGGGAGTTCTGTATAACGGTCCAAGTTACTACGCTTCATATCACTATATCATTCTGTAGAGGATCAAGATGAGAGATATCGGAAAGAAGTGTGAGATAAAAATTTAGATGGAAATGATATGTGGATTCATTCACACTACTGACACTGATTCTAAGTGATATCTCTTAAAGTTTCGAAACCATGATTTCCTTTCTTCCTCTGACCACAGCAAGAAGGTGTACATTTCCCTACATTACTCCAACTGACTCCCAAAGACTTTATGGACTAATCCCAAGTATTAGACTTGTAGTCTTTAACCTTTCTCAAAGTTTTAAACCTACTTCTGCTGGTAATATGCATAAATTTATTATATAAACTAAGTTACCAACAGTGAGAGATGCATAGGCCCGAAAAAACATTATTTAATCTGAATATCTGCCCCAATGTAATGTTAGCTTGCAGTTGCTACATGACACTTTAATGCAGACATTATGAAGAATAATGAATTACCAAATCATCATATCTAAAACGGAGTCAGAACATTATTTTCCAAACGATTTGGGTTAGTTTATTTATTCAAACTATTCTAGTGTTGTCTGATATGCTTGAATTGTTTACAGAGCTGAAATGTTGCCAAAAGATTAGCTTTTATGTTATTACTTGTATTATTTCATCATTGATTGGACCGAGACAGATACATGTAGCCAACGAGTCCAAAATGCGACGAAACCTACGTCCTGGATTCCAATGCTAGGCACTATCTACAATTATTATAAAAGATTAGTTTATCTTAGAAGATTATATTTTGCTTATAAATTTTATAGAAGTGATCACATTCATTTATCCTTTTAAAAAATTAATATCTTTAGTTAAAGATTATGGATCCAATTGGACATTCAGGATTTACACAAGAGACACCTAACTTATTGTTATGGCTTCTTGGTGATATGTTAGAACTATATTGGGGTAATGTTGTTGAGACAGACGATGAAACAATGAGTCCAGGCTTAAGAAATTTACGCTGCAAGGGTTTGGAAACATGTATTCTACCAAAAACGAAAAGTAAATTCACCAACGATAGTAAACCTTCAACAGGAATAACATCAGCCAAACCGACTGCTGTTAATAACAATAATGATAATAATCTAACTGAAGTAAACAAACAAACTGACAATAGTGCTGACGAATGCATTGACTGTTTAGACATGTTAACATGGTTCAATTATGCTAGACTAATATGTCAACACTTAGCACCTATTAGACCAACTCCTAAAGTGACAATTGAATTTACAATCGATGCATTGACAGCAGCTACAAATTTTCCAGGTAGGTTTTTTGAAAGGTATTTTTACTTTTGTTCAGAAACTTTTTGAACAGAAAATTCTGTGGTCAAATCAATTTCATTTATTATTATTATTATTATTATTATTATTATTATTATTATTATTATTATTATTATTAGTCCCTTGGGTTCCTAATGGAGCATAGGGCTTCAGTAGCACGTCTCCAGTGAACTCTGTTCTCTGAAATCTTTTGAACCTGGCTCCACGACAACCCACAAGCTCTCATTTCCTCCTCTCATGATCTCCTCCATGTTACCCTCGGCACCGACGTCCAACTCGTCGCTTCCCATGGGGATTCCACTCGAGGGACTGGCTGGCCTGACGCGTGATGTCCCCAGTCGGCCTTCTCAGTGTATGCCCAATCCATCTCCACCATCCAATCTACAGTATCCAGCTAGCGTAAGAAGTTGTTGATGAATGTCTGTAGTTTGTTGGAAATCCCTTTTATTACTATTATTATAATTATTTGTCCCTTGGATTCCTTGTGGAACATACGGCTTCAGTAGGACGTCTCTATTGCACTCTGTTCTCTGCAGATTTCTTAACTGACTCCTCGACTTCCCAGAAGCTTTCATTTCTTCCTCACACCATCTCCTCCATGTCACCTTCGCCTCGGATACCCAGCTCGCCGTTTCGCATTTGAGTTCCATTTGACGGCCTGGCGTATGATGTCTCCAGTCGACCTTCTCAGTGCATGCCCAATCCAATCAATCTCCACTTTTTTCTTCTGCATATTTGTTGCGCAATGGGTTGTTGGTTGGTTCATTCCCAGAGTTCCTTGTTGCTTATTCACATTATTCTGGCCATCTGATAGACCTTCAGTATCGAGTGGGCGTAGGTGGCAGCTGTTGATGTGATGTATGTCTGTAGTTTGTTGGAAATGTTTTTCTTAACGCGCCAAGTTTCTGAACTATATAAAAGCACTGACTCACTTGACTGAATTGATGTTGAAAATCCGTATGTTGTTCACGCTTTATGCTGAGTGTAGTAGATCTCCACACTGGTTTCAGATAAATGAAAGCCTGCCTTGCTGTCTTCCGGAGCCTGACTGCTTTGACATCCTCATTTTTGCCTCCACCGCCGCCTGTAGTTGAAACGATGCTGCCTTGTCTAGGTAGGTGAAAGAGACTACTTCGTTTAGGTTTCTCCCGTTAATGGTGATTGGTGCTTGTTGTTGATGCTGTTGTTGGTTGGGTACCTTCATCACATCTGTCTCCTCTTCGTTCATCTGAAGGAAGTGACGTCTTCGTTGCCTCGCCTCTTCTATCAACTTGTTAGTTTTCGGCAGTAGATCTTCGAGTTTGTGAGATACTAGACATAAATCATCGTCGGCGAAATCCAAATCTTCTTCTAGGGTCTTTTCATCGTCTCACCCACCGTATGTCCATCTTCTCTCTCGTCACGGTTTGCTGGCATCATTCTGGATCATGCAGCTGCAGAGAATTACTAGACTTATGGTTTTTTGGAAGGTCATAAGGCCATCGATTATATTTTCAATATGATCAGATAAGTCAGCCAACACGAAATCTAGGTCTAGGGCTTCCTACCTATTGCCCCTAACCAACTAACATCTACTAATATGCACCACTATGTCGAACCTCCTAGCTTGGTGGCCACATTGCAAATATGATCGTTAGGATTCGGTCTGCACTTAGGACTAGACAACTTAAAATCGGCTGCTCTCTCGTGACCAATCAATACAGAAATTATATATGTTAGTCGAGAGCAGTGATAACTTATGTATGATGAGATCGATAATTTTAGACATATATAGAGGAAACAGATTCAAGTGAACAAAGATTTTACAGGAAGGAAATTGTGAAACAATCATAGCACTACATAAGCACATGAAAACTCAAAAATCATAAAATTAATTGTAATCAGAACTTTTTAAGTGAAGAGAATCTGGATTTAGTCGGAATAATATTGAATTATTTGAGTAATTGAAGATTAATCATAGTCCGTTTCATGTACAGAAATGAAGTTCAATATTCCTGATTGTAAGAGCTTCATTAAAAAGCATGGTAGAATTGTTAGTTTTTGTTCATTTATTGCCCTATAAAATTCAGATATATCTATTAAGTGTTCAGTTTTAGTCAAGTTTCTAGCTATTGCACTTACAAAAACGTATTTCCCTTTGAAACACATATTTCTTGGAACGTTTTCATGAAATCAAGTAGATGTTATTCTTTCAGTGTACTTGCTTCCACAAATCCATATGTATTGGGAAAGATAATAGATGATGTGGAAAAGATATTAAGCAACCTCAGATTAGAAAGTTGCTATATAAAATAATGACAACTAGTGTTATCTACCAGGGATTCTACTGTCATCTTTCTTATTTAACTTTTTTCTAGGTGTACTAATGTACACAGCCTTAAATACCTCCAACCTTGAAGAGATTAATCTACTCTGTAGTGGGCACCTGCTTAACTTTGAGCATGCGGGCAATGTTTTTCTGTTAGGGGAGGACACTGACAACATGTAGAGTCTTTTGAATGTGTTGGGTAGAAATATGAATATCTGTTTGGTAGCTAACAATGGAATCCAGGAAGCGCGTTTTTTTCTCTTTTGAGATTGGCTATCTGAATTCACCAGTACTTCAGCAAGTGATGTTCTTCTATGCAGATATGTTTTAGGCAGCAGAGGTTGAGCCATTTGACACTGTATAACAAGGGGAAATTACAAGTTTCAAAAGAAATATGAGTGTATTTGGCACGTGTTCCACATCTATCAGATGTTGGATGTTATTTCAGGACCGATTTACAACTACTCCCTTTTTAAGGAAGGGATTGAAGTGGTAGAACGTGTTGACCACTACACTTATAGGTGGCTTTAGCTGAAACAAAGCATCGGCTCTACCACAAAAGATCCATTTGAGATTTGCCAGCTTGGTTCATCGTTAGTACTGGAAGTTATCTGATCGCCAATTGTGAGATGAGTGTACTGTGCAGCAGTTCGCTTCATCCTATCGTATGACTTTGAGAAACAGCTACTGGAAACAGGAGGCTTTATGGGTTTCAGATCAAGGGCGTCTTCATAGCATTTCTCTCGTTTGGTGGAATGAGCACTGTCGAGGTTAGGGTAAGAGGGCTAGGCGAGGAGACAATTCAGTCGATGTGGTTGTAAGTCTTGACCAATTAAGGTAGCTTTGAAGGCTGTTGTGCATCTCAAACCACCACCTAACTTGATCTTGAATGTTTGGATTAGGTTGGGAGATGGGTCAGGGTGGCCAGGCGGAGATGTGACCTCAGTCCACGAAGTCTGTGACATTTGGTCTAAGCCGTTAAGAGAGGTATAGACTACCTACCTGAGCTCTTCAAAATAAGAGGAATCATTGTTTGAAGACTTTCTAATACAACTGAAAATCGGCTACCTTTGTGCAGATTTATTCACCCTTCAATGTCTTAGGCCTAAACATTTTCACTAACCACCATTTTTCAAATATTTTTCCTTTCCATACACTTTTGTTTACTTGATTGTCGTTCTCCTCTCTGTGCGTTCTTTGCAGTGTGAAGTGTAGTAACTGGGGCCGGTTCAGTATTCTGAGAGGTTCTACGTTGATTCTGTTTGTTTGTCTATCTACAATTGGTTTAGTGAAAACGAACTGGTGTAAAATGATTTCATTATAACGAAAGTGAAGCTTCTTTTCAGTGCACCTTTTATCCATGTATCTATCTTCTCTGATACATCATCTCTCTTCGATATCGAACTAACAAAAACCGATTTCTCCTTAACATTTAAACGTTTAAGTTTTCATCAGTGTATTCGCTTCCACATTTCTATTCTCCAGTTTATCATTTGAACATAGTAATCCTATTCTGTTGAAGTGTGTCCTAACTGAAACTTGTTTATAAGACATAAGACATAACGGGCTGTAGTTTAGGTGGTGACCCATTCATGAATGTGTAGTTTTCTCGTTTATACCATCATTTCTGCCTAATACATGTAAAAACAAATATTTAAGTCTGCTTCCACTCTCCTACTGTATGTTCAGTTGACCTTAGTTGAAAGCCTCAACTGAAAAGTTTTACTGTGTCAAATAGTCAAATATATCATGAACTTACATTCTGAAGATGTCTAGGATCAACTGTTCTAGACATCAGTTCCTTAAACAGGTTAACGAATCAACTGTTTCAATTAACAACTGCATAGATCCAAGCACTGTTATGTTGTCGCTGTTGAAACCAAAATCTTAACTCACTCAGCAACCTTGTGCACATTCATGTAGTAGGCAATAAGCCGGACCTATTGTGTGAGGGCTATTGAAACTACTACGTGGCTTTCCAAGCCTTAGCAGATGAAGTGGTGTTCGAACCAATGATATGTCGATTGAGGTTTGAAATCCCATAATCCCAAGTGAATGGATTAAACCTGAGGACTGATCACTTGATACTGATTAAACATATCGACGAAGGATGTACCAAATTTATAAAATACTTGAAGTTATTAAGACTGAGAACTAACAAATTATTCCTTGCGAACAAACTGAAAAAATTATACAATTTCTTTACTCCTACTGATTCTGAACTCTCTACACCTGAGTGCTGTGAAAAAATAGACCTTAGTCACTAAATGTAGGGAAACATTGAAGAGACTCCATGTCTTTCTTAAGTCTTGTTTTATTACACTAAGAATAAATTTGAAGTAGTGAGTGGGTATTTAAGCATACTTTTCAGCGAAAAACTGAACAGGATTCAATCAAAGTCTTGGTACAAGTATTGTGTGAAGACTAAATTGAATACCTTATAACCATTGCCAAATGTTACTTGATAAGGTAACTGAAACTCCATTATATTCCCAAACGACAAGTCCGAAGCTTCAACCTTAATAGTTTCATTGGTTCAGGTAAAGAACAACCTTGTATCTTATCAATTATAACAGATAAAACTATTAGTTAATGTGTTTCACACGTAAAAAGAAAGTAGAAATCCAACCACCAACCGCGTGCACACCTGTGTAATAGACAATGAGCCACATTAGTTCTGTGAAGGCTAGTGATATTGCCTAGCTGCACAAATCTTAGTAGATCGAGGGAATTTCGATGTCATCCGTCACTGGCTGATAGTCAAATCCCAAAACTAAATCCCGAATCAAAATTATCTTGAAAATAAGTAGTCTGATTACGATAAAATAAGGAAATGATCAAGCTGTAGCGTTGAATAGTGAAGGTAGTAATGACATTTTATCTCCAGGTGTGTATGTATATATATCTAAAGTATTTTGATAATACTAACTACAGAAATCAGAGTTTTGTCTAAGTTAATGAGAGTTGAATGTGAAATACAACATTAACATGTAGATATCGTCAAAATTTTACTCAGAAAAGTTATTTAAAAGTGGTTATTTGATTGTGTATGGCGACATCAAGCACCATGCCCTTGAGTGGAATCCACATACGAAACGCCTAGTTGGGCTTCCGAGGCGAGGTTGACATGAAGGAAATCATGTGAGAAAGAAATAAAAGCCTATGGCCACCCATGGAGTCAGGTTGAGTAGACTGTATAGAAGAGAGTGAAATGATGAGGTGCTATTGAATCTTTGTGTTCCACCAGGAACCTAAAGGGATAAACAATAAAATAGTAATTTGGTTGCTCAGTAATTTTTCTTGAATTCTAAAGGTTGCGTGTATACCACCTAGTTTGAAATGGGAATTTATTTCTGTTATACACACCATTTCGATTATAAAATTAGATACTATCTATTACCATCAATACTTTTATATCATGTTTATAAGACGGATGCTGTATAGCACCAGAATTCTTTGAGCTTGAATAAAACAGATATTACAACGTCTCTCCTTTTTATGTTCACTTGAGTAACTTCAGTTGGTAAGGAGAAAATTATTTTGGAATCCTGTCAATCCGTTATGCATCAATACTGAATTTTGGATAAGATTTATGATGTTAATGTTTTTAATATGAATTACAATTTTTAATCTTTTTTCCCTTGTAAACCACTGTTTATTAATCAAAACAGTGGCCAGTGGGTAACTTATATGGTCATTTAGTCATTAAGGTGTCAACGCTAATGAAATCCTATCTGCTGTGCACTTGACTGAGTTATACAGGGTGTCAGTTTTGGGCCGAGTAGCATAGCAGTAAGCAATTTGACTTCAGCATTGAGTGGTACAAGGTGGAATGACTAGGCAAACAGCGATTCACTCATGGTTCCAGCTAAGCTTTGCTGATAAGTCCCAACAGATGTAAAGACCAGGTCAACTATCGCTGTCTGCTGATTGATCTCTGGTGGTTTGATTTAATGCTCAAAACTAACAATCCAAGCAGAGTTTATGGTACGATTAAGGTTCATAAACCATATTAGTCAATTAGATCCATAGTCGACTTCAGAAATACCCCAACATTTGAAGTAGCAAGGTACTTACTATCGATATTGTGTCCTCTTAGGAACCATTCAAATTCCAGACTAGTAAACTTTTAAGAGTTAAAACTAAGGCTTAATGACCTACACATAGAAGAGGATGAAAAAATGGTTAGCTTCGATGTAACAAGTCTTTATACTAAATTATCAATCAATATGGCACTGGAGGAAGTCAGGAGTCAACTAAATATTGACTCAAAACTTAATCACAGAACTAAGATATCGGTTGATGAGATCATATTAGGCATACAATTGCGTCTGACCTCCATAATCTTCAGGTTTCAGGACAAAATATACAGACAAAGGGCAGAAGTAGCAATGGGACCACCAATATCCCCAATGGTAGCAGATGTATTCACGGATGGTTGGAAAGACATGGCTTTACAAACGTTTAGTCGTACACAAAAAATATGATGGCGATATATGGCTGAAACGTATCGACAATTTCCTCACACATGTAAACTCAGTAGTAGGTGCAATTCAATTCACTTACAAGTTAGAAAATGAACAAGGAGAATTACGTATGTTAGATTGCAGAATAAAACGAAGGATAGATTCTGGTGTTATTACTACCGTCTTCTGAAGGAATCCAACACATTCTAACTGGTATCTAGATTTCAACTCATCTCATCCAATGTCAGTTAAGACAGGTTTAGTCAGATGTTTAAATGATGGAGCTAGAAAACTGACTAGTCAGTGCAAGGACCTAAACAAGGAACTGAAACACGTAAAAGAAGCACTATTAGTTAATAATTATCCTCCCCAGTTTATTAAGAAATTCCTACGAACGGTAATATGAATGCAAATAATAGCGACAGCACAAGTAGAAAGGATTGCACAGCCTCCTTTGTATTACCCTATAAGGAGGGTACCTCAGAAACTTTACGTAGGACCCTCAACGGAGCTGGAATTAGGGTGGTATTTAAACCTACAAATCCAATCAGAAATAAACTTTGTCGACTGGCTTAAGGATCTGATAGAACCAACTAAGCAAAATAATCTAATCTATCAAATTTCATGTAATGACTGGTAGGTGAAATACATAGGTCAAACTAGCCGATCGGGGTCAGTTAGAGTAGCGTAACATATGAATTTAGCTAAATATAGAATGACGTACCCGAATAAGATCAATAATCTAGAAGGAGACTCGGCTATTAGAATGCATGCATCAGCGCACAAAACCACACAAAAGGGTGGGATAAAACCAATATACTTGTGTTGGGACAGAGATTGATTACTGAATCTTTGTTCATTGAATCAACACTCAACCCAATGTATGTAACAGAAATGAGGCAACACTTATGCTAGAGATATGGAAAATCTTACTACCAATAGAGACAAAGAATATTAGGTGACAGGAGTATAAAAATTGTTTGTTGAAATTGATGTGATTACATTGAGGTATGATTATGAGCAATGATAATTTATGCTGAAAACTTCATCATCAAGTGAATAATACTGTATCAGTATTGTGTATTATAAATCAAATCAATAAAGTTAATATGGAATTTCGATAACGCTATTAGAAGACGAAGATTATCTGAGCAATGTGATGTATTTGCGCAATACATCTCGAACACTCTGATCCCCCACACATTTACTTGTCAAGTCAATTTATATATGAAAATTAAAGGTCAAATATAGTGAATATGAAAAGGTTGTGACACTAGTCTTGGTAATACAATCAGATAAGGATTACCAAGGTAAATTAAGTGAAACCACAAATTGTTTTTGTACACACAGTGGGGGATTAAGTTCACGAATGGCTAACGCTTCGGCAAACTTCAGTATGCACCCCTGATTATTCCTGTATATTATCTCAAACGCTGTTTTCGTATTAACCCTGTGATTCATTTCAATAATATGTTTTGCTATAGATGACGATGGATGTCTGTCACCTGCACTTATCAAAGTTTGTGTGTTCAACTGTTTTTCTAGCCATTTGGGGATGCGTTCACCCACCCTAGTCTGCATTGAACGATTACTCCTCCCTATGTATGTGTGCACACACATACATGTAAATTGGTAAACACAGTGGGATGTGACGTAAGCATTTGTGCGAGGTTGAGGTTTATGGCGAAGGCAGTGTTTTGTCGTCTCAACAATTATAAGCTGAGCTGCATAGTATGTTTTACTGATAACAGATTTTAATCTCTGCTTCAATATCATACTACTTGTTTCCCCTCATTATGGTACTTTAAGAAATATGCTTTTCTTCAGGACCGAGGAAACTGTAGGCTTTGGGGTCAACTGTTTTTTACAATGTTTGACAAACTGTAATGGATAAGCGTTTTCCACTAGAGTGTCTGTCAGAATCTTATTCTCATATGGAATTAAATTCTTCCATAGTGCTCAAGTTCTACACCTATATTAATGATCTCTTATATGACATAAAGGAATTCAATAATAAGAAAGATAATGAGAGGAATAAAAGATAAGACTTGAAGATGGTAGATGGCAGACAACCATCATCATCCATTGCGAAACATATCATTGATAAGAGTCACAGAATTGATATCAAGACAGCCTTTACAATTTTGTACAGAAACTATCAGGGGCGTATACTTAAGTTTGTTGAGGCGCTAGCCATAAATAAATTTAACCCCCCATTGTGTGTGCAAAAACAGTTTGTCCTTACATTAAGCCTACCTCGGTAATGCTTATTTTATCGTATTACCAAGATTGTCTTCAAGTCTTATCTTTTATTCCTCTCATTATCTTTCTTATTATTGAATTCCTTTATGTCATATGTGTCCTTCCCCCACTTCCAGTTTTCATATATAAAGCCTTAACAAGTAAATGTGTGATCTCTTATATGTATTACCCGTGATTTTATCCTTGTGAAAACAGTTCCCATTTTTAATATATCGAAAACACGTTGTTGTTTGTTTGTCTACGATATATTTAAAGATTGTTTTATCACCTGTGGTGATGTTCACCTCTATATGTTAACGAAATTACGTAGTAGTGTAAAGTTACATCCATATCTTATGATAAACAGAAAACTAGAGCTAGGCATTATTTTGATGTTTCATCAATATGGAATTTCTTAACTAAAGCAATTACTTATTTGTTATGATTCATTTTAGAATACACTGAATGGAGTGATTTCAACTGTACACCTAGCCTAAATACAAAGTCTCCAACACCAACATTAGATCAAGTAGAAAAGTGTTCTTCCCTTCCTTCTTCTGAAGATCTATGTTCAGTTCCACCTGTTTTACGTCTTGTCTATTTATTGACACGATTTTTGAAAGAAGGTTCACGTTGTTGTGTTGATTATGAAGATTTAGCTGATGAGTCAGATAATTTATTTCAGAGTATGATGTCCACATCAGTAAAGACATCTTCAGCAACAATATCTGCTGAACAGCCAACATCATCGCAATTCTCTTCATCAATGAATCAAGCAACTATTGAACTTAAAGTATTTCGTGATCCTGTTGTCTTACAATGCATTTTAGAATGTCTAGCTTACTTATGTCATATTGGTGATGCGCTGAGACATATTTTAACTAAGGCAGAAAGAGAAGAACAAAAATTATCGGCGACTACTTCATCTAGCTCAACGTCTACAACCTTATCCAGTATGACTACAACGGTAGCAGCAGGAGCAATAAACATCGGTGTTGCATCAAACATGCCTATTTCCACAACAACAGGAGCACAAACAACACTTGGCGTTAACAGTTTAATGGGATTAACTGGGAACAAACTTTCCAGTCAGTTAACTAATCAAGATTTATTAAGTAAAGGCCAGTTAATACAAACTACAAAAACTTTAACATCACGTAATTGTACTGCATCACCAAGAGCACAAAAGGATTTTGTCTACTATTTGATTCATTCTCACTTGATTCCAAGGTATCGTGACTATAGATGTTTTAAAGTTTTAGTATGTTTTAGCTTGTTAAATCGTTGTTCTGTTCGGCATAAATTTTCTTTTTACATAGTTCCTATAACCGGACTGGTTGTTATTTGTCAAACCAGACCCTAACCCTATACTCATTGTACCATTTAACATAGACAGAACAAGGATAATTTGAGCGAATAATTATTTTCAAAAGTTCCTTGTTTAGGTTCAACAGTTATAAATCCATAAAAACGGATGAAATACAGTAGCCAGTGTAAAGTAAACAGTTAAAGGAAAAAATTGACAAAATCTTCATAAGAATCTGCATATGCCTAAAACACTTTTCAACTAATTAGCGTTACTTCGAAGTTGATGGAAAAAGCACGTGAACTAACGTATAAGTATCAGGTTGGTTGAAGAGACGAATAATCATTAGAATTGAAATCTAGTTGACCTGGCAATAGTCAAGCCTATGGTAACACAGATAAGATTTTATAGTTCGACGTTGTAAATACACCTTCTGTTCCATTACCGACATTTCTATTTACGAAGAAATTGAGTGGCCATTAAAGATGGGATGTGAAGGTATCGCACAAGCTTTGGCATACATATGTAGTTGAAGCTCTATCAAGTCACCAGTTAAGATATATAAAAATGGCAACTAAAGTGTGTAAAAGACAGTTAGTTAGTTAGCTAAATGTAGATTATATCAAATGGATGTACATTTTTGGGAGATGGAGTAATCACCAATCTGTTTTAGTTACTCAATGGAATTAATCTGAATTGGAAAACTGTGATATAAACCAATACATTCCAGAACTTTTGTGTAAATCATGATACCTAATTCATTGTTTTTACTAAAATATTAAAAAATATGTAAATTTTTCAAAAGGTGAAGGTAATCTGGTTCAGTTATCATGAATAATAAAGACTGATGGACATGTGACAGTGTCCCATCGATAATTGGCTAACAATTTCAATCTACGAACCTGTGTTTATAGGTCAACTGGTTACGGATAAAACAAGATCCTTTGTGATGACAACTGATAAAATAGTAAAAGTTTGACGGCTGTGAAGCTACTCAAGGTTGTGGTTGACTTGATATATCATCTACTTCAATATGACAGATAACAAATACACGTCTAATTCTTAATACCGTGCAAGGCAAAGCTTCACTCTAATGTAAGGTTGAGTTTCAAACATATATGCATTTTACAAGGATCTTTCAGTCAAAACCTATTTAGTGTACACACTTTTTCAATACTTATTTGTTCAAAGCCTTATACATTCATCATATTCACGCTTGATCCGTTTATAATTTCGTAGTACAGGAAATCTACCACATCATAACAGAGTTATCTGTTGACTTTACTTGCTGTACATATGACTTTTTAAGCTTTATGAATAACTTTAAAGTGAATCTACATTATACTGTGTTCTTTTTGACATCAAACTACTCTTTTTCAAAATAATATTGAAAGTATATCAGTCTCCTTGATGATCATCGTTTACAGGCCAACAACCTCTGTTTCTTGATATTAGAGCTGCTTTCGATTTGTTGGATAGAACTGTACTCTGGAACTATCTCTTGGAGAGGGGTGTGCGTGAGAAATTTCTTAACATCTTGAATGCCCTGTATAATCACACCTGTCTTCATTGTTTCAAACGGGCAGTTAGGCGGGGTTGCTTGATTTCCCCATTCCTCTTTAACTTTGTCATCAATGACGTTCTTGAGACAGCTGTGAAGGAAGTGCGTCATGGTGGTGTATGTCTATTACCCGGAGAATGGATGTCCGACCTTGAATATGCTGACGATATCGTCTTCCTGTGCGATAACATACAGGCTGCCCAAGTACTACTTAATCAGTTGGCGACCAGTGACCGTAATTCTGGTATGTGCTTTGAGCCATTAAAGTGCAAAGTACTCCTGCAAGATTGGCAGAAGCCTGTGCTTACTTTCACCCTTGGTGGTGAGCCGTTGGAAGTAGTCGAAAAGATTGTGTGTCTCGATGGTCATGTGAGTGCTGGTGGAGTTGTGAGTGATGACATTTCCAACTGCATATCGAAAGCCAGAGTGCATACGTCAATCTGTGCCACCTTTGGTGCCTTCAGGACGTTAGTCTGACTGTAAAAAGTTAGGTTTACAACCATTCGGTGCAAGCAGTTCTGCTCTACGCCTGCGAAACCTAACCTCTCCGAGCTGAGGATATGCGACGACTCTGTGTTCGATTATCGTTGTCTCCATAGGACTGCTCGTATCCGATGACAACAACCACTTAAGTAATTCTAAAGTACGACAACGTGTGTTGAGGTATGACGGAGATCGTCATTCGATAGGTGAACTCATCCGAAAACACCTGCTTCTGTGGCTTGGACATATGTTACACATATCATCCCAGCGGATTCCATACCGTTCATTGTTTGCTAACCGTGTGACTGGGTGGAAGAAGAGGAGGGGTGGTCAGTATATGACGTGGCGCCATAGAATGAAGAACAGTTGTATCGGGTTAGCATCTGTTAGTTCATCATGACCCTCTGGGTGGGGTCCGACAGACCATGCAACTCGATGAACTGAGATGTTATCAGATGTGGCTTGGGATTGAAACCAGTGGGGGTTATGCAGTAACTTCGTTTTATCTCTTTCGGCTGAAAAGTAGTGAATATTTTGTTTTGAATGTATCTTACTGGAATCCCTTTCTAATTATTTTATTCTTATCCACTATCCTTCGCTTTATGTCCTCACAGTGTTGTTATATCATATTGTGTGGTGCATTTCTTATTGCTCTTGCTGTACCATGTTTGTGTTCTGGTAATAGGAACAATAGTGATAATAACCCTTGGTGATTTGAAGTGAGATAAAATTCTGCTCAGCGGTCGGACCTAGTAGCTCAATTGGCATAGCACCGGGCTGGTAACTCGGTGATCTCTGGTTCGAATCCGGCTGGGTCTGGATTTCCATCTCACCTTCAATCATCACCCAGTCCAAATAAAAATAATAATAAGCCGGCGGGTTAATGCGTCATGAAGCTTTATTCGAAATGAGCAGTTAAAGGTATACTAACAAATTTCTAGCATCATATCCAAACATCCTAAATGTTTTGAAGACTAAACTTCGGTAACTACAGTGTAAATCAGATAAATTAGTTATCATTGGATTAGTGCTAAAGTTCATGCAGTTTCTGCGATGAGAATGATTGCATTCACCAACATATAAAGCTATTTCATTTGACTATCTGACATAGTAGTAGTTTGGTGGATTAGTATTTATACTGGTTGTTGATTGAAGGTGAAATAAAAATCTAGTCAGCTCAGTTGATGAAGCATTGGGCCAGAAAACCGGTGGTCTTTGGTTCAAATCCCGTTGGGGTCCAAATTTTCATTTTACCTTTAATCATCACCCAGTATAAATATGAAGCTACTTTGTAGGATTAAAAAGTATGAACAAATGGCATTAATGAAAATCTGTTTATACGTATTTCTATATATTCATTACATTTGAAAACAACTGTCTAAACTCGTTACTGAAGCTCAGATGGCGAGAAAGAATAAGCAACTAAGAATTCTGGCAATGAACCAGCCAAGAACCTATCGCTCAACAAATATGCAGTAGCAGGAAGTGGAGATGGATTGGATATGCACTGAGAAGACCATTCGGGAACGTCACGCGCCAGGTTAGGCACTCGAGTGGAACCCAGATGGAAAACGGCGAGTTGGGCGTCCGGGGATGGCATGGAGGAGATGGTGTGAGGAAGAAATGAGAGCTTGTGGACAGTCGTGGAGACAGGTTCAAAAGTTGCAGAGAACAGTGTGGTATGGAGACGTGCTACTGAAGTCCTATGTTCCCCTAGGAACCCAAGGGACAAATAATAATAATAACATTTGAAAATAATGCTGGCCTGTAAATCTATACTTAATAGTCTTTAGGGAAAATTACTGTTGAGCTATGGTGTTACCACCAACTTGTACTTCCAAGTTATCAGTAAATGGTTATATCATATCTAGAACTGAAGTGATTTAAAGTTCCTTAGATACACAGATGACTTCAAATACTAAATGTGAACTAAACTACTGATATAAAAGAGTATTAAACTGCTGAACTATTACTAGCATATCATACCACTACCAAACATTAATGTACATTTAGTATATGCTTTTGGACTGCAGATAACATGATTCAAAATCAGTCACAGTCTGAACATATGTATTTGTGATGCATCTTGAGTATTAACTTGAGAATATTTAGTTTATGCTTCTCAACACCTAGATGAGAATTGTTGTTTCAGGACTAGTTTGTGCTGCTGTCACATCTGACAGTAAGGAGAGAAGTCGTTGAGTGCACTGAGCATTTCATAATCTCTGGGAGTGCAATCAGTTTTAGGTGCCTCTCAAGACCACAAAATCTTAGGAGATAAAAGGTTCGACTGTGTTTTACCAACTTCGACCATATTTAACACTGTTGATATATCCACTTGCCTCCCAGACGTAAAGTGTACTGCACTTCAGCTATGATATGAAGTAGTTACAAGGTTTTGATCATAGATTTCTTCGCGGCATTTTTCGTGTTTGGTGGACATGTACTGCGTATGCCAAGCCCCCACATAAGTGCTATACTAAGGGAGTTTGGACTAGGCTGGAAGAAGGTTCAGGATGGACAGACAAAGACGTGATACCAGTTAATGAAGTCCTTTACTGTAGGTCTTAGCCATGCAGATCCTCTAGATGAAAGAAATTAGTGATTGAAGACACTTTATGGCCTGTCTGAAAAGCTGTCACAGTGGAGCAGATATATTCACTCTTTGGTGTCTTCTAAAGCTTGAGTAATCATACTCACCTTTATCTTCAAACTGCTTGTTCTCTCACAGAACTTCGTCTACTTTTATATAAGTCTTTTTGTACCCACCTATTCTTTGTGTATTATATATATATATATATATATATATATATATATATATATATATATATATATATATATTATTAGTCCCTTGGGTTCCTTATGGAGCATAGGGCTTCAGTAGCACATCTCCAGTGACCTCTGTTCTCTGAGATCTTTTGAACCTGGACCCACGACAGCCCACAAGCTCTCATTTCCTCCTCTCATGATCTCCTCCATGTTACCCTCGGCACCGACGTCCAACTCGTCGCCTCCCATGGGGATTCCACTCGAGGGACTGGCTGGTCTGATACGTGATGTCCCCAGTCGGCCTTCTCAGTGCATGCTCAATCCATCTCCACTTCCTCCTGCATATTTGTTCAGCGATAGGTTCTTGGTTGGTTTGTTCCCAGAGTTCCTTGTTGCTTATTCTTATTATTCTGGCCATCTGATCTTCAGTACCGAGCTAGCGTAAGCAGTTATTGATGAATGTCTGTAGTTTATTGGAAATGCCTTTCTTGGCACGCCAAGTCTCTGAACCATCACACAGAAGCACTGACTTGACTGAGGTTGGTGTTGAAAACCCGTATCTTGTTCCACATGCTGAGTGGAGTGCAGAAGATCTCCACACTGGTTTCAGGCTAATGAACGCCTGTCTTGCTTTTCCGATTCTGACTTTGACATCCTCTTCTGTGCTTGTGCCGCCTCTAGTTGAAACAATGCTGCCTAGATAGGTAAAGGAGGTTACTTCCTTTAAGTTCCTCCCGTTGATGGTGACTGGAGTTTGTTGTTGTTGGAGTTGTTGGTGCGGTATCTTCATCACTTCTGTCTTGTCTATATTCACTTGAAGTCCCATCGTCGCTGCCCTGCCTTTTCTATCAACCTGTTAGTTTTCGCCTGTAGATCTTCAAGTTTGTGTGACATTAGACACAAGTGATCACTGGCGAAATCCAGATCTTCTAGGTTCTTTTCCGCAGTCCAGCCAGCGTATCCCCCTCTTCTCACAGCTCCCCACTGTTTGCTGCATGATCCAGTCGAGTCCAGTTGACCACAATCAGGAATATCATGGGTGATAGTAGGCAACCTTCTTTGTGTACTACTGTGAAATGTGACAACTTGAAATGATACACATCTGTGCGAGATTCTACGTTGATTTTGTCAGTTTATCAGTTTTATGACTTTGAAACGTGACCATTCGAGGTGGAGGATATAGGAAAAATTCCGTTGTTCAATCAGCAATGCCTTTATAGTATAGGTCATGTTTTGTGGAAATACAAAGTTAGTATCGCAGACCTCAAGTGTTGACTCAGACATCCGGTAGAATATGTTAGTTATACCTTTTTACCATAAATCATGATGTACAATGTAAGCTGAAGTAAGATTAATCATAACTTCAGTCTTCATGAACTTCTAAATGAATTTGATTATTAACCATTTGAACCAATGTAAATCATTTATTGTACACTTATTAGTTAAATGTAACTATAATCTCTTTTTTTCATTTTTATATTGATAATAGTTTCTGGAGTCTACTGAAATCAGAATTATCTCATTTAGCCAGTTGGACAGTTCCTTTAATTTTACATTGTTTATCATTTCCTGGTGGATTTAATATATTATGGAAATTAATTGAACGTGATTTCTCACATCATGATTGGAGGATTCGTTTTAATGCTATAGAAAAAGTATCTGTACTGTTTAGAGAATTAGATTATTATGTACTTGCTGGTGGTTTCAGTGGTTCAGCTGGAAATAAACTTACTCATTTATTATCTGGTGGAAGTATGGCAAGTTCAGGTGCAGTAAATCTTTTCTGCAGATTAACTGGTACAACACATATTGGACGTACAAAACTTAATACAGGTCGTAAAAATTTACCTGGTGGTCATTTAATGCGACAACATGGTGGAACAAGTGTAGAACCAGTTAGTAAAACAAATCCTAATACCAGTAATAATCGTCATCCTTTAATTCAAAGTGCTATTGCACATGCATTTTGTTGTTTAATTGGTTCATTAGATGATCCTAATTCAATGATTGCACAGTATACTTCAATACAATTGGCTTCATTGCACAGTATTTCATTAGCGGTAAGTAAATCAACTTGTATTTATAGTATGCACTAGTGATATAAATATATTATTATCCTTAAAAGTATAATTCATAATATGGGAAGGAAATGTTGAAATTTCTACGCTATTATAGAACACATAATAAAGTGTATTAACGATGGATAATGGCTAACAGTGGAATCCAGGATGCGAATTTCGTCCTATTTGGGACTCGTTGGCTGGATTTAACTGCCTTCCAGTGAGTGATGTTGTTCCTACCAGGATTTCTTATTTGGGAGCGATCGCTTCAAATGCCAGAGCGTTATCCTCCACACAACCAACCAACAACAGTTTAATACAAACAATTATGCTAAAACTACACCCGTCGCACAAGAAGCGGATATCGTGGCTCGTTGGTGTAGTCGATAATGCTGTGGCGTTTGAAACGATCGCTCCCCAGTTCGAATCCCGGTGGAAACAATATCAATCACTGGGAGGCAGGTACATTCAGCTGGCGAGTCTCAAATACGACGAAACGCGCGTCCTGGATTCCACTGCTGTCTATTATCCAGCATTAAGGTCTTTATGAATGTCACGTAGCACAAAAAATCAGTTTGATAGAAACATTCAAAGGAGAGAAGACACACTGTAGTACATCAACCTTGTCAAGAAATAAAGAAAATCAATTGAAGAAGAAAGAGTGTCTACACAACTTCATCAAAAGATGCTTATATCATTGGTCGTTAAAAAAGAATTCAACCCTGTAAACCAAAAAACAGACTGTCTTATCCTACAAGTTGAATGTCTCAGAGATCACAACTAGATTTTTGTAGCGTTTTCGAGTGAGGGGGGGGGTTGTATTCTCTGAGGTGGATTGTTCAATCGTACAGGTTTTCATTGTCATTCTAGACAACATCATAAGCGCAAACTTCGGAAAGAAGTGACCTATATGGTTCTCTCCAAATTTTATTTAGTAGACTGCTCTGATAGTTTTCTGTGCGGTTGCTTGCTTCTGTTCGGGTGTTATCCTTATCCCCATTTTTATTTTGATTGGTTGTCCTGATGACCTGAAATTCGACTTTCTAACTTTCTTATTGGTTGATAGACTGGATCACCTTCAATATGCCTGTTGATCGCTCACTAACCTAAATACCATGCTTCCAAAACTTCTCTGTCACTCTTTCTATTTCTTCTATCGAGGATTTCCACACTTTCCCAGTCAAATTTATATCCATCGTTGTCTATATGCATTGATATGAGCGAAGATATGCCATGAGGCTTCACTGCTAATTGATGTTTATTTAGAGGGATGAGAAGAGGGAAACCACTCTGTCTGATGTGGTGTTTTTTGCAGTTTCTGCAGTTTTATTTTGTAGATAATGTTTTGTTTTTCTTCCTTCACTATTGAATCTTTTTACTTGCATAATAAGGAGTGAAGAGATTTTGTGTGGTTGTGAGCTACGCTGACTCGAAAACGTTACAGTAATCTAGTTGTGATCTCTGAGACATTCAACTTGTAGGATAAGACAGTCTGTTTTTTGGTTTACAGGGTTGAATTCTTTTTAACGACCAATGATATAAGCATCTTTTGATGAAGTTGTGTAGACACTCTTTCTTCTTCAATTGATTTTCTTTATTTCTTGACAAGGTTGATGTACTACAGTGTGTCTTCTCTCCTTTGAATGTTTCTATCAAACGGATTTTTTGTGCTATTGTTGCTACTGTAGTTGAAAATTTGATCCGTATGAGTTAGTTCTCTGCATACTTCAGTTTCCAATTTCATCGAATCTGTACCAGTGATGATATTCAACAAATAAGACAATTATTACTTTGGATTCGTCAAGATATTCCTTCACTTCTGTCTCCTATAAACGACACTTGAGTATCTAGATTATTGGCTAATTGTTTTTTCCTTTTTTAAATTGATAATTACCTTTTCATAAAGGTTAAACACTCTGTGAAGTACTACATCGCTGATGAGCTCGACTCCAAACGAGAGAAATCTGCAGATCAGCTTGAATGATTTCTAACTACTCAGGTTCTTCACTGGTGTGTGTTACCATTCCTTTCTGTTGTTCATCTATGAAAAATGACGCATCATCTTGGAGAGACTAAAGGATGCACTGGATTCAAAACTACTACCCTAACGGGCTGGCTTCAGGAAGTACAAATCATGTGTGGATCAAATTACAACGCCACCCTACGCATCATCATAGAACAGAGTATGGAATGGCAGTTAACCCTCTACCTCAACTTCATCGACTTTGAAAAGGCCTTTAACAGCGTCAACCGAGAAGTAATTTGAAAACTGTTTCAACACTACGGAATACCACAAACCTTTATCAACCTAATTCAACAACTATATGAAGACGCCATATGCCAAGTAATTCACAATGGGAAGCTCAGTGATGCTTTTGAAGTGAAGACACAAGTGAGACAAGGCTGTCTACTGTCACCCATGATATTCCCGAATGTAGTGGACTGGATCATGCAACAAACAATGAGGAGCGAGAAGGGGGGGAAACGCTGGCTGGACCGGGGAAAAGATCCTAGAAGATTCGAATTTCGCCGATGACTCATGTCTAATGTCACACAAACTCGAAGATCTACAGGCAAAAACTAAAAAGTTGACAGAGGAGGCGAGGTAGCGAAGACGGGACTTCAAGTGAATATAGAGAAGACAGAAGTGATGAAGATACTGCACCAACAACCCCAACAACAACAACAAGCTCCAATCACCATCAATGGGAGAAACTAAAAGGAAGTAGCCTCTTTCACCTATCTAAGAAGCACTGTTTCAACTACAGGCGGCACTGGCATAGACGAGGACGTCAAAGTCGGGATCGGAAAGACAGCAAGACAAGCGTTCATTAGCCAGAAACCAGTGTGGAGATCTACTGCACTGCACTCAGCACAAAGCTTGAACAACATCCGGATTTTTAACACCAACATCAAATCAGTGATTCTGTATGGCTCAGAGACTTGGCGCGTTACGAAAACCACTTACTACAAACTACAGACACTCATCAACAACTGCCTACACTGGCTCGTTACTGAAGATCAGATGGCCAAATAATAAGAATAAGCAACAAAGAAGTCTGGCTGGCTGGCGACGAACCAAACAAGAACCTATCGCTCAACAAATATGCAGAAGAAGGTGGAGATGCATTCGGCATACACTGAGAAGGCCGACTGGGGACATCACGCGCCAGGTACTCTAGTGGAACCTAGATGGGAAGCGACGAGTTGGGCGTTGGTGCCAAGGGTGACATGGAGTAGATGGTGTGAGGAAGAAATGAGGGCTTGTGGGCAGTCGTGGCGACAGGTTCAGAAGTATACAGAGAAGAGAGTGGAATGGAGACGTGCTACTGAAGCTTTATGTTCCACTAGGAACCCAAGGGATAAATAATAATAATATACTTTCGAACGCTATTGGTTATATATACCGAACAATATAATGCGCACGTGTAGCTGACAGCTAACTTAGTACGCAAGAGCCACTGACTGGAACCCCTGGACGAATAGAGAGAAGCCCGAAGCTGGCAGATGGGAGAGCTTATTACTATAAAAATTCATCGTCCAGCGTTTTAAAATAATAATAATCAAACCAAAACACGCGAATAAGTATACACATGAAATGACCTTGTCCGCAATTGGTATGGGAGTGATACGTTAAAATGTTCAGATCAACAAGAATGTTTTATACAAAATTGATGGGTCACAACAGTCAACAGCCGAAGAACCATTGAAAGCCTGGAAGCACTGAACAGTATAATCAAATATGAGGGCGAATACTAACTGGCAACATTGGATGGTTGTCATACCACATCAATGATTGATAAAAGAAGGAATTAAGGATCACTAGTTTTTTACCTATTAACTGAATGTAACAGTGCTTGTCGCCGGACTTGGTAGGTTTCAGCTCGATCTCCAACATGATCGCGGATGCACACTGCTGTGGCATATCAAACTAAAACGAGAAAATTTCTGTTGCCTTTAGGTTCCCAAAGTATCTTCAGATGACGTGAATGTCCTTTGAATAACACAAGTGCGTCATAAAACCTCAACCAAACCAACTAATTGGTGATTGATGGTGTCAGTTGTTCTTATGATTTGAATTGTTATAATTATATTATTTTTCCATTGGGTTCCTAGTGGAACATAGGGATTCAGTAGGATGTCGCTATTGCACTCTGTTCTCTCCAGTCTTTTCAACCTGGCTCCACCAGTGCTCATAAGCTTTCGTTTCTTTCTCACATCATCTCCTCTACATCACCCTCGTCTCGGACGCCCAACTCGTCGTTTCCCATTTGGATTCCACTCGAGTCCCTGGCTGGCCTGGCGCGTGATATTCCCGAATGGTCTTCTCAGTGTATGCCCAATCCATCTCCGCTATCTTCTGCATATTTTGGGTGGTAGGTTCTTGGTTGGTTCGTTGCCAGCCAGCTAGAGTTCCTTTTTGTTTATTCTTATTATTCTGGATATCTGATCTTCCTTGTCGAGTGAGCGTAGGCAGCTGCTGATGATTGTCTGTGGAAGTGGTTTCCGTGACGCGCCAAGTTTTTGAACTATATAGCAGCACTGACTTGACTGAATTGGTGTTGAAAATCCGCATCTTGTTCTTTGTGCTGAGTGCAGTAGATCTCCACACTGCTTACAGATTAATGAAAGCCTGTCTTGTCTTTCGGATCCTGGTTTTGACATCCTCATCTGTGCCTGTGCCGTCTGTAGTTGAAACGATGCTGCATAGGTAGATAGGTAGGTGAAAGAGACTACTTCCTTGAGGTTTCTTCTGTTAATGGTGATTAAAGCTTGTTGTTGTTTATGGTGTTGTTAGTTGGGTATCTTCATCACCTCCGTCTTCTCTATGTTCACTTGAAGTCCCGTTTTCCTTGCTTCTTCTGTCAAATTGTTAGTTTTCGCCTGTAGATCTTCGAGTTTGTGCGATATTAAACACAAATCATTGGCGAAATCCAAATCTTCTTCTGGGGTTTTTCCATCGGTCCAGCGTATGCTCAGCCTCTCGCTGCATGATACAGTCCACCACAATCAGGAAGATCATTGGTGATACTAGGCAACCCATTTTGCTATCCTTTCTTTCGTTTTCATCGAGAGCGAGAAGACACATCGGCCGACTGACTTCCTGGAGGCCTTCACCAACCGGCTTCATTTCATCTCTCCGATTCCAGCGAGGAATAAGTTTAATTTTATTTCTGTATTTTCTTTATGCTCTGAAGTTTCTTTAGTGGTTAGACTGGTTATACGGGGTAGGGTTGCTAGCCCTATACCCAACCTTCTCTCCTTATTCAGGCTTAGAACCGGCTAGTAACTAGTGGACTATTTACTACTCAGGTATTCAGTGAGTATATTTCATGTGTGTGATAACTGTAATGCGTATACCTCCAGGTGTACAAGAGTTTACAAAATATTTTGTTACATAAGTTTACTTCATAATAACTAAGTGTGAGTCTTTACCTGCCGTTGTCTTTGTTTACTCACCTACTTGTTTCTGTTACATTCTTTCATACACTTTTTTGAAAATTTTTTTAAATCTTTTTCAGTGTGCTATCCAATGTTTAGAATTTCAATTCGATACTGTCATCGCTGATCGATGTCTTATACTACAGCGTATGCATCAATTAAGTTGTAATCTACCAAATAGACAAATATTTACATGGGATTTTTTGTCAATCGTTTCGGTTTATTAACTATACAAGCACAATTAGGAAATACACCTAATCAAATTGACATTGATACAGGTACAATGAAAAAAAGGTTGTTTTTTTTTATAATGATACATATTTCAAAAGTTCATTTCTTATTTATACTGGATGATGATTGAAGGTGAAATGAAAATCTAGACTGAGGTTGGATTCGAACCAGTGATCATAAGGTTTCCGGCTCAATGCTCTATCAAATGAGTGATGAAATTCGACTTCTGACTAAATTTTTATTTTAATTCAATTGTAATCGGTTTTGCTTGATTACCATGTGAATTTGTGATACATTACTATTACTTAATCATACTCATACTGGCAGTCATAGTGCTCCCGTTGTCTAAATTTTCATTCCACCTTCAATCATCACCCTATATCAATACTAGTATGCTTAACCATGGATATCTCACATACTCAAAACAATAATCAACATGATACACCCTTTCTCTAATTCACTTACATTTCGATTGACATGAGAAGTCCTGACTAATCAACCAGTGGTAGTAAAGTATCACGAATTCACATGACAGTTATCAGGTAAAACCCATAGTGATTGAAGTGAAATAAAAATGTGATCAGAAGTTGGACCCCGTAGCCTAGTTGGTAGAGCACTGGACAGAAAAATTCTTATTGTTTAGATAATATTTGAATTCAGAGCATAGAGTACTTAAGTAACGCATCTTTGAGCTATGTGACCATATTGCTAATTTGATCGATAAAAGCGAATCATCGCCGACCACTTAGGACACTAGAAAGTTACATCGGATATTTATTAATGAGTAATTTATGTACAACATCCACTTTTATAGGGTTTACTCGTCATCTGAGTTGATTATTGGCTATCTTTGACTTCAACACCGAATGACGTAGGTTCAAAACACAGGGGAAGAACCAATTTTCTCCTGTTGATGAGTGCCAACAAGCATTAAACATAGGTCATGTAGGGCTTCCAGCCAGTTGGTTACTAGTATCTGACACACAGAAACATATTATCTTTCAGTTATATTGTATACACTTAAATCCATATGAGGCAATATAGACTTCTTGATTGGTGGTTTGCATGTGAAGTGAATTCTGTGGTTGAAGACTGTAGGCGATATGGGCAGCTGCATCGCCAAATCATCTTCAACTTAATCATCATATCTATCTTTGTTATTGTTTTGTCATATCCTCTTATTGTTTTTAGTATAAGTGCTTTTTATATGATACCGTCGTTGAATCCCGGTAGGAACAACATCACTCACTGGGAGCAGGCAGGTACATCCAGCTGACGAGTCTCAAATAGGACGAAATGCGTATCCTGGATTCCACTGCTAGCCACGATACCTCATTAACTCTTATTGTTTTGCTACTTTCAACCATTCTTGGTTAAATTGTTTCCCTACTTTTTGAGTTTTCATCTTGATTTATTCTTTCTTGTTGTGTTGATACGAGGTGGGGGAAATTTTAATCAATCCAAGTTAAATGATTAACCATATAATTTTATATCTTCTTGTTATTTATTTTAGTAACTGATTTGAATGGATCACATCGTACTGGTGAACATTTTCAGAATCAATTTGAACGTGCCGCATTCGCTATAAACAAAAGTTCTGGCCTTAAATCAATCAGCTTAAATTCTCATGCTTATTCATTAAGATTTAGTTCACATACAGTTGGAAGTTTTACTCAAGCCCAACAATCACAAACACAATTAAATATACAACAACAAATGATCACATCAAATACAACAACATGTAATCAATCACAAATGGAAAGTCATATACAACGAAAGTCTATATCTGAGATTGGATCATCTGATCTACATAATACAGGTTTGTTGTAAAGAAAATGATTTTATCTTTTATTATCTGTTGATTTCTGTATAATAAATTATACAATTTGAGAAGGATGCATCTATATACAAGCAAGATGTTAGGACTGATGGTTTCTAGTTATAATTATTTTGTTAGTAGACCAGTAAATGTAAAGCATATCGTTGTGATGTAAATGTCTAGATCAAAAGCATATTACTTTTTTATATTGAATGATAATTGAAGGTGAAATGAAAGTTTGGACCACAGCTGCGTTCGAACCAGCGACCACCGGGTTTCTGATCAGATGGTCTATCAACTAGGCTACGAGGTCCAACTGCTGATCATATTTTTATTTCACTTCAATCACTATGGGTTTTGTCTGATAACTGCCATATGAATTCATGATACTTTACTACCACTGGTTGATTAGTCATGACTTCTCATGTCAATCGAAATGTAAGTGAATTAGAGAAAGGGTGTATCATATTGATTATTGTTTTGAGTATGTGAGATATCCATGGTTAAGCATACTAGTATTGATATAGGGTGATGATTGAAGATGAAATGATAACATGGACTGCTGCCAAAATCGAACCAACGACACCGGTTTGAGAGATGTTCAATTGTATTTGAAAGATAATTTCACATAGACTACATATTTACGGTTTTATGAAGAGAAATTATTGCTGATAAGAACTTAAAGTCTTCGTTGGTGATTATTTGTTTGTCTTATTCAACTTTATATGTTACATAACGTTTACGATGGTGATAATAGTACAAATAGTAAAACTGATACTGTTAACTAAAGCACTTACTTGAACCGTATAATGTATTTGCGCAACACATTTCAAACTATCTGATCACACACATACTTGTCATAGGTATTTATATAAAAATTCATGAAGATAAGGGGCAAGAAAATGAAAAGAGTTCGAGTTAGGAAGGCTGAATTGAAGGCCGATTAACAATGAAAGTCAATAAAGCGAAAATAATAGTAGACTGAAATTGGTTTTCAATAGTTGAATTTACCAAGGAAGATTTAATATGATAAAAAATTGTTTATGAACACACAAAGGTGATTTGAACTTCCTAATAGCTAAAGCCTTGACAAGTTTTAGGATCCTTCTTCAACACGTTTTGTAAATAGATGTAAATGGAGTAGCCACATCAATCCTGTGACCTGTCTCAACGATATGCTTCGATATTGAAGAACTTGGATATTCACTACCAACGATTATGGGTTCAGGTTATTTATTTTGCTTTAGAAGTTACTTTGGAATATGTTTTGAGGCCCGTGGATCTATGAGTCCTCCATATGTATGTGTCACCATATTTACATTTAATTAGTAGATGAAATGGGATGTGATATTGTTGTTCACACACTGTAGGGGTCTAAGGGAATATATGGGCTTGGTATTTTCTATTCATCGAACGCTGGCTGCATACTAAGTCCTTCTGACACCAGTGTTAAGTCTCTGCTTAAGGACTGCACTATGAGAGTCACCTTTGTACGGAAGGCTGATGAAGATATCCTTCTTTGGGACAGACTGAAGATCTAGTTTTGGCGCTCTGATAATTCTCTTCTGCCTGATAAGTGTTGATGAGTAGTTATTTTCAAACAATCTTTCCGTCAGTATTCCTCTTTCGTTTTCCAAAGTATCCTCTGTGCATATTTGTTAAATCCTACTGAATAAGTACCTAACTAACGCTCGCTTGTACTGAACTGGACAAAAGCTATGGTAATTCAGATATTGCCCTGTCCATGTAGATTTTCTGTAGATAGATGATATTATGGATCCGTCCTACAGCCGATTAAGTAATATGTCCAAGAAAGGCAAGCAGTCATCGTCCTCCTTTACACATGTCAAGGATATACTGCTGTGCACTTTATTCACTTCGTTTAGGATTGAAGTGGACTGACTTGAGTTATCACATATTATTAAGATATCGTCAACATACCTTCGATACAGATAGGCTTGGTGTATTAGGTTCTCGGCTAAGTTTTCCACGTGTGACATAAATATGTCACCTAGGAGGGGACCAAAAAGACTTCCCATGGCAACCTCATCAACCTGGCGCGGAAATGTTTGCCCTCAAACGTGAATTTCATATTACTTATGCATAAAAGTAGCAGATCATTTAAATGGTTCAAAGAAATGGGTATTGGAAAATTATGCACAGAAATATAAACACATACAATGTCAATTGTCTTGACCAAAAAGACATTGGTGAATAATGAATTCACGTCAAATGAACGCATAAATTTTTACGTTGACATCCTCGAGGCATTTGATTATTTCAAATTTATCTTTTAAGGGATATTTACAGAATTGCTTCCTAGTTGGATCCAGTAATTCCACTAGCCATCGGGCAAGCTTATGCCTCAGCGACTTGCTTATTGACAATATGTGACGTAACGCGTTGTTGGGTTCGTGTACTTTGGGTGAACTGTAAAGAAGATGTGGGAATCAGCATTCAATTGGTTTCATTAAGTTGAATCTTTTTCTTGTAATAAAGTTCATGTCTAGCCGTTTCACTAGATTAGCTGTCAAAGTTCCCTGTAACAACTGTAAGTCTAATGAAGAACAATCTTTAGTGAATTTAATTTCATATTCAAGAATAGACGATCTTTTACACTTATAATCGACTTTATCCATGATCACGACACTTGAGCCTTTCAAGTTATTATTCATTGTAGACTTACATCAGTTGGAGGGACAAAAGAAACCTGGGAGCACTGGACAGCTGTTTCGTCCTAGTATGGGGTAAAAGAAGTTGGAAATATGGAGCATTGGATTCTGACCCAGAGGCTCAATGGTTATGTGCTGGCCATGGAACCTGAAGGTTGCAGGTTCGATCCTTGGCGGGGTCGTGGGTGCGCACTGCTGAGGAGTCCCATACTAGGACGAAACAGCTGTCCAGTGCTCCCAGGTTTCGGATGTTCTTCCAACTGATATCAGTTTACGATAAATAACAACTTGCAATATTTCCAAATCTCCACAACTCCCTCAAAATTCACTTAAGCCTTTGTCAAGATTTGTCATCTGAGGTGATAAATGTTATTAGAATAACGATGGTGATAATAATACAAATAATAATAATATTGATAACATCGACTTAACCACTTGCAATATAGATGATAATGATGATAAGAGCCAAGAAGAAAGCAGAAGGAAAATGTCGACACTCTAATGACTAAACTGGGTCAAAAGAATGGGAAAATAAGAGTTATATAATAATGAAGGATGGGGTAAGTGGACAAACAAAGTGCAAAACAACTATACTAAGTATATGAAAGAGGTAGAAAAAAATATTCAGTGATAAAGTTATTTATGAGGTATTCTCTGACAAAGGGAGAGATAAGAGATGTGCAAACTTCTCCTGGATACGAAGACTAAGATTATTAGCTCGAATTCTCACAGCTTCTGTTATGTGTCAAAGACAAGTTTGAATACCTTTCGAAAGATGAAGTGGAATGCGGTGAATAATCATGAAAGCATTGTTCTTATCTATCAGGTTACCGCTATCAACGAGGTGAGATAAAACTGAGCTTCTGATCGATTTTATCTGCACCCCTTTCCCAACCATGAAGGTAGATGCTCATCAACACGTTTGTTAAGTTGTCTACTAGTACGCCCTATACAGCTTTCTCAACAAAAGCAGCTAAACTTGTAAATACACATAGAAATGGCGAAACTAGATACTTTATGTTTTATCTCAGCAACAACAATTGGTCTACTAGAAAATGATAGACAGAGTGGTGTGGAGTAGAATTTTCTCTCAATGGCTCTAGAGAGTCTCTAATATAAAGCTTCTCCGGCTACATCTCACTTAAATTATGAATATATTCTAATTTCTTATATACTAAACCTTGCAAACATACACTTCTGGCTCTGTTATTGAAGCATTTAACCAGGTTTACTTTACAGCGAAAAGGTACATGGCCAAGAAAATGTGTGTTTATCTCCACTAACAATATTCCATTGCCCATTAAGGAAGGGTTACTTTTAGGAACGGGTAAAGCCAAGTTTATTTTGAGAGTGAACATTTGTTTCAAACCGATAGTGCGGTCGTAGGAATTCCTTTATTCCCATTGGTAGCTGATATCTCTATGTCATATGTCGAGAGCCTGATTAACAATTCTATCTCAAAAGTTTATTTTTACAAAAGACATACAGATGACCTGACAACTGTATATTTGATAACCCGAAATTTGCTTGATCACTTTTCAATCTACTGGATACAATTCAGAGTAGCTTATCGTTAACCTCTTGGACGTTCTCACAGCTCATTGGTGAGATGCTTCCACAAAATGATTTATTCATAGGACAAGACAATTCTTAGATTACAGTAATTTCTGTTCACTACAATATAAATGGGCATTAGTCAAGTGTCTGTTCAACCAGATTAGAAAGTGATGCATCAATGATAGCTTAGAAGAGAAAACACAAAACCTCATCAAAGTATTATTCGACATTAATATTCCCTGAAATTGTTTGATCACAATAGAACTACTGAGAACTGTTCAGTCAGTGGTAAAGAAGGATATATTTATCACGCTACCGAAGATAGGCAATTCGTAACATCTGATCATCAAGCATAACAGGTATTCGGAGAAAAAAAAACTATGCAGCAAAGGTGAATATTATAGAGAAAATGAAACTCATATGCTCTTGTAAACCACCGTGACATTTATACTATCCGTTTGCGCTAGTTAATTCACAGGCAATATGCAGTCATGCATTCATAAACAGGACCCGTTAATGTATACAATTAAGGACCAGAGAGCATATTCCAAACTGGTTGCAATAACAAATGAGATTGAATGTACCCATTGATCCAAACAACGAATATTTCACTTCGTTTACAGTGAAACATATATCATTTGGATTGGTCATATTGCTCGATATGTATGAGTTGTTCACTCTATTTATAAACCTATTTAGAGACGTTTTATGATAGAGCATTCATAGCTATAGTTAAGTATGGAAATCTCTTTTATATTATTATTATTATTATTAGCCCCTTGGGTTCCTAATGGAACATAGGGCTTCACTAGCACGTCTCCAGTGAACTCTGCTCTCTGAAATCTTTTCAACCTGGCTCCTCGACAGCCAGAAGCTCTCATTTCCTCCTCTCATGATCTCCTCCATATTACCCTCGACGCCGACGTCCAACTCGTCGCCTCCCATGGGGATTCCACTCGAGGGACTGGCTGGCCTGACGCATGATGTCCCCAGTCGGCCTTCTCAGTGCATGCCCAACACAATCCATCTCCACTTCTTGCTACTGCTTATTTGTTGTGTGATAGGTTCTCGCTTAGCTGGTTCGTTCCCAGAGCTCCTTGTTGCTTATTCTTATTATTCTGGCCATCTGATCTTCAGTATCGAGCTAGAGTAAGCAGTTGTTGATGAATGTCTGTAGTTTATTGGAAATTCCCTTCGTAACGCGCCAAGTCTCTGAACCATCACACAGAAGCACTGACTTGACTGAGGTTGGTGTTGAAAATCAGGATCTTGTTCCACATGCCGAGTGAAGTGCAGAAGATCTCCACACCGGTTTTCGGCTAATGAATGCCTCTCTTGCTTTTCCGACTCTGACTTTAACATCCTCGTCTGTGCCATTGCCGCCTCTAGTTGAAACAGTGCTTCCTAGATGGGTGAAGGAGGTTACTTCCTTTAAGTTTCTCCCGTTGATGGTGACTGGAGTTTGTTGTTGTTGTTGGAGTTGTTGGTGCGGTATCTTCATCACTTCTGTCTTCTCTACATTCACTTGAAGTCCCATCTTCGTTGCCTAGCCTCTTCTGTCAACTTGTTAGTTTTTGCCTGTAGATCTTCAAGTTTGTGTGACATCAGGCACAAGTCATCACTGGCGAAATCCAGATCTTCTAGGTTCTTTTCCCCAGTCCAGCCAGCGTTTCCCCCTCTTCTCGCTCCCCACTGTTAGCTGCATAATCCAGTCCAGTTGACCACAATCAGGAATATCATAGTGGATAGTAGGCAACCTTGTTTCACTCCTGTGTTCACTCCAAAAGCATCACTGAGCTTCCCATTGTGAAATACTTGGCTGGCATGTGGCATCTTCATATAGTTGTTGAATGAGGCTGATAAAGGTTTGTGGTATCCCGTAGTAGTGAAGCAGCTTCCAAATTACTTCTCGGTCGACGCTGTTGAATGCCGGCCTTCTCAAAGTCGATGAAGTTGAGGTAGAGAGCTGATTGCCATTCTATGCTCTGTTCTATGATGATGCGAAGGGTTGCAATTTTGTCTGCACATGATTTGTACTTCCTGAAGCCTGCCTGTTCGGGTCGTAGTTTTGAATCCAGTGCATCTTTAAGCCTCTCCAGGATGATGCGGCTTAATATTTTGCTTGATGTAGGTGGACAGGAGTGTGATTCCCGCGCCAGTTCTTGCAAATACTGAGGTCTCCCTTCTTCGGCAGTTTGACAAGGTAACCCTTCTTCCAATCAATGGCCAGGTACCTTCTCTTCCTTCCACACCTTCTGCAATAGTGGTGTGGTGTGAGCATGTCTGCTGTTGTCTCTGCGTCTGTTCTCAGTGCTTCTGGTGGGATCCCATCTGGTCCTGCTGCTTTCCCACATTTCAGTAGCTTTATGGCGTTCAGGACTTCTATTTTTGTTGGAGGATTTATATTCACTTGTAATTCAGCGGCTGCAGGTGGTATTTCTGGACGAAGTGCTCTTCTATATATTCTTAAGTAATTTGTTTTCGCATTGAATCTTCTTCTTGGTGACGGATTTTTTATCAAGAGTGATCAATATATTATCTTCCTCTTTCTATTTATCATTTAACCTCTAAGCTGATAATTTGAACTTTTATACTACTGAATATTTCATAAGTTCATTTATAGCTTATTATAATTGATAGAAATATGCATGATAAGTGGATGTATGACCATATTGTTCAAAATGTATTAGAGGAATAAATTATACATTTCAGATAAACTATATCTTTTTGCTATCTTTTTGTAAAAATTCTATTTTAGTTGGTCTACGAGACTTATTCTTTAGTCAAAGGGTATTATCTAGTGAATAACTTCTTGAACACCATATGTTCTACTTAATTACATCTCAGTAACCTTGAAATTTCTAAAAAAAATCATTAATATTAAACTTTTTTCCTTGCATCCTTAGTGACGGAATGGATGATAGAAGTTTTTTCTCCATCTGGAACAGGTTTTTAGTTATTTCTGTTGGGCTTAATGTTGATTTGATAAAGTAATATCTGAGTGAAATATACTATCCCACTTGTTCAGTACTAAAATATTCATCTAGTTCATGAAGGATTAGAGATTACACACCTTGTGATCTTGTGTGTGTAGTTTCCATAGAAGACCCTGCTGATATCACAGTTGCAGTTGAAAAACTACTCAAATGTGATAAATATTAAAGTGAACCGAGAATTCCGATGACTTTAAGAGTGAATCTAAAGTCATCCTAATAACTTCTGTAGCAATCAGTCAAGTTTCGGTCTTTGGTTAGAAGGATAGATCTTCGCAATATAAAGAGCCATAATTGATGATTTCAGCAGTTGTTAAATTGTTCTCTAAATTCACTCGTAAGATTCAATTATCTTTCAGTTGGATGAAGGCAATCTACAGGAAGTCCTAAACCTAGGTCCCATGCTTCCTGGCACTCGTCAGTAAGGGGTATTTGCAACCTCGATGGAACTGATGTCCCTCTTGAGATTCAGACCCATGTCATTGAGCTATTTGGGCCCTGGCTGACCTCTTTTAGGACTGGATTAGATACACTGATTAGTCACTGAAAGGTAACTAAGTTCATGTTGTCAACCTATCAAAGTGCATCGCAATTTTGAGCTGCCTAGTCTGATGGTCACATTCCAAAATGATCGATAGAATTCGGTCAGCACATAGAGCTAAATAACATGAAGTTGGTTACCTTCCAGTGACCAATCAATTATCAACCTCCCCATTTAAATAAGTTAGTTTTAAGGAGCAACTTTGAAAGCCAACTTAATAACTTTTGAAATAACCAATCAGGTTTCAGCACCTCGACTGGAAAGATTGTTTTTCATAAAATAAAGAAATACTATTGGCTATCTCACTAATTGTTACGGTGGTATTTAAAGTCACTCATTTAAGGATTATCACTCTCTTCTATCTTACCACATGGTTGTGTACGGATAGTTATAGAAAAACCTTCCTCCAGTTTCTTTTTATAACAGATGTAGCAGTGGATCAGATATTATGTTGATAAATTCTTTGAAAAATCCCAAGGTTACTCTCCTAGATTATTCAGTGTTGATAATGATCGTCACAGGTTATTTATACTTTTTTGTTTTTCTTACACATTAACTTCAATATTTTACACATATTATTTTATTTGTTGATTTCTTAACTGTAACTAATATATGGAAGACGTAATTGATTGATCATTTGTACGATTTCTTATAGGTAGACAGAGAGACAAAATCAGCGCAGAACATTGCAAACAATTGTATCACTTCAAGTTGCATAATAGTATTCAAAGAACAAGCCGATACAGAAAGTATATGATAGGGGGGATATTTAGTCTTTGGTAGGCACCTTTAGTAAACATCTCATTAATGGTTTTCAATCACCGACTCCTATTGGTTTAAGCATCCTAACCACATAGTCTTCACCTTCCTACACACAGACACTATTCTTTGCCTTGTTGCTAAGTTCATTTTTATGATATTCAATAAATATCTACTAATCTTTAATATTTAGTAGTTTATAGTAATGATGGATAGCGGCTAGCAGAGGAATCCAGGATGCACATTTCGTCGTATTTGGAACTGGTCAGCTGGATGTACCTGTCTCATAGTGCGGAGTGATATTATTCTCGCCGGGATTCGGACTCAGAAGCAATCACTTCAAACGCCAAAGCGTTATCCACTACACCACCGAGCTATGATAGCCACTATCCATCATTACTATATAGTTTAGAACACAAGCAATATCGAGGCATCCGTGCAAGAGCCTACCACCACTTTGGGTACAAGACATAACATTTGGTTGTTTGTTATTTTTTTAACCAAAAATGATTTCTCAAAAATTATCTCTCTTAAATATGCGTTACCATTCAACATGTTACTAAAAAGATATCAAGTACTTACTGATACAGTAGATTGAAGGTCCTCTATGCTTTATCCTTCATATCCTTCATGTTTTTATAAATAATTTTAGATTCTGTTGTATCCGATGGTGTACATAGGTCACAGTTCAAATTTGGTCATGGTGCAAGAAGATCACGTCCATCAATCTCTTCTGTCTGTGGTTTATTAACAGGTATCAATCTTTCATGTTTGTAATTCACAAACAATTATCTATTGTCTACTATGAAATTGATATATTTGCCAGATTCTTTTGTATGTTGAAGATTCGCCTTACTCTAATATGTATAATTTTACTTATATATATATATATATATATATATATATATATATATATATATATATATATATATAATGTTAAGTCAGTCAAAGTGCTTTTTCAGCCTGTAATCACAAAGTACTGAACTATACAAACTGACTGACTGACTGAAAACTGACAAAAATAACGAAGAACCTCCACATAGGTGCATTGGCCTAAGTTGACAAATTATCCATACGTTAACTATCAAGACAATAATAATAATAACCATGTTTCAAATTAGTATTCACCATGCACTAAAAATCAGCTGCAGAACCACTAAAAATTAAGAGTACTGAACAGGTGTTACATCTCATTATGGGATTCCTTAGCAGTAGTTGCCCACGATCCCACCAAGGCGTCAAATGCAGGACCTTCGTGTCTTGTGTAAAGTTCGTTAACAACTCAACCACTGGATCAGAGTTCATTGACCCAAAATCTACAATATGTATCATGTTGTGATTCAATGTGATCATCTACCAAAAGTCTCCACTTGTAATTCACTTCCAAATGGTCAGTCTTACAGCTTACGGTTTCTTGTAAGAACTTAGAGATAACCATCTCAAAATGTGTTACTAAAGACCACTAAAAAGTAATGTGGTTTGAAGTATTATCATTATTTCTCCCTTGGGTTCCTAGTGTAACATATGACTTCATCAGCACGTCGTCATTTCACTCTCTTCTCTACAGTCTTCTTAAACTGGCTACACAACCATCAACAAGCTTTCATTTATTCCTCACATCATCTCCTCAATGTCACCCTCGCCTCAAACGCCCAAATCATCGTTTCCCATTTCACTTTCACTCAACGATCTGGTCTGGTCTGGCCTGACCTGACCTGACCTGACTTGACCTGGCGCATGATGTCCACAAATAGTCTTCTCAGTGTTTGTCTAATCCAATCCACCTCCAATTTCTCCTTCTACATATTTGTTGGGACACAGATTCTTGGTTGGTTGGTTGGTTGGTTCGTTGCCAGCCAGCCAGCCAGCCAGCCAGCCAGCCAGCCAGCCAGCCAGCTAACCAGCCAGAGTTCCTTGTTCCTTGCTTATTCACATTATTCTGGTCATCTCATGTGATCTTCAGTGTCAGTATCGAGTGAGCGTAGGTGGCAGCTGTTCATGTGATGTATGTCTACAGTTTTTTGTAAATGCTTGATGCAACGCGCCAAATCTCTCAACCGTCACATAGGAGCACTGATTTACTTGACTGAATTAGTGTTGAAAATCCGGATCTCCTTGTTTATGCTTAGTTCAGTGTGGTGTGGTAGATCTCCACACTGATTATTTCAGATTGATGAAGTCGTGTGTTGGTGTCTTTCGGATGCTGGCTGCTGCCACATCCTCATCTGCTCCGCTGCCATCACCACCTGTACTTGAGACGCTGCTGCTTAGGTAGTTAGGTATGTAGGTATTTGGAAGAGACAACTTCGTTTAGATTTCTTCTGTTGGTGGTGATTAGCGCTGTCGTGTATCACCGAATTTTGTTAACGCTTTCAATTTGACTTTATAGGTTAGTTTCACTAGATAGTCAGTGGTGTGAACCTACATCTGCTCCACCTCTTGATCTCGTGTCCAGCAAGCTGCGTCTCCACTTTCTTCACATTGAGATGAAGTCGATCTGATTTTTAGTGTAGTGTATCCATCTGGTGAAATCCATGTCACTCCTTTGTGAGTATCCTTGTGTTTGTACACACTGCCTGCAATCACCAAATCGTTGAATGCGCAGAAGTTTGCAAATAGTTCTTCAATCTCATTCATTTCATTAAGTGCTTATCGATCCATGATGAGTTGTCTTCCTGTGTATGTGCTCTCAGTTTGGCATTCATGTCACCACACCCATTAGACTTTTGATATCGCCATCTGGTGTGGGGTCTTGTCCAGTGTTGATTGCAGTTGTCTGTAGAATTCCTCCTTCTTCTCTTGAGTCTCATTATTTGCAGGTGCATAGCGTAGGATTTTATGATTTTGACTTTCCTTCCTTTTGAGTTGAATCCTTCTTGCTGTGATGATCCTGCAGGAGGAGATTGGTTCACACTGCATGCTGCATGCTCTTGGGGAAATCATGATAGCCACTGCAAAACTCAGGGTGTTCGTGATTGTCATCTGGGCGACAATATCGGAGCAGATTATTGACTCTGCAGTTGGCAGTTGAGAGAGTTCACTTTCATTCCATCAGCTCTCTCAGATTTCCAACCTACCACTTCTATGCTATACCTTCTCATCTCTTTTGCAATCTGGGAAGCCTTGTCAGCCAGCTTCAAATATTGTTCGGACAGTCCATGTCCCCATTCTTACTTTTGCTTTCATCGAGAGAGAGAAGAAACATCAGCCAGGCCAACTGGCTTCCCAAAGGGAGGCTTTCACCAACCGGCTTCATTTTGTCCCTCCAATTCCAGCGAGGAATGAGTTTAATTTTATTTTTTATAGTTTCTTTATGCATTGAATTTTCTTTAGCGGTTAGATTGGTTATACGGCGTAGAGTTGCTAGTCATATGCCCAACGTTCATTGTTTGTCCGGGCTTATGACCGGCTAGTAACTAGTGAACTAGTTAATTAGGCGAGGTTTGTACGCATTACTAGTCAACCAATAACAAAATTTCGGCGCCTGAGTTTAGCAATTAATTGATGGCGTGCATGCTTGAGCTTAATCAGAGTAACTATGCTTTTTGGGGCCTTGCACGACCTCATATATCTTTGGCAAGTACAATATATGTTAGTTGCTCGGCTTCTTATAAAGCACCTAGAAGTAGTATAGGGTTAGAAATGCCATAAACTTCAGTTCAGAAATAGCTGCTTACTTCGATCTGATACTGGCAATCATCAATTAGCAGTTAAAACTTCATTATTAACGTCTCTTATGGGATGCACAATTATTGAACTGATCCCTTTTAGATCAGATAAAATGTACATTTTGCATTCAATTGCCAACCGATAGTTGAAACTATTAGTATGCTACATGCAGAACTCCAAGCAGACAGAAAAACTTATAAAACCTAGCAAAGAAAATACATCAGCTCAAGTAGCCATAATTTTAAGATAACCTATTATCAGTCATATCAGCAAAAGTCTCTAACAATTGATTTTCGATATCTTGACGACTTTATCCAAACAGTCTACATCTTCTTACGCGGCTAAGACCAACAGTCAAGAATATCTTGACTTGACCACTCTTAACCTTTTTCTAATTCAATCCTATCTTGGTCAAAATCACTAGTCTAGGTGGACAGTGCCTGAGGCATATATGCTATACATACCCATATCATTTCAGTTAATGAAAGTTCACAAATTAATCGAAGGACACTAATGAAAGTAATAAAAGACGTTTCGATAACAAAAATTATTAAAAATTGATCAATATATCATTAATTCAAACAATATTTTTTACTGGAATTTATTATTTAAAACGTAATTCTTCATAATTTTTTTTTTTTTTTTGAATACACATTTAGGTGGTTCACAAGCTGGTGAATTTGTTGATAGTAACAATAAATTTTTAAGTTCCATACAACAAGCCCTAGATTTAGATGGAAATGAACGTGATACATTACATCAATGGGTTCGTTTATTGCTCAAGTTTATGTCCACAGTTCAATTGGATATAAAGATGGATGAATATGGTACCAGTGGACCTAACAGTGGAGGTGGTTGTAGTAGTGATGGAGTCGGAGGAGTAGGTGGTGGTAGTAGCAGTGGGATTGGTAGCTCTAGTGGAAGTAGTGGACGTCATAATATGGCAAACAAATCTAGAGATGAACTGAAAGATCGTAAAGCTTTAAGCAAAGCACAAAGGCACCTAGCATTTTTACTTGGTTATACTGATGGTTCGTTTGATATACCACCACACAAAATGAGGTAAGTTATCTATTTAATAAAGTGATTATTCACAAGAGTCTACCGTAGAAACTAATCCATATAACTGCTTCTGAAAGTCTCTGTTAAGTACTTTGAATATTATAATATACTCATGTTTATATATTATTATTATTATATTATTGGTCCCTTGGGTTCCTAGTGGAACATACGGCTTCAGTAGCACGTCTCCAGTGACCTCTGTTCTCTGAGATCTTTTGAACCTGGTCCCATGACAGCCCACAACCTCTCATTTCCTCCTCGCACGACCTCCTCCATGTCACCCTCGGACGTCCAACTCGTCGCTTCCCATGGGGATTCCACTCGAGCGACTGGCCTGACGCGTGATGTCCTCAGTCGGCCTTCTCAGTGCATGGCCAATCCATCTCCACTTCCTGCTACTGCTTATTTGTTGCGTGATAGGTTCTCGCTTAGTTGGTTCGTTCCCAGAGCTCCTTGTTGCTTATTCTTTCTGGCCATCTGATCTTCAGTATCGAGCTAGCGTAAGCAGTTGTTGATGAATGTCTGTAGTTTATTGGAAATGCCTTTCGTGACGCGCCAAGTCTCTGAGCCATACAAGAGCACTGACTTGACTGAGGTTGGTGTTGAAAATCCGTATCTTGTTCCACATGCTGAGTGGAGTGCAGAAGATCTCCACACTGGTTTCAGGCTAATGAACGCCTGTCTTGCTTTTCCGATTCTGACTGACTTTGACGTCCTCGTCCGTCCCGCCTGTAGTTGAAACAGTGCTTCCTAGATAAGTGAAGGAGGTTACTTCCTTCAAGTTTCTCCCGTTGACGGTGATTGGAGTTTGTTGTTGTTGCTGATGGTGGTGGTGCGGTATTTTCATCACTTCTGTCTTCTCTATATTCACCTGAAGTCCCGTCTTCGCTGCCTCTTCTATCAACTTGTTGGTTTTTGCCTGCAGATCTTCAAGTTTATGTGACATTAGGCATAAGTCATCGGCGAAATCCAAGTCTTCTAGGTTCTTTTCCGTCGTCCAGTGTATCCCCCTCTTCTCGCTGCCCACTGTTTGCTGCATGATCCAGTCCACCACAATAAGGAATATCATAGGGGATAGTAGGCAACCTTGTTTCACTCCTGTCTTCACTTCAAAGGCATCACTGAGCTTCCCATTGTGAAATACTTGGCTGGCATGTGGCATCTTCATATAGTTGTTGAATGAGGCGGATAAAGGTTTGCGGCACTCCGTAGTAGTGAAGCAGTTTCCAAATTACTTCTCGGTCGATACTGTCAAAGGCCTTTTCAAAGTCGATGAAGTTGAGGTAGAGAGCTGATTGCCATTCTATGCTCTGTTCTATGATGATACGAAGCGTTGCAATTTGGTCTGCACATGATTTGTACTTCCTGAAGCCTCATGTATATATATATATATATATATATATATATATATATATATATATATATATATATATATATATATATCAAAACACTTGCAAAATATATCGCTCAAAAAAACTCAACCTACCTCACTGTTTTTTCAAGTGTTTGCTACTAAATGACAGAATTGTATTCAAATCAGTTAGAAGCGAATCGCTTAGCTACCGTTAAATAAACGTCCAATAAACAATTAACAGTTTTGTAAGTAACTAGTGTAGATCTGCGTGATATAGGCGAACTAGGATCCAGAACACATGTAAACAGCCTTCATATACATTTTGAAACATAATAATTGACAAAGTGAATGGAGCGGTAAAAATCTCATTATGACTGTTATTTATTATTATTATTTGTCTCATGGGCTCCTAGTAGAACATAAGGCTTCAGTAGCACGTCGTCATTTCACTCTCTTCTCTACAGTCTTCTTAAACTGGCTACACAACCATCAACAAGCTCTCATTTATTCCTCACATCATCTCCTCAATGTCACCCTCGCCTCAGACGCCCAACTCATCGTTTCCCATTTCACTTTCACTCAACGATCTGGCCTGACCTGACCTGGCGCATGATGTCCACAAATAGTCTTCTCAGTGTTTGTCTAATCCAATCCACCTCCAATTTCTCCTTCTACATATTTGTTGGGACACAGATTCTTGGTTGGTTGGTTGGTTGGTTCGTTGCCAGCCAGCCAGTCAGCCAGCCAGCCAGCCAGCTAACCAGCCAGAGTTCCTTGTTCCTTGCTTATTCACATTATTCTGGTCATCTCATGTGATCTTCAGTGTCAGTATCGAGTGAGCGTAGGTGGCAGCTGTTCATGTGATGTATGTCTACAGTTTTTGTAAATGCTTGATGCAACGCGCCAAGTCTCTCAACCGTCACATAGGAGCACTGATTTACTTGACTGAATTAGTGTTGAAAATCCGGATCTCCTTGTTTATGCTTAGTTCAGTGTGGTGTGGTAGATCTCCACACTGATTATTTCAGATTGATGAAGTCGTGTGTTGGTGTCTTTCGGATGCTGGCTGCTGCCACATCCTCATCTGCTCTGCCGCCATCACCACCTGTATTTGAGACGATACTGCCTAGGTATTTAAGTAGTTAGGTAGGTATGTAGGTATTTGGAAGAGACAACTTTATTTAGATTTCTTCTGTTGGTGGTGATTAGTGCTTGTTGACTTTGTTGTTGATTGGGTATCTTCATCACCTGTGTCTTCTCTATGTTCACCTGAAGGAATTCCTGTCTTCACTACCTCACCTCTTCTGTCAACTTGTTTTCGCCTGTAGATCTTCTAGTTTGTGCGACATTGGACATAAATCGTCGTCAGCGAAATGTAGATCTTTTTCTGGGGTCTTTTCATCGTTCCAGTCAGCGTATGCCCCTCTTCTCACTCGTCACAGCTTTTTGCATGATTCAGTTCACTTGACCACAACCTGGAAGATCATCGGTAATGGTAGGCGGCAACTTTGTCTTACTCCTGTCCCCTGTCTCCACTTCAAAGGCATTACTGAATTCCCCATTATGAATCACTTCGCATGTGGCGTCGTCATATAATTGTTGAATGAGTTTGATAAAGGTTTGTGGTACGAAATTCATAATGTTGAAGCAGCAGCTGCCAAATTACTTCTCGGTTGACGCTGTTGAAGGATTTTTCAAAGTCGATGAAGTTGAGGTAAAGATCGGGTTGACTGGCATTCTTATACTCTGTTCTATGATGATGCGTAACGTAGCGTTGCAATTCGATAGGCACATGATTTTCACTATGACTTAATTTATTGTAATTTATATTTAATCCTGTTTGACATTGATTTTTTGAGAAAAAGTGAAAGGAATACTTTTAATTGAGGGATTGTCATTGTAAGTTCTCTTAACTTGCAGTTTTAAAGAATTTTTTCAGTGACCCAAATATAAAGAAATCAGTTCATGGAATATTCGATTAGTGATGGTAGTCACCATCAACAGCCAAAAGTCATATTATTCAAGAAGAAACCTTCTGCAAATACATTCATATTCATTTCAGATAAGTATTCATCATGGACTGAAATCAGCCGGAGAAACATTAGAAATCTGGGAGCCCCCGACAGGTGTTTCGTCTGAGTAACGAACTTCTTAGAAGTGTGCATCCATGACCTTGCCAGGGATTGAACCCAGAACCTTTGGGTTCCTTGGCGAACACTACCGCTGAGTCGTTCAATTCCTTCTCAGTAGCCTAATAGTAACATACTGGCGGTGAAACCTGAAGGTCCGTGGATTGATCTTTGGTGAGGTCATGGGTGTAAACCGCTGGGTCGTCCGTTACTAAGACGAAGCAGTTGTTCGATGCTCCCAAGTTTCAAATGTCCCTTCAACTGATATCAGTCGATGATGACTGTCGACTTCAAATCAACAGATAAATCCCCCCTCCCATTCTGAACAATAAGTACTGCATTCGCGTATGATTCCTTCTCAGATTATCTTAAAAAGATCATTTAATTGATTGAGCCAAAGTTTAATATCTCATTCTTTTTTCCTTTTCTCTCTTTGCTAAATATCACAATGTAGAAATTCAACCGTTTTTCATGCTTTTTTGGCACATGTTGCTGGTGTACTTGATCGTAACTTTAGTATGGGTTGTTGTATTCTACATCAGACATTGGTTGTCTTACAATTTTGTGCATCACCTCAACGTTATGCTACTGATACACAACCACCAACATTTACTCTGAGATTATTAGAACCACAGGTTAGATTACATTGGCTTCAAACACTCTTAGTTATTTTGTATAAGGTGAGTAGATGTCAGGTTAATTACTTACTTTTCATTTTATAATCTTTCATAATTTATGAGTATTCATGATAGAATATGGCGTTATTATTATTATTCATCCCTTGGGTTCCTAATGGAACATAAGGCTTCAGTAGCAAGTCTCCATTCCACTCTCTTCTCTGCAATCTTTTGAGCCTGGCTCCACGACAGCCCACAAGCTCTCATTTCTTCCTCGTACGATCTCCTTCATGTCACCCTCGGATGCCCAACTCGTGGCTTCCCATCGTGGTTCCACTTGAGGGATTGGCCTGACGCGTGATGTCCCCAGTCGGCAATGATCAAATTATCAGATAAGTAACGATATATTCTGACGAAAAAGTACTAACGATTCAAGTCGGCAGGTTTAAATGTCATTTATTCCAAAGATGATAATTTCTTATTGCATCGTTTAGAGAAATATCTTTGTTCATTACCAGGAAAATTTGAAACTTTTCGTCCAAAATATCATATATCCCCAAGTATCTAAAGGATAATCAAAGTAATAAGTAATCCTTTGGTATACATGTAACAATCTCGATGAGATAACTGCTCAGATATGCATACAATAGACACTAGACAACTTGATATATAACTTAATAAAATCATAGCTAATAAATTTCTAAGATATTTGTTCTACTCACAGAACTAAGTATCAGTTATCAAGGTGAAACTATAGTAAACCTGGAAGTACAAACTGCAGACATACATCACATCAGCGGTCGCCACCTACGCTCACTCGATACTCAAGATCGATCAGTTGGCCAGAATAATAAGAGTAAGCAACAAGGAAGTCTGGGTGACAACGATCCAACCAACCAACAACCTATCGCCCAACAAATATGCAGAAGAGGAGATTGGAGATGGATTGGATTGCGTTGAATTTTACATACACTGAGAAGACTATTTGTGGACATCACGTGCTGGGCCAGTCCGTTGAGTGGAATCCAAATAGGAAACGACGGGTTGGGCCTTTGAGGCAAGGGTGACATGAAGGAGATTGTGTGAGGAAGAAATGAAAGCTTGTGGGCGGTTAAGGAGCCAGGTTGGGAAGACTGTAGAGAAGAGAGTGAAATGACGACGTGCTAGTGAAGCCTTATATTCCACTAGGAACTCAAGGGACAAATAATTAAAAAAAGCCTGGAAATAGCCGAAATCATCGTAATATAGGTAAAACCTCCTAATTCATATATTTCGGTGGACGTTGGCGTTGTAAATGCACCTTCTGTTCTATCACCGCCTTCTGTTTACGGAGAAATTGCGTGACCAGTAAGGGAGGAATGTGAAGGTATCGCACAAGCGTCGGCACATATACATAACTCAGGGTCTATCAAGTCACTGGTAAAGATATAAAAATGTGGTGACTGGGCAGTTTACAAAATTGGTAACGGGTGGAAATATGTAAATTCTTTCTAATGAAGAGTTTCAAGCTTTCATACAACGCTATAATGAAGGAATGTAAGCCTCATCACTAAGGACTATAGAGAAATTCAAGCAAATGTTGGTTTGTATCATGAGAAAATAATGATATAAAAATACCTTTTACTTATGTTCACATTGACTGTAAAATAGATAACAATGATACTATGGTTAGAGTAAGATAGTCACTACAGAACTCTCATTCCGTATGGTAGACGACGAACAAAACAAAACGCATTCAAAAATACTGTGGATATTTGTGAAGTCAGCAATGAGCCACACCTATTGTGTTGGCTGGTGATGCTACCTGACTACCCACACCTCGCTATGTAGAGCGGGTTTCAAACCTGTGACCAACTGGTTGGTAGTCATCTCCCTAAACCAATGAGACTAGTATTTATTTATTTACTTATTCCTCGAACTCCGTGGCCACCAGCTTTGAGAGGTGATTCTCGAAGTTCCAATGAGAAGTCGTGACCAGTGCAGTTAACCTAGTCGAACATGAGAACAGTTACTCAACGATGACATTGGGTAGCGGTCGCGCTATATTGTGAGGCGACAGAAGTAGGAAATGTAGAAGACTGAATTCTGACCTAGTGGGTCAGTGGTGACGTGCTACTGATGACAGAACCTGGTGTGAGGTGCTGGGTCACGGGTGCGCACTGCTGAGGAGTCGTATACTAGGACGAAACGGTTGTGCAGTGGCTTCAGGTTTCCAATGTTCCTGCAACTGATGCCAGTCCATGATGAATTCTAACCTACAATCAATTGATAAACCTCCACATTCTATGTTTAAAGAAAGCTATTCATTCACAATAACTTCAATGACGATTGCAGTTCGAGTGATGTTACCAGCTGAAGCTATCATCATCATCACTATCAACATAGGACCAGGCATTACTGCGTAACGGTCCGAGTTGCCACACCTCATACCGGTACATCAAGTAGAAAGGTAATGAGGTGAAAGATGAAGATAAGAAAGGAAGAATGACAAAATGGTGCGATGCGGTATAGCGTCGTTAAGATGAGGATAATGTGTGTATACATCTGCACCACTGACATCGATTCTGAGCCATGTGATCACCTAGAGTCTCCAACCTCTGGTCCCTCTTGTCCGGCAGACCCCAACCACCTAGTCTGCATCGCCCCCGCACATTGGCTCAAACCAACAGTCAGAGACTTCCTGCATTGATGCCATGTTTTAGTCTGGCCACCTCGAGCCTTTTTCCAGCCTGAACATGCTTCAGCCAACATTGTGTAACGAGGCAATCGGTGACTAGGCATACGTAATACGTGTCCTAACCATCTTGGTCGATGAAGGTTCATAACCTCGTCAACTGATTTACCTCTACTCCCTAAAACTCTACACCTGACTTCTGCATTACTCACGTGGTGACACCACGGAATACGGCCTTCACTAAGAAGGCAACGGTGATCAAACACCTGAAGCTAGCCTTCTCATGTCTTTCACCTTGATTGGCCATGTTTCACAGCCATAGAGTAGAAGAGAGCGGAGTGTTGTGCAGGTGTAGTACACGCGACCCTTAATAAGCAATCGGATGTGATGGCGGCGCCATAGGTGACGTAAGTTGGCTAAAGTCAGCCAAGCCTTTTGTATCCGTGCAGAGACTTCATCGGCCACTGACCCACCAGGGTTGATCCTGCTTCCTAGGTGAGTGAAGTGGTCGACACACTCAACCTCTACACTCTCTGTTGTTAGACGTGGCACTGCTGAAAACCAATTCTGGAGCAAAACTTGCATTTGGGTGGTGAGAACCGCATCCCAAACATTCTCGACTTCCCACTCAAAGTGTCCAGAAGACTCTATATCTTGTCAGCGTCTTCACCTAACAGGACAATGTCATCTGCATATTCTAGGTCTAACGAAAATTCTCCTGTGATTAGGTCAACGTGTGTGTAACCTGGTGACGACAGGGAGACCTCCATAAGAATATCTATGATAAAACTGAATAAGAATGTAGACAGTGGGCACTCTTGACGGACACCACTCGATGAGCATTGCTTCCTGGACATCTCACCATAGGCTCTAAAATGCCCACAAGTGTTTGAGTAGATAGCCTCCAATAAGGTGATGTACTTGCTCAGCACGCCTCTCAGTGAGAGACATTGCCATAAGACTTGTCGATCAACGGAGTCGAATGCCGTCATCCTCAGATCAAGAAATACAGCCAGTGTCGGGCATCGGTAAGCGTATCTATGTTCCAGAGCCTGGCGCAGTGTGAATATTTGGTCGATACATCCGTGGCCGGGTCTAAAGTCTGTCTGGTTTCCTCGGGCTTGCTATTTCCGAGCTCCACTGAGGCGTCGAAGAACTATAGAACCTAAGATTTTGGACACTATGTTCTTCAGACTGATTCCTCTGTGGCTACCACAAGAGGACTTCTCGCCTTTCTTGAAGACTGGGATGATGGGTGACTTAGACCAGTCGGAGGGGATCGTATTTGATTTCCATATACTGGCTAACACTTCGGTTAACCTAAGAACACTCTACCTCCATCGTGGTAAACCTCAAGAGTTAGTCCGTCTGGTCCTGCTACCCTTCCTCGTTTCAGGTTACCTACATCTTTCTCGACTTCTGATAGTGTTGGGAGGCCTATCCCAGTGTTCTATTCAGGATCTGAGTGGATAGCGGGCAGCCCAATGATGGCTGGAGACCGGTTAAACTGTCCCTCAAAGTGTTCTGCCCATCGTCCTAGTCGTCTCCCCTGCGAGTGGATCGCAGATCAGTCCTTCTCCGCTATAGCCTCACTCACTGTTAATGACCTTTTCCTCCCAGTCTCCTTAATAAGTCTAAATAACTTTCTACCGTTACCAATTGCCGCTGCCTTTTCTATCCCTTTAGCCTTCGCTGTCGACCACTGTTCGCGATCGTTGCGCAGACTTTTCATCAGTCTACTTTTAAGCTGCGCTCGCTCTTCATTGTACTCAGAGCCTACAGGGATGCGTTCACGTGCATCCATTAGTTCAGAAGAAGCTGCTGATATCCACTGGCTCTCTTTAGCCACTCTTTCGGAGTCGTCTACGCTCTTCAGAGCCTCCTTTACAGCAGACTGGAGATGTCACCAAGCTTCTTCTGGATGAGTGATAGTCTTTTGTCCCGATAACTGCCTAACCAACTTCTCACTGAACATGGCTTTGGTGCTTTTGTTGTCCAGCAGCACTCGTAGTGGTTTTGTTGCCAACTTTTTCCTACATCCATTGATACGCAAGCACATACGCGCTCAGACCAACGCTTAGTCGCTATCCAAACACGTACTCCAGAAGGAGCGGTAGTCTCCCACTTATCCTCTGCATCGATAACTAATAGCAATGTGGTCTATCTGTGTCCATCGCTGAGTTGAGCTCGGTGGATGCCATGTCAGACAGTGTCTTTCTTTATGTCTGAAATTTGTGCTAGCTAAAAAGAGGCAGTTATCTGAGCATAGTTGTAGTGGGCGAAGTTTAAATTGTAGAGGTTGGCTGATAAGAGAAATGGAGTTACGTAAGATTACCAAATAGTTCATGAGGTACCTATCGTCTGTAAAGCGTTATTCGTTTATTGGCTTCACTATGGTTTCATCGCTTCACTGGTTGTATGCACCCAATGGAACAATCTAAAAATCTTGCACAACCCCATACTGTGTTATTATTCAACCTCTGTCATTCATTATCCAAACTGAGATTCCCATATAGATATCAGTCCTCAGATATCATGTATACATACGAATAATGTACAAAGCTTGAGAATAAATACATTGAAAAGATTCTAATTCACTGGAATGTCTGGTTTTTCATGGCATAATAGAAAATATGAATCTATTGTGTAATAACTAATGTATTTCTCAAAATATGAAATAAAGTTGTTAAAATGAAATTCATTTTCCTATTATCTACTTTATGAATTCAGTATGATTATAATGCACCAGGTGGGAATCTATCAACAAATATGAATATCTCTAGTGGAATATCGTATAGTTCAAGTGCAGTAACTTCACATATCCCATCTCATATTTCTAATTCAACATCGAGTACAATGTTTGGAGGGGGAACATCTTCAAGCAATACTAATGCTACTGTGGTGGCAGTGGTGGTGGTAGAATGCATAAAAGAAGTTCAGAAAGTGAAACATTGGTACAATTGGATAATACAACAGGGAATATATCATCTACGATTTCAAATACTGGTAGCAACATTGGGAGACCAACTCTTGGAGGGGGTAGTATTAGTGGTAGTGGTGGTGGTGGTGGTAGCGGTAGCGGTAGTGGTGTAGCTAATACTTTTTCCAGTTCTCATCAATTTACCCCATCTAGCCTACTTGGAGTTAGTGGAGGTGTTGCAAATCTCTTATCATCATCATCACCAACAAATATTAGCGGTGGAACTAGAGGTATGATAGAATATTTAATTCAAATTGTTTTGAATACTCTGGATTCACATGTACATGTTTGTCGAGATCGTCCTAACGAAGATTTAGTTGCACCATTCAGTTCACAATTGAGAATAAGAGGTAAGCAAAATGATTTATATTGATTTTTTTCTTTTTTAAGCTTTCAAATAAACTCTTTTTGTCATCCAACTATATCACAAGTTCTTTTTTTTTAAACTTTTAGATCCTTCTATTCAGTATTGTTCTGTTTGCCATTGATTTTGCAGTCTTTAGATAAATCAATACGTTTACTGCCTCACTTTACTTACACTAGGGTGCCTTGCTTATTAGCCACGAAACTTACACATAATATACCCTAGACAATGTTGATATGCATAACTGAACAGAGGATCAGTAGTACAATAGTGATATCTGCATTAAAAGTCTTTGAATTGAAGATAAGAGTAAGACGAATTTGCCGTTTACTGTCGCCAACTATCTTCCTGATTATAATCGACTAGACTGAACTGATCCTGCAACAAAAAGTGATGAGCGAGAAAATGGACATAAACTGGCTGAACCGATGAAAAGGCCCCAGAAAAAGATTTGGATTTCACCGATGAGGATTTATGTCCATTGTCATACAAGCTAGAAATCTTCAGGCGAAAACAAACAAGTCAGCAGAAAAGGCGAGACCTTGAAGATGGGACTACCTTCAAAGAGCATACAGAAGACACAGGTTATGAAGATACCCAACTAACAACAACGAAATCAACAAGCACTAATCACTATCAACGGGAGAAACTTAAACGAAGTAGCCTCTTGCACTTACCTTCCTACGCAGGATTGTTCCAACTACAGGTGACACAGATGAGGATGTCAAAGCAGCCAGGATCTGAAAGACAACAAGACAGGCGTTCATCGACCTGAAACCAGTGTAGAAATCTACTGCACTCAACATAAAGAACAAGATCCGGATTTTTAACACTAATGTCAAGTCAGTGCTTCTATATGGTTCAAAGACTTGGCGCGTTACGAATAGCATTTCCAAAAAACTACGCTCGCCTACACTCGTTACTGAAGCTCGGATAGCCAGAAAGAATAAGCAACAAGGAACTGTGGTTGGCAACGAACCAACCAAGAACTTATCGCTCAACAAATATGCAGAAGGAAGTGGAGTTGGATTGGACATGCACTGAGACCATTCGGAGACATCACGCGCCAGGTCACGCACTCAAATGGAACACAGATGGGAAACGACGAGTTGGGCGTTCGAGGTGACGGTGACATGGAGGAGATCATGTGAGGAAGAAATGAGAGCATATGGGGAGTCGTGGAGCCAGGTGTAAAAGATTGCAGAGAACAGAGTGGAATGGAGACATGCTGCTGAAGCCCTTTGTTCCACTAGGAACCCAATGGAAAAATAACAATAATTATCAACATATTTGAAAGTTTTGAGAAAGCTTATGTGTTTATACATGTTAAAATCAGATTGGTTGAAAAGAAAAAGTCAATAGATAGATAGCCTTTCTAGAAAGGTTTGAAAGGATCAAGATCGTTATATCAGGAATGATATCTGAAGGTGTTGCTGTTTAAGCTTTCAGAGGCGTATATCAAGTCTGTAACTGGCAAACGATTGCCGAATTCGATTACGACAATGACTAATGAACCTTTAATCTTCCAGAAAGTTAAATATTAGCAAAAAATAGAAGTTTAACCTTAACGTGTAACATTGTTCATGCTCAAAGATAAGACGTAACTTACATTGACTGATGCAGTTTCATATATTTGATTGTGCTCTTCTGATGAATGTTATTGTGATTTTTATGTCAGAAAATGATGAAAAATACTTAGATGTTTTTTGTACACTTGGCTAAATGCAGACTGTATTAGCCTGAGTAATAATTAAAATACAGTAAGTAGACTGTTCATGAGAGTTCAAGATAGACGACTAAGAATGACATAGTCATTGTGTTAAGGCCTGTACAATTAGTGTAAGGTGGACTGACTGACTAACTGATAAAATCAACGTAGCACCTCGGACATAGGTGTATCGGTTCAAATTGCCACATTTCATGGCAGTAAATAAAAACGATCGAAACAGGTAGAATTAAGTAAGAGAAGCAATTTGAAGAAGTAGATTAGTGAAGATGGTTAAGCTGTCGAAGACGTCAAGAAGTGAATACATCTGAGCGATTGTGACCCATTTTCAGCTGTATCACCAAGTGGACCCCAACCGTGTAGTTTACATCTCCTAACAGGGCTCATGCCAACAGTCAGTCAGTTTCACGTCTTGGTCTGGCTACCCTGTACTCTCTTCCAACCTAATCCAGCTTCCTCCAGCTTAGTATATCACATTAAGGTAGGCGGTGGCTTGGCATGCGCAGTACATGCCCAAGTCATCTCAGTCGACTAAGGTTCACAGCTTCACCAATTAACTTTCCTATCTTGCCTAGTATCCTTCACCTAACCCCAATATTGCTCACACGACGATTCCATCAAACCTCGAGACACATTACGAAGACATCAGTAGTCAAAACACTGTGATTACTTCATATCTTCTACTTTAAGCGGCCACGTCTTACAGCCCTATAACAGGACAGAACGAATTGCAGAACACTTTACTTATTTTTTGGTAGATAGTCGGATATCTCGACAATCGGCACCATATATGATGGAAGTTGGCAAATGCCAGAGGAACCTATTGTATCCAAGCTTAGATTTCATCAGCAGCCAGGACGTTCGGGCCGATGCAACTACCCTAGTAAATGAAATGGTCAGCAGATCCTATCACTTCATTCCTTATAATTAGGTGTTACATAGTATGAAAAGTTTGTTTGCACTATTCGGCTTTCATGATCTTAAAATACAGTGTGTAACAGTACTTGAAATATAGGTCAGTTAGTTCATAGTTTATCACTGGACATAGATCTCTTTACTAAATAAACATGTATAAACACAGCACTCAGATCTATTATTATCTTTCCATTGGGTTCCTAGTGGAACATAGGGCTTCAGCAGCACGTCTCCATTCCACTCTGTTCTCTGCAATCTTTTACACTTGGCTCCACGACTCCCCATATGCTCTCATTTCTTCCTCACATGATCTCCTCCATGTCACCGTCACCTCGAACGCCCAACTCGTCGTTTCCCATCTGTGTTCCATTTGAGTGAGTGACCTGGCGCGTGATGTCTCCGAATGGTCTCAGTGCATGTCCAATCCATTTCCACTTCCTTGTTGCTTATTCTTTCTCGCCATCTGATCTTCAGTGTCAGTTTCGAGCCAGCGTAGGCAGTTGTTGATTAGTGTCTGTAGTTTATTGGAAACACTTTTCGTGACACGCCAAGTTTCTGAACCATATAGCAACACTAACTTCACTGACGTTGGTGTCGAAAATCTAGATCTTGTTTTTGATGTTGAGTGCAGTAGGTCTGATCACTGATTTCAGATTAGTGAAAGCCTATCTTACTCTTCCGATCCTGGTTTTGACATACTCGTCTTTGCTGCCTGTAGTTGAAATGATGCTGCCTTGCCTGGCTAGGTGAAACAGACTACTTCCTTTAGGTCTCTCCTGTTGATGTTGATTGGTGCTTGTTGTTGATGCTGTTGTTGGTTGGGTATCTTCATCACCTCCATCTTCTTTACATTCACCTTAAGTCCCATTTTCATTTCCTTTTCTGTCAACTTGTTAGTTTTGCCTGCAGACCTTCGAGTTTGTGTGACGAGACATTTAACATAAATCATCTTCGGCGAAATCAAAATCTTCTAGGATCTTTACATTGGTCCAGTGTATGCTCATCTTCTCGCTCCTCACGGTCTGCTGCACACTCAGATCCAGTCAACATGAAATTGGTGACTCTTCAGTGACCGAAAACTGGCAACAAATTATATGCAACAGTATATAATAAAATTCTATCCTTTAAACGACAGTTGGTTTTCGTAACTCCAGTGACCTAGCGGATAACACTCATGTGTTTAAAGTAGTGTATATTGGGTTGGGATCTGAACAGAAATGTCATCACAAACTGGGATATGAGTTAGTCGAGATGATGAGTCTCGATGGGGATGAAAACCACACTGTGAACTTCGCTTATTATTGTTATTATTATTATTTGTCCTTTAGGTTACTAGTGGAACATAGGGCTTCAGCAGCACGTCTCCATTCCACTCTGTTCTCTGCAATCTTTTCAACCTGCCGCCACGACTGCTCACAAGTTCTCATTTCTTCCTCACACGATCTCCTCCATGTCACCCTCACCTCGGACGCCCAACTCGTCGCTTCCTATCTGTGTTCCACTTGAGGGGCTGGCGTGATGCGTGATGTTCCCAGTCGGCACTCTCAGTAAATCCCCAATCTATCTCCACTTCCACTGCATATTTGTTGGGTAATAGGTTGTTGGTTGGTTCGGTGCCGTGACAGTGTTCCTTGTTGCTTATTCTTCTTATTCTGGCCATCTGAGCTTCAGCATCGAGCCAATGTAGGCAGTTGTTGATGAATCTCTGTAGTTTGTTGAAAATGATTTTCGTAACGCGCTAAGTCTCCAAAGCATATAGAAGCACTGACTTGATATTAATGTTGAAAATCTGGACCTTGTTCTTTATGTTGAGTGCAGTAGATCTCCTCACCGGCTATAGTTGAAACGATACTGCCTAGATAGGTGAAAGAGACTACTTCGTTTAAGTTTCTCCAGTTGATGATAGCGTTTGTTGGGTATCATCATCTTTGTCTTCTCTACATTCATTTGTAGTCCCATTTTCGTTGCTCTGTCTCTTCTGACAACTTGTTAGTTTTATGCTTATAGATCTCCAAGTTTGTGTGATATTAGACACAAGTTATCATCAGAAAACAAATTCCATCGATATTCATTTCTTTTTCTTTTTGTTGAAACAATCAGTGCAACACTACTGAAAATACAGAATAACAGAGATTCTACTGAATATCAATCAATTTGTATGTAATATTAACTCAATGAACTATTTAATTTCTTACAGGACTTTCTGGACTTCCAACTGGTATGATATATTAAGTAGTGTATAAGTGTTATTAGCTATATTTGCTGATAAAAATTATTATTATTTTTCTTCATCAAATAGTTTACTTTTGTTTATTTGTAGTTAACTTTCATTTGTGTCTTGTTAT